ATATATATACATACATACTTTTATTATTTTTATCAGCTGTATACTAGTTATATATTGTATATCTTTTTTTTAATTATTGAGTTAGTACAATATATTTAAGTTATAATAAAAGAACTTACTTATTCATAAAAACTAAAAAACAATAAAATGAAACGTTATATAATAGTTAGGTAAAAAACAGCATTGATTGTTGTTTTAGCATTGATTTGAAATTTGCATCTCATAGTTATAGTATTTTCGTGGGAAGCCCAAAAATGTTGAATAACTTATGATCTGCAATAAGAAAAAAATTCAACAAGATTTATCAAATTGAAATCTACTAGCCTTGGAACAGGGTTTTTTTCTCTTAAGTCCTGGAATCCTTGCCACTTTTATAGATAAAGACTCTGGGTTCAAAATTTATTGTTCTTTAACCTAAAACTCTCAATTTTTTCCCCAAATGTAGTTTATAAACCTATTTAGATTTTTAGAGCTTTTGGATACCAAAAAACAGGAAGAAATAATTGTTTTGTGACTTTCGCATCTGGAGTCATTTTTGTGATTCCAAATTCGATCCCTGGTTTTCTTAATATTCTCTGACTTAAGATAAAATCCCTAAACAACAAAACCTCTTAACAACAAAACCTCTTAAGAACAAAACTTCTAAACAAAAAACAACACACACACAACATAAACATTGAAAAAAAATGAAAAAGATATACATAAATCCATCAAAAAGACATTTTTGTTTATAATATTTATAAATATTAATTAATTATTTGTATTTTTTTTCTTGTTTAAAATGACACATTGGTTTTATATAAGTTTCCTTTTTGGTTAAGGTTTTATCATTGATGGAACTTTGTTCAAAAACAGTAGCTCTTAACTATCCGTTTGAAATCATTGAACATCACAAGCGACCTATACCTGAATCACTTCAGCTAAGAATTGCATTCTGGTCATTTCCTGACAGTGAAGAAGAAATACGTTTATATTCTTGTTTATCTTGTGGCTCTAATGAGAAGTATAAGTTAGGTGAAATCCTTGCAAAAACTGGCAACGTTTGTGATGTCCTTCAAATTGGTGGGTTATTTTTAAATATTTTTACTTACATTAAAGAAAAAATTTTTAAGAAAAGATTTTAGTTTAAAGATTTAGCTTTTTGTAACTTATTTTTTGTTTTATTGTTTTTACATGAGATGATGAAGTTATTTTTTTAATTATAAATTTATATTTTAAATAAAATAGTTTAAAACATATTGAAAAGGTGTATTTTTGTTAAATTAAGAAGATTTTAAGTTAAAATTAATATACACACACACACATATATTACCAAATGATCGTATTAGTTTGATTTACCTAAAAATCAAACAGTACCTTTTAAACATGAGAAAATCATTTTCAATCTCTCCACTCACTAACCAAAGAAGAATTGGATATATTGAAAAATATTGAAATTTAAACTATTTAATTCCTCCATTGAGACAAATAAAAGGTTTCTTTGCATCATTAACCATTCTATGCTGTTGGATCTAAAAAGTGATAATGACACACCAAAAGTTAAAGCTCCTCTCTCACACATTGCTAATTCACTTTTTATTCAACTAAAAGCTACTTTAAGAAAACACTTGGTACTTAAAAAACTAAAACATTTACCAATAATGATCATGAAACCAGATAACAAAAATGATATCGTTATAATGGATAAACAAAGACACAATAATTTAATATTTAAATTACATGTTAAAAATAATTAATGACAAATCTAAATTTAGTAAATTAATAGAGAAGGACATATACAAAGAAATACTGAGAGAAGGGCATATGAAAAATTAAAAAAATTTATGATAAAAAATTGTTTACTGAAACACAATATTTTGATGTTTGACCTGTAGGTTCTCAAACATCTTGTCTTTATGGTCTACCTTAGACTCATAAATTACGCATTATGTGGGAAAAACCTGATTTTAATAAACAGGTTTTTAATTACATGCTATTGCTCCAGCTCGAATTGGCGTTTACTATTAGGACATATGTATTACACTAATTATCTACATTTTCCATTATTCTATGACAAAGGTTTTCACACCTTTCATGTTTTCTTTTGTTTGACTAACAAACAAAATGAAATTAAAATTAATGTTTGTTTCAGTGTATATTAAATAGTTTTTATATTTAACAGTTTTATACTTAAAAATGATTATTGTATAATCGAAATATGTTGTTGAAACTGAAAAAAACTATAACTAAAGTAGCCTCCTTGATATATATATATATATATATATATATATATATATATATATATATATATATATATATATATATATATATATATATATATATATATATATATATATATATATATATATATATATATATATATATATATATATATATATATACACACATATATATATATATATATATATATATATATATATATATATATATATATATATATATATATATATATATGTATATATATATATATATATATATATATATATATATATATATATATAATATATATATATATAATCAAGGACTACTATATGGAAGGACGCGCAAAGTCGATTTCCTGACTCTGCTAGCGAAGGCCATTATTTTTATCAAAGTTAAAGTGTTCTTTAACGTTCCTGTAACTTTTTTTTAATATTTTATCCATAATCATGGTGAACAAATGTGGAGTTGAAAAATTGTAAAGGGAATTATAATAAACTTAATAAGTGTCGTATTTTTAAATTACCGAAAGATAAAGTTGAGAAACAGAAATGGATTAATGTTCTTCCTTTACGTAAAAATTTTATTATCGAGCCATCTAAATTTTGAAAAACATTGGCCTGAAAATACAGAAATGATTAAGCTGCCTGGTGGCTATACTCGACCAGCATGTGCACCTTGTATTTTCAATGTTCCTTTTTCTTGTTTACCAACGCCAAAGCCTGTGCCTCGCCAATCTAAACCTGAGGACATGCAATTGAATTATTTCATCAAAAAAGATAGAATAAATTAGTTTTCTAATTTTTATCCTGACAATGAGTTGCACAAAAGATATAAAAATATAGTAATATCTCGACAAGACAATAAATTCATATGCATTTTTATGTCAAAAGATTTCAAAGAGAGTTTTGTGACGATTATTGTTTATGATAAGTGTACCTTGTGTTCACTGCTAACCTTTTCAACTTTTAAACATGGAATTTCCGTTCCATTAGCTAATATATTGAATCCAAACAATGGCTTAATCTTCTAATCACAATTTTTTGAAGCAATCAATTTAGTTCATAATTATAATCTGCACGTTAATGATGTTATTGAAAAGGTGACAAATGTTCTTTCAGAAAATGAATTTGAATTAAATGATGATAAGAAACAAAAAAAATTAAATTTTGTTACAAGACAACTCAAACTCTTGTCTATAAAAAGTTTCTCTATAGCTGATTATTGCTTTGCAATCGAGTCTTTTTATAACTGCAACTACGATCAACTTCGTGATTTTTTAGTCCTTCCAAGTAAACGAAAGCTTCAGTCTATAATTACTGCCACTAACATTGACCATGTTTTACAAAAAACATTTGAAAACATAAAGAATAATCAATAGAAAAATTTTATTTTGATAGTTGACGAGGTAAAAAATAGGTCAACAGTTGCTTATTCGTGTGGAGTTTTAAATGGGATGACAAGAAATGATCCAGAATCCAAAGCCACCTCTATGCTATGTGTCATGATGAAATGCTTACATGGTGGACCTAGTTTAATGATTTCAGTTACCCCTGTTTACAAACTAACATCATTGTATCAGTTCATTGTTGTGAAAGAAGCTGCTATTATAGTTAAAAAACATGGTGCAATAGTTTTAGGATCTGTAACTGATAATCATAAAATCAATCAGCAATACTGCAAAATTTTTAACAGAATAACTAACTATCAGGCCATTCATCCATTTGACAATAAGCGTGTTTGGTTTCTTTTATTTGACACAGTTCATCTACCTAAATGTATTTGCAATAACTGGATTTCTGAAAAGTGTCAAAAGCCATTTCTCGATAATAAAACCATAGCTTCATTTTCAGATGTGAAAAGTCTATATCAATACCAGAAAGAGAACATTTTAAAAACAGTTCCTTTATCCTATGCTGCTGTCTATCCTTCGAGACTTCAACAACAGAATGTGCAGCATGTTTTAAGAGTGTTTAATGAGAAAGTAGTAGCTTCTCTTAAACTAAAAGGAGCTTATGAAACATCCTTTTTTATCTAGCAGATTTTAGATTGGTGGAATATTGTTAATGTTTCTGCAAAAGGGCAGGATGTTAGGTTGAGAGATCACAACCGATCTGTGCAAGATAAAAATTCAAATAATCTTCAATTGTTTTTAGACATATTTAAATGTATGGAATCAGGACATGGGCCAAAATGAGTTCAGTGCGTTACCCATGATTCCAAAAAAGCCCTTGTGCAAACTACTGAAGGATTGATAGCTCTCTGCAAACATTTATTTTCAGTTGGTTTTGATTATGTTTTGCTTCATGAGCTACAAAGTGATAGAATAGGAGAATTTTCTGTTTATAGACAATCAACAGGGGCAAATGCTTTTATGGCAGCTGGTGATGTTTTCTCTGCTTTTAAAAAGCGTTTAGCTAGATTTGCTACATCAAATTTTTAGAATCAGTGGAAGTAGGACAACCCAATAAAAAAGGTCACATATGTGAGGGTCCAATTAGTATTGAAGATGCAACCTCAATTGAAACATGCATTTATGATGTGAGTCTTTCTGAAAATGAAGAGAGCTCTGCTGCCTATGTAGCAGGATGGCTTGAGAAAAAATGTGAAGATGAACTAGTTTATCCAGATGATGAACCTGAACTAACAAATGAAGCTAAAGACTTGATCGAAGAAGTTTCAAGGGGATGTTTGATAGTTCCACATGTGTGTACTTATCAGCTAGTTAGAATTGGTTTATGCTTTGTGAAAAAAACAAAGCACAGAGCATGTTGTAGAAAAAGACTTATAAGCATTCTATCTATAATGGACACATATTATGATTTTGGTTTATCATCAAAGAGTCTTTTTAGGCGTTTGACAAATGTTCTTCTGCATGGAATTCAGAACTTTATCAGACATCAATTAAGAAGGCACGCCTTGCTGAGTAGTGAATCTTTCTTTTTAGATTTTTTACTTGAAAAATATTGTATTGTTTATTTCTTTAGGAAGTTATATGAAGTTCATTATGTTTAAAAAAAAAAAAAAATTTAACATTGTTAAAAAGTCTCTAGAGAATATGATGTTTATATGTTTATTTCTTTCTAAATAAATTGTGTCAATAATAAATTTTTTGTTTTTTTATAGAGGTTTTTTATATCGATCTTTTAAGCTTTTTAAAATAAGTTTTGATTTTGTTATTAACAATAACGTAAAATTATTTTAATCGTATTTCAGAATTTTGATTTTATAAAACGTTGTTTAAGCCAATTTTAGTTATTTAGGAGTAAAGTGAGAAATATTGACTGGCCTTCGCTAGCGGAGTCAGGAAATCGACTTTGCGCGTCCTTCCGCATAGTAGTCCTTGATATATATATATATATATATATATATATATATATATATATATATATATATATATATATATATATATATATATATATATATATATATATATATATATATATATATATATGTATGTATGTATGTATGTATATATATATATATATATATATATATATATATATATATATATATATATATATATATATATATATATATGTATATGTATGTATATATATATATATGTATTATATATATATATATATTATATATATATATATAATATATATATATATATATATATATATATATATATATATATATATATATATATATATATATATATACATACATATATATACATACAAAGTGAGAAATATTGACTGGCCTTCGCTAGCGGAGTCAGGAAATCGACTTTGCGCGTCCTTCCGCATAGTAGTCCTTGATATATATATATATATATATATATATATATATATATATATATATATATATATATATATATATATATATATATATATATATATGTATGTATGTATGTATGTATGTATATATATATATATATATATATATATATATATATATATATATATATATATATATATATATATATATATATATATATATATATATATATATATATATATATATATATATATATATATATATATATATACATACATATATATACATACATTTATATATATATATATATATATATATATATATATATATATATATATATATATATATATATATATATATATATACATACATATATATATATATACATATATTGACAATAAGCGTGTTTGGTTTCTTTTATTTGACACAGTTCATCTACTTAAATGTATATATATATATATATATATACATACATATATATATATATACATATATTGACAATAAGCGTGTTTGGTTTCTTTTATTTGACACAGTTCATCTACTTAAATGTATATATATATATATATATATATATATACATACATATATATATATATATATATATACATATATTGACAATAAGCGTGTTTGGTTTCTTTTATTTGACACAGTTCATCTACTTAAATGTATATATATATATATATATATATATATATATATATATATATATATATATATATATATATATATATATATATATATATATATATATATATATATATATAAAGTTCTTGTATTCTAATACAGTTACAATTTTTCAAAGGTTTTCACTTAAGTGGAGTTGTAACACAACCTGTTTCTCACACTCCTGCAAAGCAAGTATATAAGGTTGCAATTACATTTGATCGTGGTCGAATTACCTCTTGTCAATGTACATGTTGTGAAACAGCTACATGGTGTGAACACATAACAGCGGTTTGTTTATACAGAGTTATTAATAAAAATAGTATTGTATTACGAGCACCTGTATCAGAATCATTGACGAAATTAGATCGTGATCAGTTACAGAAATTTGCACAATATCTTATTAGTGGTTTACCACCTCAGGTATTTCCCTTATAATACTAAAAATGTTTATCTGACATTGATTTTTTTATATATATATTATCTGATTATTAAAATCAATTTCAACCTTCAACTTCCTCTTTTCTAACTCACATTAAAATAAATTTGAGAATCTCTTACCACTTCTACATCTCACCCAATCACCCATATTAAAGTATAAAAGTTTGTAATTAATCTTTTCTTTTTTACATCAAGATGAAATAATAACATAAAGTATAACAATCATCAGGATAATAAATAAGTTTATTAATAAAACTACAGACAAAAGACAAAAAAATGATTTAAGAACAAAAAAAAATTGTTTTTTTTTTGTTTTGTTTTTTTGTTTTTAGATTCTCCCAACTGCACAAAGACTGTTAGACCAATTGTTATCTTCTAAGGAATCTGAAATTAACATTTTGGCTGGTGCGCCAGGTGAGTTATTTCAAACTTTTTTTTATTTAAAAATTTAGAGTTCTCATTTTAATTGCGTTTGAATATGTATTGTTAATTTTTAACAATAGATCCAACTGCTGGTGCCTCACTATCAGAAGAAGCAAACTGGGTTCTAGATAAAGTTGCATTATGTGAAAATATAAAAAAGATTCTCGCTCGGTTTTGTGGACCTACACCATTGTTTTATTTAAATTGTGATGCAAGCAATACATTGACTGCCCCTCCACCTATTTCTATGCAGTGGTACTTTAAGTTGATATATTTAAAAATAATTTTTTCTATATTTTAAAATGTTTTTCTACCTAGTTTTTTTTTATTTATATTAAATAGTTTGTATATAGGGTTTGTTATTATAATTTTTTTTTAATCATTTTCAGGTCTAATTACATACGATCATTTCAAGGTCATGAGCCTGAAGCTTTATGGAATCTTCTATTCATTGTTCGACACATGAGTGCTCAAAGGGATAAAAACTCTGAATATTTGCTTGAATATATTACAAAAGAATGCCTGCTTTGTTATCAAATGATGTATTATTGGGTGACAAGTAGCAGTAGCTTTCAAGTGTGCACAGATAAGCAAAATCATAATGGTGCTTAAGTGTTAGTTTCAAAAAATAAAAGCTTAATAACTTTAAACTATTTTATCTATTTAATTTTATTTTTTCAATTTTTTAATTAAGTTAATGCCTATGTAATTTTAATTTCTCTAATTTTTAGTTTTTCTTGTTCATTTTACATTTTTTTATTCATTCAAATTTTTGCAGGTAATTTGTATGGCCAGTTGCATTCTAAGCGTGACCTAGCACGCCATAGTTCAGCACATTTGATGGATGAGATTGTAAAGTTATGGGAGTTGATTGTTATGTCGCCTCATCTTTCAGCTCAGGAAAAAGCAAACATAATGCTTAAATTGCAGACATGGAATGATCAAGTCAAAGATGCAGCTAGAAAAGGTAAATGCAGGAAATATGTCTGACAATTTAAAAATCGTTTTTTAAATGGAGAAAAGTAGAAAACACATATTAATGATACTAAATTGAAAAGTTATTTATTAGCTGGTCTTAATTACTCAATTGAGTGTCCCAAAAAAAAAAAAAACCTTGCAAACTTTTCCCATTCTCTAAGTTCCAAATAAAAAAACTTAAAAACTATTTATGTTCATTTTAAATCTGAAAATTTGAAATCTCTTTTAGGAATCCTAGGAACTCTCTTAAAAATATTTCCAGTTAAAAAAATTTTGACTTTCTTTTTTGTGAAATCTTTTGTTTAGTTTCTTTCTGTTGTCTCTGGCAACAAGCATGAGATTTGTTTCATATTATCTGTCCTTCAGCATCCAACAAAGTCCATACTTTAAAAACCTTTTATATAGATCAAACATCTCACTGGCATCTTCTATATTCACATTTTTAACTCTCCAACAGAAACCTCAGCTACCTTTAACAGGATCCAGCTCTGGGAACCTACCATTTCTGTAAGCTCCAAAGACCTTGTACATGCAATAACATTTTAGTTGTATGCTATTGGAAAATAAAAAGTAGAAATTTGTTTAAAAAAACGAAGTTTGACATATTTAAAAAGTAGACTTAAGAATAAAAAACACCTTAAGTTAAAAGAAGCATACCACATTTTTAAATATTCACAAAAAGCTAGTGTGTTTATCTATTTATTTTTCATGTTTTGTTTTTCTAGATGATTAATTAGTTTCAAAAATTAAATAGTTTTTTTTACTTGAATGAACTTAAATGATCAGCTTAACATAAAATGCCAATATATATCTAATAACTGTTTATATATATATATATATATATATATATATATATATATATATATATATATATATATATATATATATATATATATATATATATATATATATATATATATATATATATAGACACACACATACACATATATGTCATAACATCAAGAACACTTAAAAGTACGTAGTTTTGATGCTAATTTCTAAGTAATTTAAAAAAATAATTTTTACACTGACTAAAACCTGCATTGAAAAAAATTCGTTAAAAGATAAGATATGTCAAAAATATAGACAATTACTATGAGTTAAATCAACTTCATATCATGAATTTAACTTCATTAACTTTAAAGATAGTTAAGTAGTTACATAAAGTTAAGTGTATGAAGTTAATTAAATAATTGTTAATTCTTTTTATCTGTTCAATGAAATGTTTTGTTAACAAAACTTTATTGAATCTCATACAACATGAGATTAACAATATGTTAAAATTTTTTTTTAACATATTGTTGTTTTAAAGTCATATCTTGTTGTAGATGCTTTTATAATTAAAAAATGAAACATAAACAACCAGGGGTGTGGAGTTGTAAAAAAAAAGTAACGACTCTGACTCCAGTTGTTGAAATTTTTTGAGTACAACTCCGACTCTGACTCCAACTATAAAAGCAAAATTTTTGAAAAATTCTTTGAATTCTTTTTTAAAAATATTGCGCGATAAGTTGAATTTTTTTTTTGACAAATTTATGCAACGTTCTTTGAAGTTTAGTATGAACATAAGGTTAATTGAATGTTTTGTACATACACGTGCAATACCAAGAAATAATACTATCGGAGTCAGAGTTGCAATATTTTTTAGCGCATTCCGACTACGACTCTGCTAAAATTGTTGCAACTCCGCAACTCCAACTCCAACTCCACAGCCCTGTAAGCAACAGATGCATGCTAAGTATTTCTACAAAGAGTAATTGGTTCATTGAGGCATAATTGGTATATTGCAATGTCATAAGTACATTAGGGTGTAATTGAATTCTAGTGATACTTTTATTAATACTCTTTATACTCTGATGTAATTGCAAAAGTTTTTGTATGTATACAATTAAAAAGCCATTTCCAGTATTTAATTGGTCCAGATGCATCTTTTGATATTATTTATTAGTGTTCAATTGGTGTTCAATTGGTATTTATTGGCATCTTTCAAGAATTCTCTTTTTTCTCTGATGTAAATACTATCAAATTAGTAAGTTTTTCTTATATATATATCCTAACTTTGCAGACTAATAAAATACGGGTCTTTACCAAATGGGTCTCTTCTATACTTATCTATTCCCCACTGATCGTTTCTATACCTATTCTTTGTTTACTAACTTTCAACTCTAATTAGTGGTTGCTTGCAGCCTTGTTAGAAGTAAAGACGTTAAAAAAAATAAAAATAAAAACCTCCATATTTTTTAGTAAAATAATTCATTTTAAAAAATGAGTAAAAGACCTTCCTTTAGCGTAATAAATTTTGTGTATAATATTATACACAATTGTTCAGTATACTGCCTGCTAACTTAAAATATTCTGAAGACATTTAGTTACAGATGTTTGTACATAATTACAGATGTTTGTACATAATGCTACATACAAATATGCTGTACATACTAATGGTGGAACTAAGAAGATGGCGCAGACATGTTGTCTAACAAAAATTTTAAAACTATATAAGTAATAAAAGATCTATAGCATCTATTTTCCGTTTATAAAATGGAAATAGATGCTTTATATTAAAGTTAAGAAGATGTTTTCAGGATGCAATTTTCAAGTGAAAGTAAAAATGTAAAACTTGATATATGTTTTAGTATGTTTTAACATTCTATAATTTAAAGTTTACATAAGTTAGATTACACTTTCATTCATGCTTTCTTATAACAAAATTTGATGAGATTTTTTTTTGCCATTACCTTGGTTGCAATGGCTGCCAAAAGTTCTGTGTCAAATACACTCAAATGGGCATTATCACTACTACTACTATTAGCACTATTAAGTTCGGCAATAGTATGAAGAGATTTATTATATGTATAAAATAATTTCTAGAATTTAGTTTAAAGGCTTTGAATAGGGTTGTAGTTTATAATAATTAATTTTTTTTTTAATTTATTAAAAGTGTTTTTTATTTATTTAATAACACAAATTCTTTCTCTTTATCAAACAAAAAAAAAAATTTCTTTTACAATTTATTTCAAGCTAATTTTTGTTTCTGTGTGAGATTATTGAATGATTTAGCTTTTAGGTATGTAATAATGATTTTACTCCTTTTTTTTAGGTCAAGGACAAACTAATTCTAATAGTTTTAATGTAAAAATGTATAAAGACTTCAGTGGATTTAAAACAGCTCAAATTGCAGGCACAAAAGATTGGCAACAATTTTATTCAATAATTGGTTTATCTCAAGGTGATTATTGTTTTTCTTTATTTTACTATAAAAAATTTGTTTGAGTTGCAGTTTTAAATTATAATTCTTAGATTTTTTTCTTACCTTTTGTGCAAACAAGTTTAAAAATAATAACACAAGAAACAGTTTTAAAGATACTTTCACTAATAATAAAAATACAACAAAAATTAAGAGGTTGCCTGGCTACAAAAATATTAAAGATTTTACAAGTATATTATATAGGATTAAAAGAACATAACCAAAGTTACAAGAATATTATCTGTTTTTATTTATTACGTTATTTATCTCCCCAAGGCACAGGGATTATTAATGTCAAAGAAGCTACTCATTTTTTAAAACTTTTGTTACAACCCTTTCTTCATCTACAGTCTCTCCATCTGAAGCAGATTTTTTTTACCACTACACTGTTACTAAAAGTATAAACAAGAAAAAAAAAACAATTGTTGCCATCAAAAGAAATCTAAATAATTGTTTTATCAAGTCTACATTCTTAACATAAAGACAGTTAACAAAAATAGGAATTAACATAAATAAGAGTTAACATAAATGAGAGTTAACATAAATGGGAGTTAACATAAATGGGAGTTAACATAAATGAGAGTTAACATAACTAGGAGTTAACATAAATGAGAGTTAACATAAATGGGAGTTAACATAAATGAGAGTTAACATAAATAGGAGTTAACATAAATGGGAGTTAACATAAATGGGAGTTAACATAAATGGGAGTTAACATAAATGAGAGTTAACATAAATGAGAGTTAACATAAATGGGAGTTTACATAAAGAAAAAAATAGAGTTATAGCACAAGAAAATCTTTGAGGATTTTAAAAGCTCTAAGTTGTAAAAGTCAGGTAAGGATAAAGGCAGGATGTTTGAGGGAAAAATGTAGATGAATAAAAGTTTTTTGAACATGAAGGAGCAGTTAGAGTAAAAGAATGTGACATTGCTGAACAAGAATTCATGCATTATTGAGTTTTGGTTGACAGAAAAAGTAATGAAAGATGATATTTGTAGAAAAGAAAAAGAAAAAGAAAACGAGATGCAAACTTATGGCAATTGAACAAATGCTCAAGCTAGTAGAGCACATCCATCTACAATAATAATGTGGTTTTAGACCTTTATATGAAGCAGAAAGTAATTCATTAAAAGAACCAACCTAAGTATGAAAACAGTATTCCAAAGGATGAATAAAAGATTTATAGAAGTAGGGATTGGAATTATGAATAAAGATATTGCTAGGCCATTAAAGAGGGGCAACTTTAATTATACTCAAAGAAGACCTAAGACTCTAACCACTGGGTCACTTTAGCTGGAGCTAACTTTGCAATGGATTGGATATATAGTTTCTATGAGAGTCAGTGATTAAAGGTAATCCAGAAAGATGTAAAGTAGAAGACTCAGTAAAAGCCATTAATCAACATTGTAACATTAACTTGTGATAGTTATTAGCAGTAAACAACTTTTCTTAAGGACTAGCTGCTGAGGTTAAAGTTCGCTAGCTGCTGATGTTAAGATTCACTAGCTGCTGCTTCTGCTGTCACTTATGAGAGAGATCACATTCAATATCTTTAATATGACAAAAACACTTTTAATAAATCCTTGCTTTAATGCATCAATTTAATGCAATAGAACTTTTCTGTTATTATGGTAAAGTTAGAGGTTAAGGAGACAGTAGTAGAACAAGAAGATTGAAATCTCTATTGTCAAAAAGTTGTTGGGCTCAAGATAAGGTATTATAAGTTTTTTAATTAAAGAATTTGATAATAATGGTAAAAAACTGATTGACAAATAGCCATTAGTTTAGAGCGATCCTTTGAGTTTTTGAATGTTTAACAAATGTTCTTTGAATGTTTAACTATGGTTTAATAAGATCAGATCCATGTATGACAGATAAAATGTTAGATTTATTCTTCTTAATGTTAATATTTAAAGTTTTTTGTAAGTCTAAACTTTTTGAGACAAAATATGATTCAGTAATACAAGAATCAAGAGCACAAATTGGGAGTGAAGGTAATTGATTAGTGTTGTCTAGAAAATGAGTTGTAAAGTATATGAGTAAGAGGTAGAGTAAGAAAAATAAAAACTTTAAGTTTTAGTACCAGTAAGTGTAGCAGGGTAAGCAGCTCATTTATTTGCAGTGAAAAAAATTATTTTGATTTGAATAACATCGTTTTACATTAGATATTGCAATATATATATATATATATATATATATATATATATATATATATATATATATATATATATATATATATATATATATATATATGATATATATATATATAGATATATATATATATATATATATATATATATATATATATATATATAGATATATATATATATATATATATATATATATATATATATATATATATATATATATATATATATATATATATATATATATATATATTTTTTTTTTTCTTAGATAGTGCCAAAGAATTGTCTAGGTATTTGTTATTTATTATTTTAAGTTATATTATAACTTATTTTTTGAAAAGCTGCATTGGCTTTAATTTTTTGTTTTTGACAGGTTACAATGGCTTTAAACATAAAATAATGCTAAAGAAAGCTAAATTGTGTTATTAAATTTGTAAATTTTAAGTTTTAGATGTTGATTTAAGATTTTAAACTTAATTATTCCAGCACCATCATTTAACTTTTATTATTCCAGCACCATCATTTTCATCATCATCATCATCATCATCATCATCATCATCATCATCATCATCATCATCATCATCATCATCATCATCATCATCATCATCATCATCATCATCATCATCATTATCATCATTGTCATCATCATTATTAAAATGATTATCTTTGAGGGAATAGTGTAGACTGAATTCAACTATTTAGCATATTTCACTTAGTTTTAACAATTGCATAGTTTTAACAATTCAAGATTATTGAAATAGAAATGATTTCAAAAGATTAAGAATAGATAAATGATAATAAGATTATGGAAACTTAAAATAAGAATAATTTTTATGTATTTCAAGATATAACTTATTTTTTAATATGATTTGTAATGTAATTTAACATGATAGGTAATGTCACAGCCAAATCAAACTATTTTAAAACTATTTTTTTTTTTGAACTTCAGGCGTTTAAAATGCATAAATCCATTTATGCATTTTAGAGGTATGTTTTGAAATTTTTTTTTTTATATATTTACAATACTATTGTATTTATGGTACATAATCCAATAAAAATTGAATAATTCTTCTAGAATTATTTCAATTATTCAACTTCTTAGAGCAGTACTTAACAATTAATGATAAATTAAACTCTTCTGCAATAAAAACTACAAAATTGTTCTCGATTTTGAGTATACTCTTATGTGCATTTAAATCTGTTCCATCTAAGTTTAAATTTAGAATGAAGTCTCCATACTGTTCAGCAAACTGTCTTTGGTAGGTAGGATAGAGTCTTTTAATACACATTTACATCTCAGTTTTCTCAACTTAGGTGTATAGTTCTTTTTTTTGTTAAGCTCTTGCGATTGAGTATAAGTTAGCATATGCTATATTAAAAAACTTATTCCTATCTACCCAAAATTTCTATCATCCAAGTTTTCTATAGTCAATTTGCTAAGCAGTGTGGAGACATCATTCTAAATCTACATGAAATAAATTTAAATGTGTAGAAAAGTATACTCAACATCAAGAGTGACTTTATTAGTTTTAATAAATAAAGAGTTTAGTTTAATATTTGCATACTGCTCTAGAGTAGAAAGAAGAATTGATTTCTATTGGATTATGTTCCATAAATACATTAATATTGTAAATGTTTTTAAATATATTTGTTTTAAAATATTTTTTTAAAATAATTCAAAATTTAGTGTTTTTTTGACTAAAAATAGTTTCATTTGATTGACACAACATATAACCTGGCTGTCTCTTTGGCCCACAGTGTACTATATAGTACTGTACTCCTCATTGGGATTTTCAGTTATCTCTGTAACTTTTTAGTTATCCCTTTAACTTTATTATCTCAATTATCCTTATAAATTTATTTTTTGATATCTTTAACTTTATTGTTTTGTTTGTCTCTATATATTTTTATCTTAATTATTCCTATAACTTTTGTCTTCATCCACCTTTACTTTTGTCTTTATCAACCTTGTTACTTTTGTCTTCATAAACCTTATAGCTTTTGTTTTTATCAATCTTATAACTTTTATATTTTGGTTATCCCTTTTATGTCTATTTATATTACTTTCTATTAATATATACTATTACTATGTATTATTTATACTCCTGTTATATTAATATGTAAAGTTTATTATTTTTAATATATTACTGTCTATATTATGATAATATATAACAAACTGTGTGGTAGTTTTCAACGTTTTAGAAACCAAATCAGGGTTTTAGAAAAATAGAGGGTTAGGCTTGCTTTGACTTTGGTTAGGCAAAATTTTGACTTTTCTCTCATAATACATTGTTTAATGCAATTATACTAATACTTAAAAGGTATGGCGTGAAATTTGACAACTGTATAACTGATACTATCTTTGGACAACTAGTATCATTGCTACCACCAGATACTGATGAGTTTTATTTCCTCTGCAAACTTTCTGAAGCATTGCTGTTTCATGGTCATAAATTGGTTGGCATTTCACTAGCACACTCATGTGCTCAAAAAATTATTTCTTCTTATCCTGAGAAATGTGAAACTAATGAAATCAATTGCATTTCAATGACAGAGAAAACAAATATTTTATGCTCAATGATGCAAGAGGCGATAGGAAATGAGAAACTTATTTTTGATTTGGCTATTATAGGATTAACTGTTCCACATCTTCCTACTGCATCAACAAAAGATGAAGTATTTTTTTGTTATTCTTTTTTTTTTTACTTGTATTTTAAGTTTATTTATTTCAATCATATTAGGGGTCGTCCATAAAGTACGTACGCTCATAGGGAAAGGGAGGGGGGTCTTCAAAAAGCGTACAAAAGCGTATGGGGGGGGAGGGGAGGAAGGGGTTGAATATAAAAGTACATACGCACTAATTAAAAAAAGTAATTTTTCTTAGTTAATGCTTGTATTTCTAACTTATCACCACTAACAAATACTTAACTATAACTAGATGTTTTTTAATAAATAACTAGATATTTTTGAATATAATAATAAATAATTTTTTTTAAATAATAAAACCATGACCGTGACTTTGAAATGTTAGTTGGGGAGGGAGGGAAGTATACTTGCCCTTAAAAAAGATTACAATTTTTTTTTTGGAAACTTTAAAGTTCTTTTTACCAAAGGAACCTTAAAATTAGTAAAAGAAGTTTAAATTTAACAATAAAAACGTAATAAGTTTTAATGGGCTTGGTAAAAATGTTGTGGGTTTTTAGTAAAATAATCCACAACATTTAACCCAAATAAACGGGCAGGCACGTTTATTTGGCACCTTATAGTTATCATTTGATGTGTTTTATAAATGTAACAACTCACATATTTGGTTACGTTTATTAGTTATTTAGGAATAGAGAAAGTTTTGATGATTTGCTTGCGATGGTCAAAACAATTGTTTTTATCTCAAGCCTGGAAACTTTCTTTCAAAATTTTTGTGTCACAGTTTTTTACATACCCTCCACCTATGTTGTTGTATCGCAATTAAAGTAGGAGAATAACTACCGCGAGGAAAACACTTTTGTGCTCAATCTTATACAAATACAAAAATTCTTTGTGTATGAGAACATAGTTATTATTTCTTGATTATAAAAAATGTCACGTAACAAAATTGCATCATCTTGTATAGGGTAATTTTTTTGATAAATATAATAAACTAAGAAGCTTGAGAAAACTGGAAATAATAAATTTTTGAAAAGTATTTCAGCTAAAAAAATGCAAGCAATCAATTTAGTGTTTGAAAATTTTTAACTCTGAACATCAAGGTGACAGTAAAGTGTATTACTTTTCAATCGTTTAAAAGATCATTAACAAAAAATAAAACTAAAAAGTCTTGTTGAAAGATTTGTGTAGTTGATCTTTAAGCGCTTTTGCTGGCAAACAGGAAACCTTTAAAATCAACAAACTGGCAAGAATGTTAGTTTTGTACCTTTAAAGATTAGGTTGTGGTTAAGGGCAGGGTGATAAAAATTTTTTAAGTAATCACAATTTAAAACAAAAACTGTTATCTTTATAGGTTTCAAAACATCGTTTTAATATTTTATAAACAAAATTATTAATATAGTCTTCATTAATCCAATTAATTTAAATTGTTGGTGATCTAAATCAAAGGGTGATTTCACTCAATCAAATATGTTTTCGATGGCATGAATTTGATCAGAATTACTTTCATTTACTGTTAAATGAGTATCATTGTTTTCATCGTCATTTTTAATTTCCTCAGAGGTCGTGTTGATTATGTTTCTAAACACGCATTTGTGACGTTTAACACTTGCTTTTAACTAGGTTTGGGAAACCTTGGATTTTCATCAGGGCCTCCATCACATGCAACAACAAATATAGGTTTTACCTGACCATCTGGAGTACAAAAATGAAGCTTAAAATTTTCAATTGAAACAAGACGCTCCAAATCACGGCCATGAGTAAAAGCAGTGCTGCTATCATGCTTCATAGATCTAATAGCAATATACGTTGGGCCAGAATATGACACTGCGTCAGCAAATTTGTTTGGATCAATAATACAAGCTGCATAAACAGACGGTATAAGCTTATGTCTGGAAGCAACTAAAAAATCATGATCTGGCAAACATACTTGATAATCAAGATGCATCAAAATTGGTGATTGTTTTGTTGCAGCTGCTAATCCTAATAGTACTTTAGCTTTGTCGTCTAGACTTAAATAAAAGCATGAATCTGGACCAAATATTGAACAAACTTCATCCGTGTATTGCATGCACGCAAATGTAAATCCAGCATTGATATGCCTATCACGAGCTGTATTAGCAGTCCTGATCAATTTCACAGGAACTGTCTTAATGTGACGTATTCCCTCAAGTGTGTTTGATCGCTTAGGCATCAGTCTTAAATAAGTTGCAGATTGCGACAAACAATAACCCAGTTTTAGTAGGCTTTTATTTAAGTCATCAAGTGTCTTACATGAACGTAACTCCTGCGATCTTCGTGGATCGCAAGCAGCAGCTCCTATTGATGCAATGTTAACGATGGCATTAAGAAGATCTGGCTGATCTTCAATTACAGCTGGTCTACCATTTTTTTTTCTATTGAATTTAGAAAGTTTTGATTTTAAGTAGGGCGTGTCATCGACAATATCATTAAGTGTTCGTTTCAAACTTGCTCTGCGTTGTCTTTGACGGATTGTCTCGCGTTTCATTTTTTTAAGACGGTTTTGTTTTATTTTTATTTGCTTTTCTAAAAAAATCAATTTTATTTTAAGTTCGTCAGTGATTGATAACTGACTGCACGGCGCACATTTACCAATGTTAACAGCTGCTCTTTTAACTGCAAAATTTCAGTTTGAATTTTCTCTTGTTGTGGAGTATGAGATTTTGTCGGCTGATCAATTGGTACTTCCGTTTGTGATTTTTGACTTTTTTGAATATCAAATTTAGAAGAAGTAGTTAGTGTTTTATTGATTTCAAAATCAATTTTGTCTGCTTCATCGGATGTTAACAAAGCTTCTGGTCCCTCATCTGATATTTCGTTTGTGAGAGGATGCTTCACTGCAATAGATTGATTATTTGATGTTTTAACATTAGACCAAAAAGACATCAACTGACTTTTACTTTCCATTATTTTTCGTGTGAGTTCTTTAAAAATTGAATCATACGTCAATTCTTTATGCTTAACTTTATACCACAATTTATTAGCTTCTTTCTGTTGCTCCTGTTTACTTTTTTGTGGCAAAGCTTTTGCTACTTGTTGGTAAATAATTTTGTACTTTTCACTATTATTCATTTTAATAATTCTGCCTTCAAACTAATTTTTAACTGACTATTTAAAGCACAACTTAGATTTACAAGCTACAATAAATGCAAATGGGAGTTGTTTGTTTAGTTTTTAAATAATTTATAGTATCTTATTTTTATTATAAAATATTTTTTACATAATAAAGTTTAAAAAATTATAAAAAATACTATTTACATAACAATTTCAAAAATTAATATTTAAAGTTTAACAATACTTTAAAACTTTAGCTTTTAAACTTGTTACCCTTAGTAAGACTGTTGTCGCGCTAATTAATTAAAAATTGAAATATGAGGAAATTCCGAAATTCTTTTTATACTTCATATTGTTTTTGAAAAGTATTGAGCAATTGATTTAATGAAATGGAACGTTTTGAAATATAAAGAATATCACCACTTTTTGATGACTTCTTATTTTTACTCATGCCCGGCATACTTTATTGACGATCCCTAATATTTAAATTTCTTAAATAATGTTTTTTTTTATAAGTTTTAACTTTTTAACTCATAAAGAGAAAAGAGAAGAAGGGGGGAGGGGTTGGAGAGGACTAAAAAGTACGCATGGCAACTGGGGGGAGGAGGGGGGTCAATTATTTGAAATTTTTGGCGTACGTACTTTATGGATGACCCCTTAGTGAAGATTTTGTTTATTTTTTGAATAATTTATTTTACTAATAAAAAAATTTCTCTCTCACTAGGTTCGACTGACTTACTTAAATATTTCTCTTACTAGATTCGACTGACTTGCTTAGAAATGGATCTATATAAACGTCTGAAGAGCATGTCTATAAATGAATATCAGTATGCTTCACTCAGATATCAATGCCAAAAAATTATTAATAATCCCATGCTACGTGGTGACTTTATTCTTCCATTGCTCATTTCTACCTTTATATTCGAAATATTGTGTGATATAAATGTTACATCCACTGTATTATATGGGCAGCCAGTAATCTTAGCACCTGGTTTAAAACGACAGAACTCAGATAGTATTTTAGGATATCAATGTGCTTTGATCACTTTAGGTTACTTTTATATTAGATTTGTAGTTGTAAGTTTTATTGTTATCATTTATTTTTGCTGTTATTCTGAGATTATATCTCAAAATTAATAGTAAATAAAAAATATTTATATTTAATCTATATTTTAAGTTAAATGCATGGTAAATGCATGCATTTGTTGACATTTTTTCATTTTTAGGTCTTTACAGCAGTGCTGTAGATATTCGCCATCCCATGTTATGTGAAAGCATTCGTCATCAAAGACTAGACCTTGCTCTCAGTCTATTGACATACTGCAGAATGAATGAATCTCAAGTGAATGAAGTTCTCAGTACAATTCTTGATAAAGAGAGATATGTTTTTTTAAAACAGGTTAAACCACAAAAAGTGGCAAGCACAGCCATGACAGCTGCCAGACCAAATACAGAAAGTAAAAAATATTGTTTTATTATTATGTTCAAAAATTTAAATATTTACGAAATTAAATATGCAAAAAACATTATTACGGTTATTAAATATTTACAATATTAAACATAAAAAACTTTAACATTATTATGACTTAATTATAAAATAATTATTTATATAATAATTAATATTATATAATATTTATTTATATAAGTATGAAAAAAAAAAAGCATATATAAATTTAGGAGAAATAAAAGTTAATCATACTTATGATGTTTTTAATGAAATATAATTTTTGTTTAATTTTATACAGTTTTTGTTTAAAGCTTTAATAAATTAATTGTTTATTTAGATGGTTTTTTTTTTTTTTGTTTTTTTTTAATTTTAATGTATGACTAAAAGTTATTTTCATTTTGATCTTCCAGTCTTTCATAAAACATCTTCCAGTCTTTCATAAAACATCTTCTAGTCTTTCATAAAACATCTTCCAGTCTTTCATAAAACATCTTCCAGTCTTTCATAAAACATCTTCTAGTCTTTCATAAAACATCTTCCAGTCTTTCATAAAACATCTTCCAGTCTTTCATAAAACATCTTCCAGTCTTTCATAAAATATCTTCCAGTCTTTCATAAAACATCTTCCAGTCTTTCATAAAACATCTTCCAGTCTTTCATAAAACATCTTCCAGTCTTTCATAAAACATCTTCCAGTCTTTCATAAAACATCTTCTAGTCTTTCATAAAACATCTTCCAGTCTTTCATAAAACATCTTCCAGTCTTTCATAAAACATCTTCCAGTCTTTCATAAAACATCTTCCAGTCTTTCATAAAACATCTTCCAGTCTTTCATAAAACATCTTCCAGTCTTTCATAAAACATCTTCCAGTCTTTCATAAAACATCTTCTAGTCTTTCATAAAACATCTTCCAGTCTTTCATAAAACATCTTCAAGTCTTTCATAAAACATCTTCTAGTCTTTCATAAAACATCTTCCAGTCTTTCATAAAACATCTTCCAGTCTTTCATAAAACATCTTCCAGTCTTTCATAAAACATCTTCCAGTCTTTCATAAAACATCTTCCAGTCTTTCATAAAACATCTTCTAGTCTTTCATAAAACATCTTCTAGTCTTTCATAAAACATCTTCCAGTCTTTCATAAAACATCTTCCAGTCTTTCATAAAACATCTTCCAGTCTTTCATAAAACATCTTCCAGTCTTTCATAAAACATCTTCCAGTCTTTCATAAAACATCTTCTAGTCTTTCATAAAACATCTTCCAGTCTTTCATAAAACATCTTCCAGTCTTTCATAAACCATCTTCTAGTCTTTCATAAAACATCTTCCAGTCTTTCATAAAACATCTTCCAGTCTTTCATAAAACATCTTCCAGTCTTTCATAAACCATCTTCTAGTCTTTCATAAAACATCTTCCAGTCTTTCATAAAACATCTTCCAGTCTTTCATAAAACATAGCATTATATTAGTATAAAGTATTTGATATTAAAAAATAAATATGTAGTATACAGTATTCAATAATACAGCACTAATAAGTTTAGACTCATAGTTGAGGTTTATATTTTTTAAACATTAATTCACTTTTAAAAAGGCTGCATGAGACTGCTCTTGCTGTTGGGAGTTACTAAAAAATAAAAAATCTGGGACCAAGTTTGTGGTACCAAATAAGATAGGAATTGAAGAAAAATGTTGTTTATTAAAAACAGCTTTAAAAGTACAATTAGAAATGAAAGGGATTCCTAACTTCAAAAAGTTTTCTAGATACACTTTATAAATATATACACTATATATAGATATATACATCATATTAAACTATATAAAAAAAGTAATGAAGAAGACTGACATGCCAGAGTTTATTTAATGTCTTGGATCAAACTTCTTTGAACCTCTTGACACATCAGACCTCTGATGTGTCAAGAGATTTTTTTACTGCATACAATAAAAGTTTTATTTCAAAAATCTTTAAACTTTTTAAAGTTTTTCTTTTTAATGTGAATTTTAATTTTAATAATTTTAATCATTGATTTGTTATTAAAAAATTATGATTTGCATATAATTTAATAATTTAATTTAGTTGTGAAAGAATAAATTATCGAGTTATTTTTCTTTTTTTTTTCCTACTTTTGAATGTAATTTTTTCAAATTAAATTTATTTTTTGTTTTAATAGAAGAAACTTCATTAAACAAACATGGATTTACTTTTGCTGATGTTCATACAGCAATTCCACCAGCACAAAGGTAATTATTACTCTTTTTTTTAAAAACATCTAAATAAAATTAGAAATATTTGTTTGTCTTTTTATGCTAGTATTAGTAATATTCACCTACAGTTTCACTTATAGTGACAAAAAAAATTTATAAGTTTATGAGACAAAAAATTATTGAGAACATTTATGTATCTACATATGACACAGGGACAAACACAGGGATACATGCATATATATATATATATATATATATATATATATATATATATATATATATATATATATATATATATATATATACACACACACACACATATATTAGGGCAGGCCACAGTACCACATAATTATAATCAGTTTTACTAATGACTGCATAAAATATTGTTCTTTTTATGTTAAAAATCATTTTTTGTTATAAAGTGTGTATGTAGCTCATCTCTAAGTTCTGCCACATTTAATTTTTAGTCTGAATTTATAAAATAAAACTAAAACACAAAACTGCCATTGCGTCTGTTCCGTTTTTTTAAATTGTTTGGTTTTATACTTATACTACCAGCTTAGATTAAACACAATATTTTACAACAAGAAATCTACTTAAAAGATTATATTTAGATAATAATAAAGATAATGTATATATAAGATATGTAATAATAAAGTAATGCATACAATAGGTGGAAATACATTCAAGTTAGCGCAGATTAGGGGAAACGGTCATTACCTTGGGATGGGGTGGAGGTGGTATTTTTCTTTCTATACTTTTTAAGATTTAATTCTTACGCAATCATTATTTTTAAACATTACTTTTAAATTTACATCCAGTTTTCGCTGATTATAAAAATATGTAGCAATGATAAGATGGGATTTTGAGCCAACCTGTTACATTTTTTTTCCTTTTTGAGCATTGCTTATAAGGTAAAAGGTAAAACATAAAGTTTTTATGGATTAAATTAAATAAACTTGTAATTAAAAACTTTCCAGTAATTATTGAATTTTTGCATTTGTTTTAAAAAATCAACACATTTTATATTCTAATACTTTTATATAATTTTTTTTTTTTGTGTGATTTTGCCTCTTCAAGGCCAAGGAGGTCACTACAGTCAAAGAGACTGCTTTTTTTTCTTTTTTTTAATTTTAAGGTGTGATTATAATCCTCTCTCAACTCTTTAACTTTCAAACATGAATCTGCACAAACAAGATTGCTGCCTGGAGAAACAAGTTCAGTGCGGCACAACCTGGGGCGTAATGGGTTGGAACTCGGAACTTCTTGCTTACAAGGCGAGCCCTCTATCACCATATCACTATCACATTGGTAGTGGTTTATATTAGTCATATACATTATTTATTAGTTTATATTATCATATACTTTAGTAATACAAATTCAAACTATTTTAACAATGGCATCTCATACAACAGTGAATAAAAAATGAGTTTCAAAATGAATGAATAGAAAAACAGTTTAAAAAAAACATTTACTTGCTCAAACAATCAGTGAATAATATTTTTGTATTCATTCTCCAAATAAGAAATATTATGTTAAAACCAGACTGGTTCAGAATAAGATATTGTCTAGTTTGCAGCTCTCAAAAGTTGAAACTAGTTGAATAGGCAGGGTAAAAAATTTGTAAAAATTCATTTGAGATTCTGAGATTCAAAATCTATGAATTCTTGCAATGCAAATTTATAAAAACTCTTTGGCTCACATGCTGTCATCATATTTTTAATTATTTTTTAAGTCATTTTGAAAAACTTTATTTCAAAAACAGACAACAACTGTTATACATTTTACAATTATTAAAATTAAATTGCTTCACTAGAGAAACTTTCCTTTTACAATTTCCATGATATTCCTTGATATCGAAAAATCTTTCTTAAAAAAATGCAATGTTGTGTTTACTTTAAAAAAGTAAAATTACAAAAGTATTACACACTTTTTTTACAAAGTAAATAGTAAAAAAAGTTTTTAAAATGGTCAAAAATTGCAATAAGTAGCAATTATAACACTTATTTAGAACAATAAAAACTAGTAGCTGATCTGACCCATAAAAATATGGGTCTTTGTAAGTCTATTCCACACTGACTTTTTCTATACTTTTTCCTTATATATATATCCTAGGTTTTAGGACCCATAAAATACGGGTCTTTACCAAACCTTTCCTATTTCACACCAATCATTTCTATACTTATGATTTGTTTACTTCAATAATTTTATGTAAAATATATCAAAATTTTACGTAAAATATTTTATTTAAAAAATTAACATTCGCACTCTTTCAGCATAGCTTATAAGAGATTTATAATTAGGTTTGTTTTTCTCCTAAACGCATATCATTGATAACTCAGTGGTTTAGTGCGCTGTCATCAGTGTTCCATATACTGCCTGCAAATTCAACATATGCTAAAGATGTTTACTTTTACAGATGTTTGTATGCAATGCTATACAAATAGCAGAACTAAGATCTTAAAAAATATAGACTATAAAATCTAAGGGATCTTCCATAAATTATTTAGATTAGGGATCAGCCAAAAAGTATATAAAGCCAAAAAATAATGAAGTATAATACTATTTTGATGGTTATCTAAATTCTGTTGTTGTTGCGCACTAGGTTTAGAATGTTTAACGTGGTAAAATAGCTGTAAAACTCTAAATTTCTTTATTGTATCAATATTAAATAACTTTAACTTTTAATTATTTTTAAAAGTATTTAGTTTAATAAAATGGTTTAATTTAAGTATAAAATTAGAATTTTCAATTATGTTCTTATATAAAACATACTTTTCAAACTCCGTTGCTGTTTTAAAAAAGTTGTAGCGTTTCAAGTTCAAATCATCAACTTGCTTTATTTTTAAATTTTTGTTATTTAAAATGCAAAACAAAACAACTTTACAGTTCTATAGATTTTATATTCTATATATAAACATGTTGTATACTCATTTTTCTTGCTCAAACTTTGTTGTAAAAAAACTTGAAATGTAAAACTAAAATAACATGTTATAAAAGCAACAAATATTCCCCCATTTATTAATGTTTTTTAGAATTTTTAGCTTTTTTAAAAATCTTTTTGTTTCGTGCTTATCTGCTTTTTTAACCCTCTTTTACTGAATAAAATAACACGAGTACAGAATAATAACAAGACAGTTATTTTACAGAAAAAACAAGACAGTTATTTTACAGAAAAAAATTTTGTTCATAAATATTTACTATTGATATAAATACCTTATCTTTTTTGACCTTCCTACAAAATCCTAACTTTGACTCATTTTAGGTTAAAAACGGGAAAATATTAAATCAAATTTGGCAATACTCAAAAAAAATTTTCTATTTTATTTTAATAGTTTGTATTCCTATGTGTAAAGGATCATGTTTTTTTGCATACATTTCCAAATTTTGTGCAATTTTCAAAAGTTTTGTCTTTTGTTCTGCCCTAATATATATGTATATATACACACACACAGATCATCCACATTATTTGGAATCAGTAAAATTAAGTTCGGCAATTTATTTTTTATTATTATTTGCTGACCTTAAATATATATATATATATATATATATATATATATATATATATATATATATATATATATATATATATATATATATATATATATATATATATATATATATATATATATATATATATATATATATATATATATATATATATATATATATATATATATATATATATATATATATATATATATATATATGTATATATATATATATATATATATATATATTTGGAATCAGTAAAATTAAGTTCGGCAATTTATTTTTTATTATTATTTGCTGACCTTAAATATATATATATATATATATATATATATATATATATATATATATATATATGTATATATATATATATATATATATATATATATATATATATATATATACACATGCTCATATTGGTTTATAGTCATGGAAAACATTCAAGTGATAGTGATAGTGGAAATTGTGAAACAGAAAGGACTCATTCAAAAGCAGCACCTGTTTTACTTTCTCAAAGTCGTAAACAACAACGTAGACAAGCTCGATCAGTTTCAAAAAATTCCCGCAATGAGAAAAAGTTGCGCAATGATCGTACAACTCTAAAGTCCAAAGTTAATTTGAAAAAAGTATCAGCAAAGAACTGTTTTGAACAGGTTGAGTCTGATTCAGGACAAGAAATGTATTACTGTTTTGAAGGTTAATTTTTGTTTACATAAGTTAATATTTGTTCAATATAAATATAATATTATTTTATTTATTTATGCAATTTATAGTTTTTGTATTTATTTATGTAGTTTATAGTTTTTACAGTTTTGTTGGTTATTTCTTTAGATAACAAACTGATTTAATAGTTTTATAAATATTTTAAATTTTATTTATAAATTCATATTTATATAAATAATTTGACTTTGTATAAAAATTTTTAACTTGATAAATGATTGTTAGCAGCAACTTTTTTTCACCAGCTATTGAGGTAGTTCCATGTGTTTTTTCCTCGTTTTAGGGGATGGATTTTCAAGAACAACAGATAATTGGGATAGTGAAACAACAGGAGGTGAAACCATTTCTGAAAGTAATATACCTATTAAGCTAAATAATAGTGTAAATAAAAAACCTGCCACCAATCAAAATTACCAGTTTGGTGAATATGATAAAATTGATAAAATTTTTGGAGAGAAAAAATCTGCTTTGTTTGAAAAGAGACCTGATCAATCAGAAAGCTACCACAACCTTCACGAACCTAATATTACGTTGCCTCTATTATTATCAACTGAAAATAGTAAGCTTGTTTTTGATAAACCAAGTGATCTTGAGACTGGAATTGATGATGATTTTAATATTAAAGAAGACATGTTCAAGACTAATAGAGATGGGGGATTTGATGTTATGCTATTGGATCAAATAAATAAAAATTCAGATAAGAATGCTCTTGCCTCTACCGAAATATTGGTAGGACAGAGCACTGAACTTATAAGTTCTTTAACTTTGTCCGATGAAAAAAGTTTGTTTCAAAGTTTTTCTGATCAACCAAAGCTTTACACGCCCTCTTCTACCTCACAATACAACTCTTGTGATTTATTTTTAGAAGAGTCAAATATCTCTGTTAAAAAGAAAACTCCTCAAGATGAAAAACCAAGAACAGAAGTCGAGGAACAAAGTAATTTTAATATTCTTACAAGTTTTAACGAAAATCAACCAGCAGTGTTGACAGATATATTTAACAGTGAGTTTTCTGGTAACCCAAGCTCCTCCGATAGTCAATTCGATGATTCATTAATTGCTTATTCAAAGTCACCATCTTTTGATTCTGGGACAGAGCAGAAGACGAATGACAATAAACTAACTATTTCTAATAGTTTAAACACAAAAACAGGGGATTCGAGCTTTGTGTGTTGTTCTAATGATGCCCTAACATCATCCAAACTAAAAGATAGTAATGTAAATGATAACATCAATGTTTCCAAAAAACAAAAGAAAAGTAAAAAAAAAAAGCAAAAGAATGGAAATCGGGTAAGTCGAATTGATATTCAGAGTATTGAAGCAGAGGGTTACTCATTATTTGAGCTTGCAAAATTGGTTTTGAAACAAGCTCGTAATGCTACAACATCATACATTCCAGATGTTGATGAGGTTAGTTCTGGATGCTCTGTTAATCGTGTTTTGCAGTTGGCTGCATTCCAAATAGGTAAACTACATTTTTTTTTAAGATTTTGTACTAGATTAAAAATTACAATTTATATTATACAAGGTTAATTATAAAGTATATAAATATAATATGCAAAATATATAATAATTAAAGATTATTTTCAAAGTAATCACTAAATAGTTTTGAGAACTAAAGTATTATGTAGTTTATATTTTACTTTTTTATTTATTATTTAATTTTTTTTATACATTTAAAAAAGAGTTCTGCACAAAATACTTTATATTTGATGCATACTTACAGAAACTGTGTAAAAACAAGCTGAGGTATGTTTAAATACTTACAACACAACTATGTATGTTCAAATACATACTTTTATCTCAATACAAACAGCAGCAGAGATTTGCTTCATCAACATTTTTGTTACAGAGTTTTTTAAACACTTGTAGGTCTACAGGAATTTGATTAATTATTTTTCATTCAACACTAAAAGCTTTAAAGGCATTAGTTAACTTTTTCTTAAAGAAAAAAGACTCATCAATTTGCAAATTTATTTATAAGTTAATAACCATAAGTATTAAAATTTGTATTCCTAATATTCTTGTTATTTAGTTTTAAAAACCTAAAGAACAAATTATGTAGATTTTACTAAACCATAAACTCTAGGTCATCAATCTCTGGGACTTTCAACTTTTATCTCAGGCTTTACACCTATTTTCTCATAACATTTATTTAAAAAAATTGTAAATAATGTTAATGTATAACTAAACTAAAATTCTTTTAAAATGTTTAATAGTATACTAGTCTACTTGGAGTACTCTAATCTAGAATGCTTTTAGTTTAAAAATTTTTTTAGTAGCATACTCTACTCTACAGTGTTTTTAAAATGACTTTTTTAGGTTTGTTTGCTTTGCAAATTCATAATTGCAGTTCACCAAATTGGTTTTCTCGAACATACTCAAGTTATGTTTCTTGGATAGAAAATTTAGCTGTTGAGATAGGAGCCTCTGCATTACGTATTCTTAATGAAAAATGGGAAGACATTTTGACACCTTCAGAGTGTGTTCAAATTGCTAGCAGAGCATCACGTTCAGGTGATACACTTTTAAAACGCACTGCTGCAGAATTAGCATTAACATGTTTGCCACGGTCACAAAGTTTAAACCAAAGAGACATAAATCTGACTATCACAATGTGTCGAGAACAAAGTGAAGAAATGTTAGAAAGAGCATGTTCCTCTGTTGAAAGTGCTGGTAGACATGGTGGAATACAACCAGAATTACTTTTTCGCATAGCTAGAGAGTGGCATTATCTGCATGAGGAAAAGCGTAAACGAGAAGGTACTTGTTTTGATTTTAAAATTGATAAAATAAAAAATCTAAAAGAGTATTTTATTAAGTTATTTAGAATAAAGTTTGTGCTAAAAGTTTTTTTTAATGTTTTTAAAGTTATAACAATTTTGTATAAATGACTATAATTATTTTACAAATAACAATTTGTAAAATAATTGAGGTGTTCTGTTGTTTGTCATATCAATGGATAAAAAAACATATCAATGGATAAAAAAAACATATCAAAGGATTTCAAGAATTTAATGTATAAACTGTTTTTTTTTTGACTCATGTTTTTGTGGTGGTGGACAAAAAAAATGTCATGTATCAGTATTATTTTTAGTGAACATATTTTTTTACAAAACTTTATTAATTTTTAATAAAATTATTATAGTTTTAAAAAACTATAGTTATTTATTCTAAATATAAACCCTCAATAAAAATCTGTCTAAAAAAATATATAAACCCTCAATAAAAATTTTATATATATAAATTATAAAATTTATATCTAAATATAAACACTCAATAAAAAGTGTTAACCCTCAATATAAATCCTCAGTAAAGAGTATACCCCCTCAGTAAAAAATATAAACCCTCACTAAAGAATATAAACCCTCACTAAAGAATATAAACCCTTAGTAAAGAATATAAACCCCTCAATAAAGAATATAAAATGTTAATGTTAGTTCATAGTCTAATAAATTAAAAATTTTATAAGTATTTTTATAAAATTATACACTTAATTCTGATGATCCATAACTAATTATTAACAGAGTTGTCAGTCTTGTCCAATAAATGATTTTAATTGTTTAAAAAAATGTTTTTATAAATAAAAATGATTTTAAAAATAATCAAAATGGTTTTTGAATGCTTTTTTAATATAAATTAAGGTGAATGCTATACTCAGAGGGGCGTAGTTGGGATTGAACTTGGAACTTCTCCCTTATTAAGCGAGCGCTCTACCACTACACCACTACCGCATTTTTTTTTTTACTTTATGATTTTTTTAAAATTTTATTATTGTAAGGTTTGTATTTAATAAACTAGAATATTTTTTTGGTTTAAATTATTTTATTTCATTTACTTTACTATTCCTTCATTGTTTAATCATCATTGTATTGGCTTTTAAAATAAAAAGTTGTTGTTTAATAAAAATTTAAATATATTACCAGTTTATATTTACAGACATCTATTTCTTATCTATTTTTTTTTTTCAAATTTTTTTTAAGGTACAAATGAAAGTAATAACACCCCTCGAGTTAGAAGTGAAAATGTGTCACCCAATCATTTTTTAGAACCATCTGTGTTTATTACAGCTGAGCAGTTTGTTCAAGATCAAATGCATCAAAAAGCCCAAGAATTTCTTGGACGGCAACTTCATCGTAGTAGTACACAAGATCATGTGCCATGGTTTTACCCTCCTTATTCAAGCCAGTTGCATCATTGTCCCTTGCCACAGCAAGTGGTTCACTCTAAACGTATTCAAAATATTGATTCATACTGTGTGCCTTTGTCTAATTTTCCTGACGAGTTGAATTTGTCTGAGATTCCTCGCTGTCTTCAAAACAGCTATCGTGTTGGAATGAAAGCTCTTGAAGCTTTATCTTTGCGTATGCCAGATAAAAGACCTGAAATAAAGTATGCACTTGCCCCACCTTCATCAGAAGACATCAGATGGATGTGTGCACTGGCTGCATCTCTCGGACCACCTTATTTAAAGAATTTTTGTAAAGTTGTTTTAAGTGCTGTATCAAGTCCATATTTACTTCACGACTTAGCATTAGAAGCTGCCCGCCATTTTGCATTGTATAATCCTGCCCAATTAGCTTCTCATCTTCGCTCTCCAAGTGTTAGTCCAATTGTTCAAAAGGCACTTTTGTTATTTACTGAACTTGTTCATCATGACCTTGTGTTGCTAGTTCAACCAGGTTATGCAGACTTTGTTGATTTATTACGTCGAACTCGAAGTGCTTTTTGTATGGCTCCAGGAGGCATGACCAGATTTAATGAAATTTTAGAAGTGATTCGGAAGACATATCCAAAAAAAAAAGAACTGTGGCAACTTATTATGAATGGCCTTTCAAAGGCATGAATAATTTTTTTTTTAGTTAAAAAAATGTTTTTATAGTTTACAACATAAATGTTATGGCAATGTAGTGTAAAATATTTTTCTTCTGGAATTTCTTATAATAAACTTTAATTGTTACATTTTGGATTGTGTGTGTGAATTGTTTTAAAATTCCTTTTTCAATTTTTATAAAAACTTTTTCAACCGAGTGCCATATTAACTAATGAAAAATTATTTTTTTTGTTTGTTTGTGTGTTTTTTAGTTTATGGTATTCAAAAATGAAAATACATTTTATATATCGTGTTTTTTCTTATGAAATTTGATTGAGATATTTGGATATGGTAATAAGTGTTACTAGGAGCTGTTGTTAAGTTGATTAGGTTGTTAAGTTGATTATGTTGTTAAGTTGATTAAGTTGTTAAGTTGATTAGGTTGTTAAGTTGGTTAGGTTGATTAGGTTGTTAAGCTGATTAGGTTGTTAAGTTGATTAGGTTGTTAGGTTGATTAGGTTGTTAAGTTGATTAGGTAGTTAAGATGACTAGGTTTTTAAGGTTGGTTTACAGTATAGACCTCAATAATAATAAAAAAAAAGCATTTTTTCTTATGATAGAAATGAACATGTCTTCATAATGATATAACTTTTAAATATTTTTTATAAAAAAATTTTTATATAATATTTTTTTTTTTCGAAAAGAATAATTTGTTTAGTTTATATTTAATTTTGTTGATGATGAAACAACCACAAAATCTTATTTTTTCAAATGGTTACTACTTTATTTTCCTTTATCATCAATACTTTGGTATTTTCATTTTCATGTTTATTTGACTAACAATTTACATGTTTTAAAATCTGCTATTTTCATGTTTGTTTTTTGAAACACACACAGTTTACAATTTTTAAAGTCTGATGTTTTCATATTTATTTGAAACACATAGTTATAATTTTTTGAGCCTGCCATTTTTTATGTTTTTTTGAATCACACAGTTAACAATTTTTAAAGTCTGCTAATTTCATGTGTTTTGAAACACACACAGTTAACAATTTTTAAAGTCTGCTATATTCATGTTTTTTTGAAACACGCACAGTTTACAATTTTCAAAGGTATTTTCTTTCCCTTTAACTCTTTTGTGTTCTGTCAACTCGAAACTTAAATAGTTTACAGCCTTGTTGGAAGTGAATTCGTTAAAAAAAAAACATTTACTATATGTTTAAATTTATTGACCTGTGATTCTTCATTGGATGAACTTGATTTTTATTTTTATTATTCTCTTTTTATTGATCTGCTGCCGTATTCTCATCTCTCCGTTAAGCTTAACAGAGCTTTTGTCTGAAATTTCATTACAATATATCTAAGTAAAAAAATGACAAAAACCTTATTTAAATTTTTTAAAATGAAAATAATACTAAAATAGAACATTTATTTTTAAAAATGTATATTTTTAAAGAATCTTTTTATTAATGTAGTTAAAAAGAAATTTTTTACTAACGCTCCGTTAAGCTTAACAGAGAGATGAGAATACGGCCCCTGTATTTTTATTAATTTTTAAGTTTTACTTATTTTTATTTGTATTAATTTTTATATGTAATAAATTTTATTTTATTTTCATTAAAAAACATTGATCTTTAACTTGACTATTACTTTTAATTGACTGCTTTACTAAATGATCAGTAAATTTGATAACTAACAAATCCATTAATAGTTTGTTGATTATTCATTAACAAATTCATTAACATAATTTAGTGACTAACAAATACATTAACATAATTTATTGACTAACAAATTCATTAACATAATTTATTGACTAACAAATACATTAACATAATTTATTGAGTAACAAATACATTAACACAATTTAGTGACTAACAAATACATTAACACAATTTAGTGACTAACAAAAACATTAACATAATTTAGTGACTAACAAATACATTAACATAATTTAGTGACTAACAAATACATTAACATAATTTAGTGACTAACAAATACATTAACATAATTTAGTGACTAACAAATTCATTAGCATAATTTAGTGACTAACAAATACATTAACATAATTTAGTGACTAACAAATACATTAACATAATTTAGTAACTAACAAATACATTAACATAATTTAGTGACTAAAAAATACATTAACATAATTTAGTGACTAACAAATACATTAACATAATTTAGTGACTAACAAATACATTAACATAATTTAGTGACTAACAAATACATTAACATAATTTAGTGACTAACAAATTCATTAGCATAATTTAGTGACTAACAAATACATTAACATAATTTAGTGACTAACAAATACATTAACATAATTTAGTAACTAACAAATACATTAACATAATTTAGTGACTAACAAATACATTAACATAATTTAGTAACTAACAAATACATTAACATAATTTAGTGACTAAAAAATACATTAACATAATTTGGTAATTATAAATGCGCTTCTATTACACTTCCTGTTTTTTCTCTGTAAAAAAAAGTTTGAAAAAAAATTCTTTGAAAATGAAATTTAATTATTTACAAAATTTTATTGGTGTGAGTTTAACTGAAGAAGAGCTTAATGACATTTCTTATCCTTATACTGAACTCTGCACACATGTTACTCTTAAAACTGTACAAATTGGTGGAACACTTGGTACTTTCTTGTTTGGACCAATTCTTGCTGCTGTTCGTAAACCAAAATTAGGATTGATGAATGCGATGTTTAAGTCTGGGAAAGTTGGTGTTGTATTAGGACTCATATCAGGTCTTTTGTTAAAACTTTTGATAAATTTTATGATAAAAGTTAATCACTATCATATTAAATATATATAAGATAACATATATTCTAAATTAGAAAACATTTTTTACTCTTTGTTTTTTGCTTTTAATTAATAACTTTTAAAGTATTTCTTTATTATTATGTATTAGAATAATTTTTTTTTAAACTATTTAAAACCACCAAACTTTAGGTCCCCCCATGACATTTATGAGAATTAAAGATGTTGAAACTTTGGATCCTATAACAGATCGGTGTTATCGTATTAGAAAAAACATGAATCAGTTGCGTGTTGATCGGAGTTATTTTCTCGGAGGTGGAGTCGGAGCTTTTACATCAGTTGCTATAGCATCATCACCTGTATTTGGATTTTTGGCTGGTTCTTCAATGGGTCTAATTTCTGCAGGGTTGTATAATCATCAACTTGCTTCTAAATAAAAGATGTATTTTTTTTTGTCTTTTTAAATTTCAAGTTCTCCTCATGTAAAGCTTTGAGCCTACAGAGACTATAGTGATTGTGGAGGCTGTGCGAACTAATAATGTGGAGAGGATTATTTTAATTAAATAAACTTTTTTAAATATTTTTTAATTAGTATGTAATTAATTGTAATTGATTTGTAACATTTTGAAAATAAATTTGAAATAACTTTATAATACCATAATGTAATATTTACACACTTTAATACATAGATCACAACTTTCTGTGAGATCAAATTTTCATTTGACCTGAAAATATTTCATAATACCCCAAAAAGTTTAAAATAATTTAAAAATTATATGGTCATCTTTTTTTAATAAGTTGATCGTATTCTTGGTAAATTCGTGTATTTTTATATAAATTTGTGAATAAGTATTTTATTTTTTTACTCAGGTTAAAATAATTTTTTTGTACTCAGGTTACTGTAAAAATTTTCTGTATAAAAAGTATTAAAGATGAACTGGTTCTCTGGTGAAATACAAGAAGCTATAGAAAAATCAATTAAAGAAAAGAAGTTATTTATTGTGTTTGTAAAAGGTTTGTGATCTGTTTCATATTTTCTCAACAGTGAGTTAACTTTTTTTAATGAGTGTTTATTAATGTCTAAAAAAACTTAAAACTAAAGCATAATGTGTTAGGGGAATAATTCTTGTAGAAACATATATAATGTTGTAGCAACAAGTTTAGTAATTTTAAGTTATAAAAAAATTAAAGTTTGTGAAATTACTGTTTTTTTTAGATAATGGAGAAAATTCACATCTATTAAATGCAATGTGGAATGATGAACAGGTTAGAGATTTTGTGTTGTGAAATTAAACATCATAAAATTAAATACATCTTTTTTTACAGTTTCATCTTTTTTACAGTTTCATATTTAGAGAGTGTTTTTTTATTTAATCAATAGATATTATCACTTTTTAATGATGGTCAAAGTATAAACATCATGATCTCAGTTGATAGTGTTACAGGAAAACAGTTTGCAGCAATATGTATCTTTTTACTTTAAGGAATATTTTAGTTGTGTTAACATGTGTTAACATTTTTATTTTATTTTAAGTAGTTTGAATATTAGATTGTTAACATTGTCTTTTTATTTTAAAGAATATTTATCTTAGGATATGTGAAAATTACATTTTTATTTTTAAGATTATTAAGTTAGGATGTGTGAATATTAACATTGTTAAAGTTGCGTAGACTCTTTCTGAAAACATGCTGAAAACATGTTGATTTGCAGCTTTTTCCACTTGATGGACACTGATCTGTATTTTGTGCAGGTAGTGGGGTATCTAGTAACAGAAGTAATGTTTGAAAAACAGCTGGGCAGTATTCTAGCAATAAAATTGGAACATATCAGGATTGAACTCCTTGATGGAGAATACAGATGATATTAAATCTTGCTAAGGAAATATTTCTCCAAGACTAGTGGTAAACAACTATTGAATAGTCCTGAAAAATTAAAATTAAGGAACTGTATAATTTGAGTGCTAAGCACATAAAAGAATGGTCAGAAGATTTAAACCTGATTTTATAACATATAGGTGATTTAAACCCAGGCTAATCATGTGACTGTTCGATTTTTTGTGAGTCAAAGACTAATAGCCATCAACACTAAGATCCAAATTTTGCTGGTTTTTCACAAGAATTTTGCAAGACCCAAAAAAGATTGATGTACTACATTACACTGTATTACACTAATAGCTTTTTACCATTTTTAACCTTATTTTAACTGAAAAGCTCAACTAAGTGTAACGCAGTGTAAGTTACAGTGATACATTTGGTAAGAGGTTTTTTGATCATTTACTATTTTTATCATTTTTAATGTAAAAACTCAACCCTACTTCAAAACTCTCTTCAATACTTTCCAGACCAATTAATAAATCTTTAACTGAATCTTGATTTGCTGCCTAAAATTATTTTAACTGAAAAGCTCAACTAAAAACAAATTGCTATATAAAAAACTTTCACTAATAGCCATCAACACTAAGATCCAAATTTTGCTGGTTTTTCACAAGAATTTTGCAAGACCCAAAAAACATTGATGTACTACATTACACTGTATTACACTAATAGCTTTTTACCATTTTTAGTTGAGCTTTTCAGTTAAAATAAGGTTAAAAATGGTAAAAAGCTATTAGTGTAATACAGTGTAATGTAGTACATCAATGTTTTTTGGGTCTTGCAAAATTCTTGTGAAAAACCAGCAAAATTTGGATCTTAGTGTTGATGGCTATTAGTGAAAGTTTTTTATATAGCAATTTGTTTTTATGATTTGTTTATATATTTAAAAAAAAAGTTAAGTTTATGGTTCTAAGAATTAGTAAAAATGCTTCATTACTATAATTATTTTTCAAGTTTAAATGTGATTTTTATATTTTGAGCTTTATTATTTTTACATACATTTCTTTACCATAAGGGTTTTGTTTATCACTTTTATTATTTCATCAATACAGTTGGAAAAAATATTAAATTAAATTTATTTTCTTAAAACTGTTTATCATTTTGAAACTTTTTTGTGATCCTTGATATTTTGAATTAGATTCAGTACCTTATGTTCCATCAACATATCTAATAAATAATGAAGGAATTCCTATTGATATTATCCCTGGTGTACTTCCAGTAAATGAGTTTAAACAGCGGCTGTTGAATGCACTAGTAAATATTTTTACAATTTATTTAAAAATTAAAAAAAAATATTGAAAACCTGTAATAAAATCAAATATTGGAAAAAATTGTTTTAGAAAACTCAGGAATCAAAAAGATTGGAAAGTGTAGTTTCGTCTGAAAAAAGATTGGAAAGTGAAGTTCAGTCTGGAAATAATCTTAGAAAAAGTGAAGACAAAATTGAAACAAGTCCATTAGCAGCTGATACTGAAGAAGCTCAAAAAAGCGTTCAGGTAATTTGTGTGAGAGTATTTTCAATAATTTTCACTTCATTGTTCTTGATAGACAAAATGATGGAGTAATCATGTTTTTACTTAGTGAAATTACTTAAGTAATTTCACTAAAAAGATATTTTTTATTAAATTTAGTTTTTTAAAAATAATGAATATTCCTGATGTTCCTGATAAAAGAATAGATATTCCTGAAAGACATTCCTAACTAACCATTATTTATTTTGTTTGCTTTTTCTAGATAATGAATATTTTGTTGGAATAAATACAATAGTTAAAATTTTAATTTTTTTTAGAATTTCTTTAATATATAGTAAGATATAAATATTATATACTATAATAACACCTGAACCGATTAAATCTGGACAACTTTTAAGTCATTCTTCTTTAATTGGTTAATAACTTTATCACATGATTTTATGTCATTTTGCAGAGAATTTAATTCTCTATAATATGAAATTATTTTGAAATTTGAATTTTATTAATAAATGGTTAAAGTTAACCAATCAAAAAAGGAAAATATAAGAAAAACTATGTACCAGTTTGTTAAAAATTATTCATCTTGGACTAAACCACAGATTGTTAAACACTTTCAAGAGGAAGGAATTCCTAGATCAACCTTCTATAATATTTTAAAAAGAATGGAGAATAAAATACAACCTGAACGGAAAGTTAGAAGTAAACCACCGGTGTTAAAAATGACCAAAGCAAAAGTTACACTTTTAAAAAATTTAATTGATCATCACCATGAAATTAGCCAATGTGCTCTTGCCAAAAAATTTAGTGTGTCTAAATCAACAATATTTAGAACGATAAAACAGAAGACAAATATCAAATATTACAAAAAGAAAAAAGAACTATTAAGCAAAAAGAGGTTGCGTGTACAAAATGCTATTAACTTACCAAGTTTTTTCGCAAAAAACAAGTCATAGTTGATGATGAGTCTTATTTCGGTTTGAGCAACTTCGAGGAATCCAAAACTTATAATTTTTTTGTTATGTTTAAATGATAATATTTTTTATCTATAATTATCTTTTTTTCAAAATAAAAAATCTTTATCCGTTAAAAAGTTATTAAATTTTTTCTTTTTGTCCAGATTTAATCAGGGCAGGTGTTATTCATAGGATAAATGATTAAAAAAAAATTTTTATAAAGTTTTTTTTTTCCGATTGTGCTATAGTTGTTTATTAATACCAGAAATGAGAAATTGACATAAAATGTTGAAAAGAAAAAATTCCGTTGCTCTAGGACTTAATTTTAAGTTACCTCAAGCTTTTCAAAAATATCAAATAGTGACGTAGAGAAATAGACCTAAAGAAAAAGACCTAATTTTTTTCATTTTTTTAAACCAAAAGTTATCTACTAATATCAGAAATACTTTGTAAAGTTGCAATGTTCTGATAATTAACCTTGAGATACCCCAATAACTTTGAAAATCAAAAAAAAAAATTTTAAATGGTAACAATCCAGGGAAAAAACAATTAAGAAATTTTTTAAAATTACATCTAAGCTCTGATAAGTTGTTTAATCGGATAAGAGATGCATTTAAAAATTTTTTGAAGTTGTTTTTAGGTATTTCTAATTTTTAGTTTGAAAGTTAGAAAATATCTCTGTTAATAAATTTTTACAAAATATGAATGATTAAGTTGATCTTTTTTTTCAAAACTTTTTTGACAATAAATGTTTTATGCTGATTGTCAAATATAGTACCATTAATTGTTTTTCATTGATATCACTAAATTTTCTGGATGAGCGAATTTTGCATTTTTTTTGGAATACAGGATTGACAATTTTCTTAAGCTCAATAGAAAAAATGATAACTGCCATCCTTACAGGAATGCTTTAACTTCACTTCGAACCAAACAGGTGTGTACTTTTTGTACAGAAGTTAAAAAAATAATTTTTTTGTGACATGTAACCAGAGTATATGGTTAGCAGTTGTCAATGACAATTGTGAATGACGCAAGGTTTTGATTTACATTGGTCATTGACATAGCATGTAAGCTCCTTCAATTAGTACTAAGATTTTAGCATGAACACTGAACAACAAATTTCTTTAAGTTGGTTGAAAACTTACAATTGGCTTTGACAATATACTTCAATAGTTTTCAAATTGGACCACTAAATGTAATGTGTAGATCTATCCAAGTTAATTAGAATATGTCTTAAAAATAACTCATTCATATGCAATAAACATACAAACCAATGTAGAGGTTGAAATTGTTGAATCAAAGTTTAAGAAGTCAAGAACTCTACTAAATTGTGTCATTAGTGTTCACATTTTTGCTATTATATTCAATTGCCGCCATTAACCTGTTATCAATAGTGTTTGCATTTATAGAAGTTACAATGCTAACTTATATACTTTGTGAAGATCCATATAATATTTTAACATGTTCTAGGTGTTCAAAACTAGACTCCTTTATTAACACAATGTGCTTTTCGGTCTCCAATGCCAGACAATATCTGTTTTTCTTTTATGATCTGGTCTCAAGTTTTGTTATTTCCATTGTTGAAAGATAACCCTTCCAATATTTTTTTATTGTTTTCTCTACAAAACTTGGGTCAAAAACTATTCAATCTCATTGAATCCATTCAATAACTCTCCATTGATCATATTTGAATGTTGGCAATGGAGTTTGCATTTGAGAGTTCAAGACTTTTTGTGAGCTTGTATTATTAGTTGATAATGATTACTTTGGCAAGTGTTGAAGTCATAATTTTAACAAGTCTTTGGTATTTAAAAATTTCCTTTATCTAAATAATCGCTGCAATCATCTTCTTTTTTTTTTCTTTTTTTTTATTTGCATTCACTCCCAACAAGGCTGCAAGCAACCTCTATTAAGTTAGGAGTTACTAGGAAAAAAAAAAAAGAGCTATAGAGCAAGGAAACGGTTGACAGAAGACTTAAAAAGTTGAAGGTTGTATGAGTCAGGAAAACATGAAGATGGGAGAGAGTTCCAAAGGATTGAAGTGCGGGGAAAAAAACTAGATGAATAAAAGTTTTTAGAGCATACAGGGACAGGTACAGTAAACGAGTGAGACTTAGCTGAATGACGAGTAAAACGAGAATGAATTTTAGTTGATGGAACTAGAGATAATAACTCCTTTGAGCAGTGACCATGATAGTATTTGTAGAAAAGAGAAAGAGATGCAACTTTACAACGATGGGAAAGAGGCTCAAGCTTAGTAGATAGTCCAGGTCCAACAACATTTACAATGCGTTTTTGGACCTTGTCAAGAAGAGAAAGTGAATCGCTAGAAGAACCAGCCCAAATATGACAACAGTATTCCATACAGGGATGAATAAGAGATTTGTAGAGGTAGAGAATGGAATCAGAAGTAAGGAAATGGCGAGCACGATAAAGAGAAGCAACCTTAGCAGAAGCTAATTTAGCAATCGATTGTATATATGGTTTCCATGAAAGGTCAGTAGTAAGTGATAATCCAAGAAGACATAAAGAGGAGGACTCAGTAAGAGGATTGCCATTCATTAATATAGGAATGTTGATCATATTACGGTAGTTGTTTGCAGTAAGCAACTAGGTTTTTTGATCGGATTCAAGATCAGCTGCTTGTTCTAGGCAATCAAAAAGAGAAGACTTTTTGTCAAGACAGGAGTATAAAGTTGAGTCATCAGCAAAAAGAGCTACTTTAGATGAAAGGTTGTCAGGAAGATCGTTTATGTAGATAAGAAACAAAACAGGGCCCAGGATGGAACCTTGGGGAACCCCAGAAGTTAATGGAAATAAAGAAGAGTGTTGGCCTTCAAGGCCAACACTCTTTTCTCAAGATGACTTTAATAAACCGGTTAGAAAGAAATGATTTGATAATCTCAAAAACTTTCCCAGAAACACCAAAAACTTTCCCAGAAACACAATTATGGAGAAGACCAGCATGCCAAACTTTGTCGAAAGCTTTAGATATATTTTTTTTTTTTTTATTTTAATTCACCTCCTCAAGGCCGAGAAGGCCACTACAGACGAGGAGGCTACTTATTTGTGGTTATAACCCTCTCTCAACTCTATAACTCCGAAACACGAACCTTGACGAGCAAGGCCGCTGCGCGGAGAAACGAGTTGAGCGCGGTACTACCAGGGACGTGGTGGGGATCGAACTCGGAACTACTCGTTTATGAAGCGAGCGCTCTACCACTACACCACTACCGCATAGTGATATGTCGATATGTCGATATATCTACATATGTTATATGTAGATATGTCGAGAGCAATAGCCCTAGCCTCACCGCCTCCATCTAATGCACGATAAATTCTTTCAGTTACAGCAGTTAGCAAGTCGGCCGTAGAGCGAGAGAATCGAAAACCGTATTGATTGTCTGACAGTAGTTTATTTGACTCAAGATGAGATGTGAGGAATTTGTTGATCAAAGACTCAAAGACCTTGCTAATAACAGAAAGAAGGCTGATTGGACGATAATTGGAGGGGTCAGAATTTTTTCCAGAGTTTTTGAATATTGGAACCACAGATGCCGTTTTCCAACAAGCAGGAAAACAAGACTCAGTCAAACACTTGTTAAATAGTTTAGAGAGAATTGAAGAAAGTTCTGGAGAACAATTCTGCAAGACTGTGACAGGAATGTTGTCTGGACCACAAGCTGTAGACGAGTTTAATTGAGATATGACTTTAGCAACAGAAGCCGGAGTGATTTGAATGTCTAACAATGGGTCAACCTGTTTGACTGGAATGGAAGGAAGAGAATGTCCATGAGATTCAAGAGTGGAATTAGAAGAAAAGTTCTTTACAAATAGTTCTGCCTTATCCTTGGGAGAGGTAATAAGATCAGTCCCATGAATGAGAGATGGAATGTTAGATCTACCCTTGTTAACAATGCTGTTGAAGATTTTCCAAAAGTCTTTAGAGCCTAACTTCTGCGATAAGATGCGAGATTTAGTGAGAATAATGGAGTTTAGCATCAGAAAGCACCTTTTTACATTGATTTCTTGCAATAATAAATAGCCATTTGTTCTCAAGAGAGTTGTTCTTTTGAAAAAGATGAAAAAAATGATTACGATTGGATATAGCAGCCGCACAAGAAGGAGAAAACCATGGAGTAGAATGAGGCTTGACTTGAAACCGACGCGAAAGAATAAAAGCTTCCATTCCAGCCTGAATCCAGGAGGTTACGTAGGAGGCGCATTTGTCAGCTGAGAGAGAAAAAACATCAGCCCAAGGACCATCACAAAGAAAATCACGAAAGGAATCCCAGTCAGCTTTAGGGTAGTAGTAGGTGGTGCGATGATAAGGTGAGCCCAAAAAAGAAGTACGAGAAGAAAGATTTATAGAGATCATTGCATGGTCAGAACCACCTAAGGGAGAAAAGGGAGAAACTGAACATAAGCTAGGGTCAGAGACAAGACATAAGACATTAAAATCACCAACAACAACAATATTGGCAGAGGGGAAAAGAGAGAGGGCATGGTCAATTTGATCAGAGATAACATCTAAAAGAGTGCAATCATGGGAAGAAGGAGAATGATAAAGAACAAAGAGAAAGGTGATAGAGTGAAGAGGTGCTAGGCGAAAGCACTTAAAAGAATGGTCAAAGGATTGGAACCTGATTTCACGACAAATAGGGGAATTAATGCGTATGTATACCCCTAAACCTAGCATGTGACTATTGGAGTCTTTAGAATCAAAGGATAGTACCCATCAACACTGATATCTAAAGAAGGAATTGTAGAATTTAAAGTTGCAGAATTTAAAGAATTTAAAGCTTCTAAGCTACCATCTGAATGAGCTTTAGCACTTGTGAATATTTTACATTTATAAAATCTGAGTTTATCAGGGTTTTTTTCAGTTTCCTTTTCAACTGTTTTGTTTTTTTACCATCAATGTTGCCAATAGCTATTTTCCTTTCTTTAATCTGCAAAAAGGATTTTTTTCATTTGGTGGAACTTTTCTGTTATTTTTACAAGCACACATCAAAATGATATTCAAAAGCAAATTTCAAAATGATTTTACATTTAAATGAAGCAAAATCAAAAAGTCAAGTTTGTTCACTGCAACATCTTGTCTTTGGTTCTGTTTAAACAGTTTTAGAAATGATTGATATTTGTCATAGAAATTAATTAGTTTAGTCGATGAGATATCACTGGATTTGATAAGATATCACTGGATGCTTTGTGCCAAATCATGACTATTTAAAGTTTATCAAAAATAAGCCGAAAAAAAAAAAAAAAAATTTAATGAGTAAAAAGAATTGAAATAATTACATTCATAAAAGCTTTTTCAAAACTTCAATTTTAAAATCAATATTTTTTTTTAATTCATCATTGGCACTTGATTTTTGCTGTGTTGTTTTTCTATGGCTAAATCACTGCACATAAAGTTGAAACTGTATAATTATACCTCTCATTCCCAATAATAACATATAACATTTGGAATTATAAGGTTTTGCTAACATATGCACATATATAATTTATATATTATATACAGGGTCTATTCTAGGAAAAAAATAAGGGCGGCGGTACCTTCCCTCCATGTTTCGGCATACTTTAGCGGAAAATCTGCATTTTTTCTGCGATATTTGCGGTAAAAACATAAAAAAAAGTTAAAAAAGAATAAAATTTGAATTTGGGCGGTGCCCAAATACCATCGGCGCTGTTGAAAACAGTCTCGAATAGCCTCTGAAATATAACTATGCAACATATGCATAAATATCATTTATTTATATATATCATTATTATATATATATATCATTATTATATATATATATATCATTATTATATATATATCATTATTATATATATATATATATATATATATATATATATATATATATATATATATATATATATATATATATATATATAAAAGCAAATTTTCTGCTAAATTTTTCCAGGCCGGGGGGATACTACCACCCAATTTTTTTTCCTAGAATAGGCCCTGATATATATATATATATATATATATATATATATATATATATATATATATATATATATATATATATATATATATATATACATATATATATATATATATATATATATATATATATATATATATATATATATATATATATATATATATATATATATATATATATATATATATATATATATATATATATATATGTATAGAATATTAATCATTAATATAAATGATATTTGATTAATATAATATCATTAATACAAATGATAAATCTGACTAAACTTTTACTCTTTGAGTCTTCAAGCTAATAAAAACACATATATATATGAAAGATATTTATATATATATATATATATATATATATATATATATATATATATATATATATATATATATATATATATATATATATATATATATATATATAAACACATATAATATATAAATTGTTTTATATCTATATAATATATTTATTTATTTTATCACAGTAATATATAAAATATTTATTTAGGAAAAACAATTGGCAAAAGAAATGACAAATAAAGAAAAAGCTGAAGCTTTGCTTGAACGTAGCAGAATCATCAAACAACAAAAAGAAAAAGAGGTATATCATTGTTCATTTAAAAAATTGTTTAGAAAACATTTAAAAAATATTTTGAGGATTATAATTCTAGTAATATTTTTATTCATTTTAGTTTTGATTTTTAATATTATATCAAACCAATTTATTTATTGGAGATTAAAAAAAATTGATATAAAAATTATGATAACAAATGTAATAAATACTTAACATTTAAGTTGATGTTTACTGCAAGTCCTAAAAAGTTACGTAACAGAAGTCAAGGCCAACAACTTTTCCTATCAAATCAAAAATCTATTTGTTAGAACCAAAATCAAAAATCTTTTTATTAGAACCAAAGTATACAGTTGTATAATTAATGGGTAAGAGGTCATTTAAGTTTGTTAAGAAAGTTATTAGTTAAAGTTTGAAGAAAAAAAAAATATTTGACAGTGGTACCACACTATACTCTTGCTGTACCCCTGAGCTTATTGTAATGCTAACTTTTGAAATCAGTTGTCAGAGAATTAATTTTATATTATAAATTTTTTGATTAAAGTCTTGTTAATGATAGTAATATGACTAAATATATAATACTTAAAAAGGTTGTACAAATTTTGAAAATGAAAATTTAAATAAGTAAATGGCGGAAGCACTTTTGTTACTTGCAAAGTTGCCTCCATCTAGTGGGAATCCATAATTCAGAAAACCACTTTAAATAGCTTTGGCAGTATAGAAAGTTTTTTTAAAGTTCTGAAGAAATTCAGATTTTTGCAAGACTTTGACAAGAATATTGCCACATTTTCGAAAGATTTTGAAGATAATTTTTCCAGTTAAAAGACTTTAAGCTTCTTAAGGATCTTCTAGTGATAGCCTTTCTCTTTTAGACAAGGTGAAAAAACAAGATAATATTAAATAATTATCAATAACACTAATTTCCGCCCCAGATATGGCAACAGTATTCCATACAAAGCCGAATTTGAGATTTATAGAGAATAGAATCCGGAGTAAGTAAGTGTTGAGCTTGATAAAGATATGCAACTTTAGCAGATGCTAAAGTTGCATCTTAACTTCCATTTGATAGTTTTTTGTTTTTGATCGTATTAACTGATGACAAAAACTTTTGTAAACTTTTAAAATGGAATTTAGATTATTCAACTTTTTACCAAAAGGAATTTCTAATATTGGAATAAGTTAATAATAAGAATGAATTATAGTAATACATAGTAGTAATAGTAATACTTATTTTAACTTAGTTGCCATATCAATCAATATCTGGGGCAGATCTTCTAATGATGCCCTTTCTCTTTTAGACAAGGTGCAAAAACGCATTGTAAACATAGTTGGACCTACTCTTCCAGCCAACCTTTAACCATTATCACATCATCGTAATGTTGCTTCTCTTTCTCTTTTCTACAAATATTATTATGGGCACTGCTAAAGAGCTAGCGTCTCTTGTACCATCTACTAAAATTTATTCTTGTGTTACTCGTCATTCAATTAAGTCTCATCCTTTTTCTGTGACTGTTCTTAAGTGATTCGAAAACTTTTATTCCTCTAGTTTTTTTCCTCGAACATCAGTTCTTTGGAATTCCCTTCTCTCATCTTGCTTTCCTAATTCATATAATTTGTAATCTTTTAAGTCATCTGTCAATCGTTATCTTGCTCTACAATCTTCGTCTTTTCTCTTCCAGTAACTTCCAACTCTAATTAGTGGTTGCTTACAGCCTTGTTGGAAGCGAAGATGTTTAAAAAAAAAAAAAAAATTGTATATTTTATAATTATTTTAATAATGATTATTTATATAAAATTATTTCTGAAGCATTTCAGATTTTAATAAAAAAATATAATAAAAAATTAAGTTGAATTAAGTTTTTATTTCTTTAATTTGTTTAAAAAATTTGATAGTCATGGAACCATGTAGGATTTCATCATCAAAGATGTCATCTTTGAACAATGGACATTTACGTTTTGCAAAACTTTTCTGCACTTAAGTTCTTTTTTGGAAAAGAAATATTTGCTTGATATCATTTTATGATAAAACAGATTTAAAATAAATAATACCATTTGAACAGTACAAAAAGTAGAAGACGAAATGTGAAATCTCAAGATTGAGACCATTTCACATTGGTTTAAACCATTACCAATTTAAAATTTTTAATGAAATTATATTTTTATACTTTTAATCTATGAAGTATAATTTTAATGAAATTATATTTTTATACTTATGAATAATCTAGTATAATTTTTATCAAAATTTTTTTTTATATGTTTACTGCTTATCACCGTGTTAACTATTTTTTTTTTTTTACAGTTTTTAAAAAATCGTTTAAAAATAAATTGCATCAAAAAATATTTTTAACCCATTTATTTTTAAAAAATTCAGTGTTATGAAAAAATAAAAATATATTCAAATTTTAACAAAAAAAGGTGCAACAATCTTGTTTTTCAAAAAAAAAATTCTTTGAAAAAACTTTTTTTTCAATTATCCAATTTTCTTGAAAAATTATTTATAAGAGAAGACTTTGCTGCAGCATTAGAGTTAGTCGTAAATCATGTATCCAAATGTCATACTGTCAAATAGAAAATAATGAATAACAAAATAATGAAACCAGGCTGATCAATAAAACTAATAAAATTGTGGTATTTTTTATTGCAAAGAGGATTGAAGAGAAAAAAAAATCAATTTGAATCCACTACCAAATCAACGCATGAGAAGTATTTTGTTACACAAAAATGTTGGCCAATAATGGACTTTGGTTTAGTCTTTATGACAATTCATGGCTGTTTTTATACTAAGAAAACAAATTCTTTGGATATAAGAACATTGTATAGCAAAATATAGAAATTCATATTTTGTGTATATGCGTGTGTGTGTGCATATATATATATATATATATATATATATATATATTTATATATATATATATATATATATATATATATATATATATATATATATATATATATATATATATATATATATATATATATATATATATATATATATATATATATATATATATATATCAGTTGGTAAATCAAAAATGAAAAAACAGTTAAAAAATAAAATTAATAAAAACAGTAAAAAAAAAATGTTTTGAGTTAAAAAAGTAAAAAACATTTTTATTTTTTTAATAGCATTCAAAGTTTTTAGTTTCTTTATGTTCATATTGTTTATATAAACTGTTTAATATTGATTTGAGTTCTTTAAGGAAAATTGAAGAAGGTGAATTTGTTGAAGTATTTTGTTACTCCTACTTGTAAAAAGGTTTTCATGTTCTATGCACTTTTAATTATTTGAGGTAAAATTCTATATTTGTGTCTGTGGAGATTTTGCTATTAATTAAGATAGAGTCTAAAAGAAATGAAAAATAAATATAATGACATCAATGTGATGGGTGAATTTAAATTGTTGCATTAATGTGGTCAATGTGGTGAATTTAAATTGTTGCGTTAGGTCACCTCTTATCCTACATATTGGATAGTGAATATAATAAATATAAGTGTAATAATAAATATAATATAATATAAGAAATACGATCTCAATTGTTTTCATATATCTATTTTTATATATTTTTTTTAATTTTATTTTATATTTTGTTATACATTGTTACATCCGAAGATATTGCTATATCTAATGCTATATATAATGTTATCTATAGCTATATCTTTGCTATTTATAATGTTATATACGAAGATATTGCTGTCATAGAAACACCTACAAGTAGTCATAAGACTAAACTAAAGTCTTGACCAACACTTTTGTGTACCAAAGTACTGTTCATGTGCTGAGTTGATAGTGGCTGAATTTTAATAAAATATATTGTTGGTAGGAAGTAAATAGTTTGTAGGCAAGAACTGTAAACTTTTTTTACAAGTTTTTTAACATCGCTTTTTTCTTAGTGTTTTTATAATTAGTTACAATAAAAAATATAATTTATATATATATATATATTTTTCCAAATATTTTTTTTTTTACACAGAAGAGTTTTTACAGAAAAAAATTTTTTAATGTAGAAGTTAAAAGAGCAAGAAAAGAACCGAGTGCGTGAGGGTCAAGAACTTAGTTTGGCAAAGCGTGAATTAGCTGAGCGTCAAGCTGCATTACTAGCAGCTGAAATATCAAAACGTAAAGCTGAAGAAAAAGCTGCACGAGAAAAACTTAGAGAACAACTTCGGCTAGACAAAATAGAAAAAAATGCAAGATTCGAAATGGAAAAAAAATCAAGGAATGAAGCACTAACTGAAAAAAAACAAGCTGTAGCTTCTCCTGTATTAAAAGCTGAAAGGTAATAATGTTCATGCTGGGGATACATAAAAATATCAATTAAGTAAGTATTGCCCAAATAAGTTCCAAATGGCTAAAAATATCTCCCAAATATTTTTTCTTGCAAATGTGACATCTGTAAAATCACATATTCTAGCAATTGGTTAAAAAGTATATCTACTTTTATTAACAAAATCTATTGATCATGTACAAAATCTATTGATCATATAACTGTGCCTGGCTTCATTGGAGGCTAAAGGTTGATAAAAATAAAATCTTGGCACATCTTCCAAATAGAAGACAAATGTTTTACAGAGTTTCTTTTAGCTTTCTTGTTCAATGTCTTTCAAGAATCGTTTGCAGTATTGTAGAAGAATATCCAACCTGTAGCTTATTTCAACCAAACCTGATGATTTATGTTATTTTGTTCATCTCCTCCTTGATGGTTGACCAGGCTTTTTGCAATCTTGCATTGAGTGCTTTCTTAGGACCCTTTGTTTTCTTACTAGTCCTCTGTAAAATGAAAGATGTCTATTTTAATTATGTGTTTCCTGCAGAAAAACTAGAGAAAGGAAATATTAATGACATTTGTGAAGATAGTAATAGTAATGGCTTCAACTCTATTGTCAGAATCAGTTGATATGCAGCAAATGACAAAGATCTGCTTATCAATGTTTTAATACTTTAGAATATTTAAGACCACATCTGTTTAGTCAACTCCTTTGGAGTTTTCAGCTGGAACTACTCCAGAGAAGAGTTTTTTTGTGATGGCAATCCTTTCAACAATAACAATCAGATTCAAATTCTTCTCCATCTCCTTGATCTGTTGGTCATTGAAATGCATGGCAGCAAGTAAAGGCAATCTGATTGCATAGCAGTAATCTGCTGCTACAAGAAAATCCCACTACATCGACTAAGGGTTTTGTTTGGGCAAGCAATCTATCATTAAAAAAAAAAGTTTTTTAACTTTTTCTGTTCTGGTTTATTAGCGTTAAATTTAAAACTAAAGTTTATTGAAGAAAATATTTGACTACTATGCAGGACTAAATTCATACTGAAATTCATTTTGCTTCCTCTTAACTTATTTCCTAATATTATTTACTTTGTTCGGACTCAGAGGAACATTTCTAAACGTAACAGTTTGAAAACGCATCTTCTTTTTATGTTTTGCGCAACAGAATCTAATAATTCAGGCGGAACTATCATTTCTTCCAAACCAGCCTTGTTTCACACATTCATTATAAGAGAAGTAACACACCTGTGGTTGGGGTTTTTACAGAACCCGTTCTGGGACAACCTAGTCAACAAATATAAATAAATAATAATTTTTGTTTTTTACTTTTAGTAATAGTACGCGGATCCAATTTCGACTACCAGATGGTTCATCGTTATCCAATCAATTTCCTGCTGATGCTATGTTTTTATCTCTTCATGATTTTATATGCAAGGTTAATGCTGAAATTAACCTGTTACTTTTTTTTTTATTTTTTATTTTTGAATTGTTTGATATGTATAAAATTTGATAGAACAGTACAGATTAAAAATATATATATATATATTTTTTTTAGCATATGAGAGAGTCTAATCTACGATTAACTACATTGTTTCCCAAATACGAGTTTACAACATCTGATATGGAAAAATCACTTCGCGAATTGTCTCTGGTGCCTAACGCGTCTATAATTGTTTCCCCAGTAATTGTGTTAATCACTATTATAATTATTTAAATGTTGTTTAGTACTTAATAACTAATTAGTTAAAAAATTTTTGTAGGGTAAACCCCAGGTGGTATCTACGCCTCAATCTTTGCCCATCTCAATTATAATATTTATTTTTTATCCGTTAATATCACTGTATTACTGGGTGTTATCATTCTTTTCAACAACGACTTCTCAACAACCATCAATTGTTTCTCAAAATGACGAAGGTGATAAACTGGATACTTCACATTATAATAGGTTAATTTAGATTTTTCGAATGGAATTTTATTGTTAGTTTAGGTTTTCAACATTTTTTAAACATAACTATTGTTTTATTGAAACTTTGCATTGTCATTTTTAGTAATAAAAATATTCGAAAACGTAATAACCAATCCAATATTCGACAACTGCAGAGAGATGAGAATGACGATGATGAAAATAATACATGGAACGGAAATTCAACTCAGCAGATGTAAATTCATGCACCATCTTTTGGATGTTATCTTGTATTTTCTTCCTTCTGAAATATAAAATAATTTTAAAACGAATCTAAATTATTATTCTTCTTCATTGAAGTGAAAAAATAGTTGTGATTCAGTTAGTCCTACCTTAAGCATAGAACTTGAATGTAGTTAAATGTAGTTTTTGCTTTTGCTGAATCATCGAGTTCAATTAGCATAAAATAGAGATCAGTGAGAACGTTGTTCTTTGAAACTTTTCTATTTTTTTTAATCTTTGATAAGACTTTACTGATTGTTGCGGTATTTGATAATGTTATATTTGATATTGGATATTGTTATTTGAGAAATTATCATTCGCCTCTATCGTAATTATAAAAATAATTTTTTTTTCTGCAGTCTATTTAATTTACTGGGTTAAAGTTAAATGTTTTGTTGAGGTTATTCTAGGTCTATTCTGAGCTGTAACTTTTCCTTTTTGTTACTTCATTTTGTAACATATCACTAGAATTAGAGTATCAATATGTTGAGAAATGTATATCAATATATATACCGTCCAATAGTCCAATAAGCAACATTGGTAAGGAAGGAACTTCCTAGTTAAATGCTCTTCCGCGGTGCTATGTGATAAGACCGGACTTCTGGGAGCACCTTAATAACTACAAGACAAAAAATTATCAAAATAAATTTTAAACCAAAAAATTGATTATAACTTAAAGTTCGTTTATTTGAGTGAACAAAATAAACAATGCACAATTCTGAACAAAGTTTTTTGATTTCTTTTGTGGTTTATCACTAAATATTTATGAAAATTATTGAACAATATTATGAATATTTAAAAATATAAAAATATTTATGAATCAAAAATAAATATTATTTTGAATATTAGTATTACTTCTACACCTATTAGAAATTTTAGCTTACAGAAATGTTTCACAAACTGTATTAAAATAAATAAAATAAAGTAAAGAAAGAAAAATTAGTAAACTGTCATTAATTTTTCGGATTTTAATAAAAGAAATATCTGAATCATGAAAAAATCTGAACTCCTGCTAAATTAGAATAGCTAGCTTAAAATTTCTTGCAATTCTAAATAACCGCAATAAATAGCAATGGCGATAAATAAGAGATTTAATAGCTTGATTTAATTATTTTAAATATTTGTTATGAAGATTTTTGATAATAAGCTGATCTTTGTAACGGATTGTAATTTTTTGAAACAATTGCAATGAATAGTAAGAATATATTTTGCTAAAGTAATTTTATTTTGAAATACCTTTTTTTTTAATATCTTCTTATTTGACGTCAGAATAATTCCTCTTAACTCTTTTCTTCTTGTTTTTTGTTGTTGTTGACCTTCTTCCATTGTATTGTGCAAGCCCCCTTTTTTTTTTATATATACAATAAACATAAGATGATCCTTTATTTAAAAAACTGCAGAGTTTGCAAAAATATCAAGAAATCTTTACATAAATATTTTTGAAAGGTTGCAACCAGATGATGTTACTTAGACCCTTGTTATTTTTTCGGGTTTCGCGTTTACTAAAAATTGTTCCTTGCAACTTGCACGAGTTCTGCTCCAGTCAATCGTGTTTGTAGACGTCTCGAATTTGTTATTATCTAATAAAAGTTCTGTATTACTATTTCAAAATATAAATAATGAGTTAATAAGAATTTCTGATAAACTTTTCACAATTTATAAAATGAAATAGATTACCCGTCCTTAATCATTAAAAAACATCTACTGGTAAATGACATGCCATCTTATTTTATTGACAACATAATTTTTAAAAATGTAATAAAACTAAAATCTTATGGTCTTATGATTTTATGTTAAGGTGGTACACCACTAAAAAGCACTTTTTCAATTTAAAATTGGAATAAAACCAAAAACTAATATTTTTCTGATTATAAACTTATAAAAAAAAATATTTGAAATGAAATTTTTTTCTAAAGTTTTTTTTTCAAATATTTTTATACATCCATAATGGCGGAAAAACTGCTTAAAAAATGCATAAAATTCAATAACTTTGTGACGTGATACCTTCCGTTATATAGATTTTCTCTTGTTCAAACTTAGTATATTGTTGCATTATAATGTTTTATTGCGGTTGACAGATGGATTTTTAATTTAAGTACATATTTTCAGTTTTATTACGAATTATTGAATATATGCTTGAAATTCTAAGTAATTTGACTTAACATGTGAACTAATATCTTTATTTAAAAATATTTATGAAGAATTTTTTAAATCCCATCTGTTAACCGAAGATATTAAGTTTCAAAGTTACCCTAGTATTACAAAAATAAAAAACTGTAAAAAACACATTTAAATTTTTTTTCCAGTAAAACCTTGGTTAATGTCCACCAGAAACATATGACTGATTAGTTTCATTTGAATTTTGTTTATCACTGAACCCTTTGGCTATTGATCTTAACTTTTTTCTTTGCTTTATACACTTTTGTGTCGATTTTCGCTTCATTTGATTCACACGAGAATCGTCAAACTGAATAGATGTCATTACTGTTATATACCCAGTCAAATTGAACTCTTTTAAAACATCCAAAATACCTTTAATACCATCATTAAAATGAATAACAGCAGAGTAAGCTCCCATTTCAACTGTTTCTCTACTGACAAAAGTGTTTTTTGGAACTCTAGATCATATGAGGGCATTCAAGGACTCATTAGGATTTTGTGTCTTACAATGAAGGCATTTAGATAGCAGTTGATCGCCTTGTAAGCTTTTAAAAATTGGCATTTTTATTTCTATTAGCAGGTTTTTAATCCAGACTGGAATTGAATTTGATGGTATATACTGCTTTATTTTACTCCAATACCTGCACCAGCTTTCAGAATCACGAGGAAAAAACTGATGACACTCATCTTGATTTAGAATATTGGTAAAGTGGAAAAGAATAGCATATATAGACTTCTTCATAGCATAAATATTAGTAGTGTTCCTTCTAATAGCAATGCCATAGTAGTTTTGCATCGAATTTATTATCTTATCTGTCAGTTTATTTCTACCAGACAATGGTGTTTTAGTGCCACTATGTAATTTTACTAAACTCCGTAATCGGGTACCCATATGCTTTTGAACATGCCTGATACACTCAAGTTTTATTAGAATTACTCCTAGTTCAATGTAAGGTTGTGATTTTACAACATCTGAAAATGAGCTTGTATCGCCATCTCCAAGGTACTCTTTATAAATCAAGTTTCAATTTGATATAGAGCGATGAAATATGTCTACAGCACCTGATGATTCCATGGATCCTGAAGACCCTTCATGGTTTATTTTTATATGGTCTAACTTCCACTGCTCATACTCTAATATATTTTCTTTACTTATCCACATTTTGCAACCATAACAATGTCTCGACTTGACTTCAACATCAACACATTTATCACCTGTTATAACGCCATGCAAAGAATAACCACGTTGTTGCCGTGAGCCATCAACAGAAACTTGAGTACAACGAATATTATTGACAATTTCAGTATGAGGAGCTTCTATAGCTGCCTTTTTCATGCTAGTTGTTGCAGTTTTTTTACAGGCGTTTTTAACCTGCAAGTCTATCTTGTGAAAATGCATTTTCATTTAAACAATGAATGTTCATAACACAGGTCAGAAATTTAAGGTTTAAGTTTACTATCTAAGTACCCCAAAAATGTTAACAAATATAGTAAGTGGGACATCTGGACACTTCATTTTCATATTTAGAAAAATCTGGGAGGTATCACATTTTTAGAAAATTGACATAGAAAATCTGCTAAAAAAGTCATTATTTTCGTACTTAAAAAAACTAAATATATTGACGGAACAGTAAAATTAACATAAAATAACTTTATATTCCAAGTTTTTATGCTCTTAAATTTTGTATTTACACATCAACTTCATTAGACAGCTCTTAGATATATCCAAGTTGGTGAAGAAGGTTTAGATATGCTTGAATTATATTAGGAACATAGTATGCTTAGTAAAGTAGAACATATTGATAAGTAATTTAGTAAAATATTAGTATTGTATGCATAGTTGCCAAATAATCTAATATATATAAATAATAATAATATAATAAATACTAAATAAAATATTTCAAAAACTGTTTATACTAATATATTTTTAATGTCTTTTTGAATAAATTTACAAATTTTTTTAACTTAAGATTTCAATATGTTTATGTTTTGATGTACAATTAATGTTCAATAACTTATAAATTATTTGAACTGAACACTTCAGCAATTCTTTTGCTTCTTTCTTTATGTTTGTTGCTGTACTGCGAGACTCCAAACCTGTTTATTACACTTTTCATCTTGGAATGGCACGATTCAGATGTCTGCTCATTATACTACCCAAGGGATAGACCACTCAAATCAACAAATATTTCCAGATGTGCTGTTACAGCATGTACTTTCCAAGTAAGCGTAAGCTGTTTACCTAAAAACTAAAAATATGTTTATCAATAACTTGGTTTTAAATACAAAGGGTAAAGAAAACAGCAATTACCTCTCTGCAATAGTCTTGCGTATCCTTATAGCTTTGTGTAAAACTTTCAATTAAAATTGAATAGTTTGGGTCAAGTTTATAGCCAAAGACACTATGAACAACCTTATTAAATTTTCTCATTGTTTCTAAGAGAGGCTACAGTTCAACAGGCATTATCAACTCAAGTTTGTCGCAACTTTTAAGTATCTCTCTACACGTGTTTCCTTCAAATGTTCCTCCATAGTAACCTTTTCGAAGGCATCCAATGCTCTTGACCCAATCTATAAATCCAGGCCAAAGTTGCATTATAAATTCTGCCACATGATTAATTCCATCAGAAGGTGAAGTCCTGGTAATGGAATCTCTCTTATTATACTTAGGGATTTGTCTTCTATCTTAAGCAGACAAATATTAATGACATTCTAAATATATGGAAATAAATTTTTTTTATCCTTTTTAAAATGATAAAATTATAATGGATGATAAATTTTGAAAATATTTGCAATATATTTATTCATTTATACCTTATATTCTTTCATTCTTTTCACAGGAGATCCTGCAGATGAATACAGTTCATAGTAATTATTCAAAGACTGAAATGTTCTTAACTCTCCAGAAAATAATTCTGAAGAACCTTCACACCATGCACAAGCATACTTTCCTCCATGATCCTAAAATTTTATATTATAATTCAATTTATAAATATATTGTAGGGTAAATAAAACCTTTTCCTAATATAGTTTTTACCATAATATGTCTTATTATCTTAAAATTATTTAAAACAAACACACCGAAATTCCTAGCAATATGTTGATTAACTTCATGTCAGAAGCCAATGAGTACTTGCATTCATGCAACTTTAATCTTTCCACAATCATTGTCATGTTAGAATGATTCTCACTTACCCTTTTACAATAAGGTAAAACAAGTGACGTATTTGCTCCTGAGTATGATCCTAAGGAGCTGCTATCTTCTGTCCTGTCCTTGGTTGGATCAAACAGATTTACTATAACTTTCAGTGATCCTCCACCTATAAATATATATATATATATACTTACACACATACATATTTCTATATAAATATGTACAAATAATATTTTTAAAAACAAGTTTTCAAAAAGACGATTATTAAAATATAATAAGTAATATAAATTAAATATAAATACCTGAATCTATTCCAACCTTTACAAATATGTTTTGTGGAACCTGCCCTCGATATTTTATTACAAAATCCAGAAATGTTGTAATATCTTCAATATATACCAAGTGTCTCTTCACTGTAGCGTAGTCATTATCTTTTTCTTTTTATTGAAAGTCTAATAATTCAGTGACATAAAAGTTGGAAAGTAGTTTAATTTTTTCATCCAGGGCTTTCTCCATCTTTGACTCAAACTTTACACCACTTCTCCTCAAAGTTTTTAACATTTCATTTGACTTCAATTGACTAAGTCCTAAGGTATTTACCAAAACTTCTACTTCATTATAAGGAATCTTTCTCTGGTCGCTTTCCCGAGTACCGAGTGTAATATGAATACTTTTACCTCCTTAATGTAATATAAACTGTTATTTTAAGAACGTACATAACAGCTATTTACCTGTTCTGAGAATGGCTTGAGCTCCTAGACTTTGCTCTTGATCAGAATAAGTTTCTTTAAGAAGGGAAGAAGCTACTTGTTCCTTGTACCTGCTACTTGTTCTTTTACTTTTTTAGAAATTTTAGAAATACTCTCAGAAAGATTTGTGCTACTCTTTAAAGGGGAACATTTGTGGGGTTTACCTTTAGCAATTTTACAGAAACATATTTGGCAAAGTTTCAGTGTTGAGCTAGTTCCCATTTTCATACTTTTATTTAATAATCTATTTCTTCCTTGACTTGATTGCTCAATATTATGCATATATTGCATAATATTGAGCAATCTCTAGAGGTTTGCAAGATAAATTAGAATTTTTCCATTTTAAAGTAACTGTGTCTGCAATAGTTTTACCAGCCTTACAGAGATATAAGTTTTTCTTGCAACCTGGGCATAATCCTGTAGGGTAGGCAAATACTTTAGGTGAAAACTCAGGCTTACAGAAAACTTGAACCAGACCTTCCAAATTTTTATTAACTGGAATGCATTTGTTGTTCTTTTCAAGGCAGCAACAGCAAATGATCTTTTGAAAAAGTACGATTTCTTATAAAATGGTATTCTCTCTTCTCCTTAGAGAGCAGAGAAGTCATAGATTCAATATATTAGGTATCTATAATAAAATTAAAATAAAAATGCATAGTCAAAAAGAAATATTTTTAATAAAAAATGTTTTTTTGATCAACTTTGTGTATTCTAATAATGTTTATGTCTAAATATTAAATTAAAGACCTTGAAAAGTTGGTATATGAAAATTTTTTAAAATTCATATTATTGGTATATGAAAATTTTTTAAACTTCAATTTTCTGTCAGTATAATTAATTTTTTTAAGTACGAAAATAATGACTTTTTATCAGATTTTCAATGTCAATTTTCTAAAAATGTGATACCTCCCAGATTTTTCTAAATATGAAAATGAAGTGTCCAGATGTCCCACTTATTATATTTGTTAACATTTTTGGGGTACTCGGATAGTAAACTTAAACCTTAAATTTCTGACCTGTGATAACTGACATGAATGTCTTCATTGTAGCATATCTGCAGCCAATTTTTCGAAAAGCGATAACAGCTCGAGTGTTTATCTCCTTTAAATTGTTTCCTTGAATTTTTGATTGTTTTTTAATTTCTGGAGAAGTATAGTAATGTTTAAGAAAAGTTTTTCATTGCAATCATTGTAGTAACAAATTATGTGAAAGTTCTTTCTTTTTATTAGGATAATCAATAAGCTTAATGTTGCGGAAACAATCTGGACATAAAAGAGACTGAACAATATTTTTTAACACATGAAAATTAATAAATATGAAATAATCTGAAGCATTGGAATTATTGTTTTTAAAGCTGGAAGAAGATAACTTTTGTTCGCTAGAACAAAAGGGTTGAATAAAATTTGAGGTTTTACAAGATACTCTATTTGGTATAACACAGTTCCATTTTCTATGCTTTTTTCTAGAAAAGTTTTTTTTGTTGTTAACTTTATATTTTTGATGTAGATTTTCTTTTCCTCCTGAACTCATTTTTATATACACTAAGTATAAAGCTAAAGTTATTGAATCATATTAACAAATATATCTCAGACAAAGTAAATATCAAAGTAAATTGCTATTACAATGTAAAAGTTACAACAACTACTATTTAAATTGTCACAAAACAAATGTGTCTTTAAAGTATAGGGTAATTCGGGGCAGTACGAGACACTTAAGGATTAAACATTATGTACATAGACCTGGAATTAAGCAAAAAACTAAACAAGTGTACAGTAAATCTTACTTAAGGTAACTCTTTTCGAAACTTATAAGTAATTTTTTAAATTCATTTTTAATTGGATACACAGAGGATTTTATAAATAGCAACAGCGTGTCTCATGTTCCCCACCTTACGGGGCAAAACGAGACAGCATATGTTATGCAACTAAAGAGAAAAAATAAGAGACATCCAATTATTTTTTATCATAAAAGATGTTAAATATAATTCATAAAAAATATAGTAACTTTAGCTTAAAAAACTAACCTGCTTGGCTAATCTAACCACAGTTAAGTAAGCCTTAAAAAACATAGGTTAAAATTAGAGATTAAATATTAAACATAGATAATATTAAATATTAAACATAGTTCAAACTTAAGCACCACCCGAACAAATTGTTGCACAAGTTATACTCAACTATAAGACATAAATTAATGGATCATAGAATGTTTAAATATAATCATGGCACACACACAGTTTACACAAAAAATCTGTCCCTAACTTAACAAAATAAACTTCATGGTACCATAATTTACACCTAAAGCATTGGACACATTTCTGGCTAGACTCTGATATTTTTTGGTTTTCTCCATATTTAATTTTATCATCTTTTTTTAGTTTAATCTTTTTTACTGTTGGTCTTTTTTTGTTGTATTTAACTTTTTTTTTGTTTTCCAACCCCTCCTGCAAAGTTTTTTTATACGATGTGCTAGTCAAAATTTCTGACTTTTCTCCCTTTCTTTTTGTTGTCTTCACTTCAATAGCTGGAATTGATAATATATCAGTAAAAGAAAGCTGTTGAGAGTTTGAAATTGACAACGAGGCATTTATTTCATTAACTGAAAAACTAGCAATGGATGTTTGAACATTCGAATTTTGGTTCGGCCCAATTAAAGAATTAGTTGTAGATGATTGTTCAGGATTTATATCTGCTATTTCATTAAATATTATGTTTGTATTACTATCTTTTAAACATGGATTTTCAAAATAATCTGACTCAGGAAGGATTTCTCGATTAAAAGGATTGATGCCTGTTACTCGAAATCCAGAAATAGCATTTTCCACTGTAGCTGCTTTCCACATAAGCTTGACAAAATAGTCCTGAAAGTTTATCAACTGTAATTCTTCTTCCTGAGTGCTTTCTCATCCATGTATATAAGCTTGACAAAATAGTCCTGAAAGTTTATCAACTGTAATTCTTCTTCCTGAGTGCTTTCTCATCCATGTTGTGCATACTAAGTTACAAGCACTTTTCAAAGATTTGAACAAAGTTCAATCAAGTGGTTGGAGCTTATGGGATTTATGTGGTGGTAGTGATAAAATATGCAATCCATTTATGATAGCATAATTGAGAAGATTTGTGACCATCAAGAATTAACAAACACTTATTTGTAGTGCTACAATTTCCATGTATTATAAAGTGTCTTATAAATACCCAACCACTTTTAGAACAGCGTCCAAGTGTTCCTGGTAGTGCATCATCAATCAATGAATCTAGCATCCGTTTTCTTTTAAAAATAATCATAGGAGGTATGTAGTGTCCCACACAATTAAAAGCTAGTATAACAGTTGTTGTTTGGCCGCTCTCACCACTAGTTACTGAAGATACAACACGTTGGCCTGTAAAAATACAATTATAAAAATATAGACAATACAAAATAAAAATAAATACAGACACACAAATAATAATTTGGTTTTTCACTAAAGCAAATAAAAAAATTTGCAACTTCTCGCTTATTATGTTTATGAGCTATTACTTTTAAAGGCTTGTGAACACATGTTAATCCAGATTCATCACAGTTGTAGATGCGATTTGCTTCAAATTGATTTTCGTTGATAAGTTTTTCCAGATTGTCAAAATATCTTTGAACAGCAGCCTTATTTAAACCAAAAACTCGATTTATGAATACTGCTTCAGGTTTTCGAATAGACAAAAAGGGTTGTCGTTTCAAAAATCCAACTATAAAATCTCGACCTGCAAGTTTCTTTTCAGTATTAAATGGATGGTTTATTTTATTGCGTACAACATAATCATACACCACCCTTTGAGGTTCATTAATTGATAGACCATAAAAGACTAACTCCATTTTGATTATATACTGTGTAATCTTTTTCTTGGGCATCAGATAACACTTTTCTATAAGAACCAAGCAATTTTATGTGTGGTTTATCATCAGGCATTGTTTTTATTGGTTTATTAACTCTTCTGTTGAGAGAATCTTTTGGAACCAAATATTCATTAGCAGCTTTACGTAATGCCATTTCTTTATTTTTGACAACTTGGATAGCTAATTTCATATTGCTTTTATCCCAATTTCCACAATTTGTTTTTCGTTTGTAATTACTAACCATCATAAAAACCATAAAATGTTTACAAATTTTTATTTTTATTTTTCGGAGTATATATCAGAGTATCTAAAAATTAAAACAACTGAATAATGGTCTCATCTTTCCGTATGTTAAAAACATAACTTTTTTTCCGTATGTTAAAAACATAAACAGACCGTATGTTAAAAACATAAAATTCTTACCTTACAAATCAAATTAAGTTTTCTTTTCTTTTTGGGGTATGAATAATAAAGAAATCTTTTTTTTTTAAATTAGCAGCACGACACTAGTACATCTAAATATATATCAAGAATATGAATTGCATTGAATATGTCTTCACTAAGAAACGCGTTGAAACAAATAATGGCTTTACTAAGTTTCAAAAATACCAGTTATTTTGTCATCAAACAAACTAAACATTCCAAAAAACAGGTGTATCATGGCCTACTTAAATTACACGGCCTGATTTGTTGCATTTTCCGTAAAAAATTAAGAGGCCAGTTTTTTTTACGGCTTAAGTATAAAAACTTAAATTTTGTTATGGTTAAGAGTCTTGTTTGCACTATAATTGTTTTATTTTTATTTTATTAAAATGGTTTAATATTAGTTAGATTTTCTTTGATTACTTAAATTATTTTGTGCTAGATTTTCTGTTAACTGATTGCCTGCTTCAGTTTATTCCAATAACAAGGAATACTGAAATAGGCTTTCAGATAGCTATATCAACACATATTAACATGCTACTAAAAATAATCTTACATATTGCTAAAACTACCCACAACTCTCCATTGGAAATAATTTTAAAGGTTTGTAATTTTGTATTTATTATAATTGCAATTATTAAGTAGAAAACATAAACTTTTCTTTAAATTATTTACACTGCAAAACAAGGTTTTGCATTGTAAATACTTTATTATGCTGCATGTCTCAAACATACAGCAATTAAAATGTAACAAATCAGGCTATTTATTTACAGTAGCCAAGAAATATCAGGCATACCAACTGTTTTGGAGTCAATAGCTGTTAATAAAATTCTAATTTTTTTTCATTGCCAAATAAATGGTTATCATTCTTCTTTATTTAAATGGTTTCGCAGTGGTAAAAAATACAAATTGAAAAACTATAATATATTAGAAAAATCATTGACAAAAATTTGGTATTAAGAGATTATTTGCTTCTTGTGGGTAAGGTGTACTTCCAAAAAGCAGCCCAAAGTGGTAAACATTTTGATGAAGATTGAGAAAACAATCTTTATAAAGAATTTGTTTTTGTTATTATGGTTGTAGGGCTTCAAAAATTTATTTTTATGTTTTGAAATCATAACCTAAAGTTTACATAACAGGTTTATGTTTGAAAAAAGAAATTGACGAGTGTATTACCTCAATGCACCAATCTGAATTTAAGATAAGAACTATTGTTACCGATAACCATTTTACAAATGTTAATGCATTTTTATAGTTTCATAAAGCATATACTGGAGATGGAAAATTATTAATTTATCATTTAGTTTAGAAAAGGAGTGTTTAAAATATACTTGTTTTTTGATAAACTCGGTTTTTGTTTTTTTCTTCTTGTTGAAGTTACTGCTGATTACATACTCATACAACCTTCAACTTTTCAAGTCTTCTGTCAACCGTTTCCTTGCTCTATAACTCTGTTCTTTTTTTTCCTAGTAACTCCCAACTTAATAGTGGTTGCTTGCAGCCTTGTTGGGAGTGAATGCAAATAAAAAAAAAAAAGAAAAACATTGCAGGGAATATATTTCTTAAAGTTTATTAAAAGATCACTTATTAAACAAGCAAGAAAAAGCAAGAAAAATTAATTATTAAATCACATATTTTGGCAACAACAAACAAGTTGTCAACATTGACAATATTTGACAAAACAACTGCAGCTACAACTGGAATAACTACGTTATTTCTTTTCTGAAAGAAATAACACAGCACAATTATCATTGTTTTATAAGTTATTTATCATACTTAATTCAAAGCAGAAACTTAATTCATCTAATCAAACTCAGCAATGCTGCTTTGAAAGGTGATAACAAACCCACACTTTATAGAGAAATTGCAAATTGTACTGAAATTTGATCAAAATAAAATTTGATAAATACCTGACATTAACCAAACAAACTTCTTGTGCTCTAATTACAACACTACACGCAATTGTATTTCTTATGCATGATTTCCTTGAAAAAGGCTTTACATTTGTTTATAGTTAATTTACAAAAAGATCCTTTGGAGCTAGGTTTTATGAATACTGCTTCAGGTTTTCGAATAGACAAAAAGGGTTGTCGTTTCAAAAATCCAACTATAAAATCTCGACCTGCAAGTTTCTTTTCAGTATTAAATGGATGGTTTATTTTATTGCGTACAACATAATCATACACCACCCTTTGAGGTTCATTAATTGATAGACCATAAAAGACTAACTCCATTTTGATTATATACTGTGTAATCTTTTTCTTGGGCATCAGATAACACTTTTCTATAAGAACCAAGCAATTTTATGTGTGGTTCTTATAGAAAAGTGTGGGGCATTTAACTATACTTAGTTAAATGCCCTATTGGGCATTTAACTAAGTATAGTTAAATGCCCAATAGTAGACTTTTTGTGAGCCTTTTAGAAATGTGCATAAGTAAAAAGATTTTGGCAGATTTTCCCAGAAAATATTTACCAGAATTTTGATAATCCTTAAAAAATATTATGCAAGATATTGCTTAGTTGTCTACATAAATACTACTGTCAGCTTTCTGAAGATAGCACAAATATATAAAAGATATATTCTATTCTGAAGATAGCACAAATATACTAAAGCAAGTAATAATCGTAAAAATTAACAAAAAGATTTTGATGTTAAACTTATGATCAATAAACACTTTATAAAGAGAAGAACCTATATATTCAATTCAACCTCTGTCTAATTTTATTTGTCATCTTTTTAGTATTTTATGTTATTTCTCTTATTCTAATAAAACATTGCAGTCATTCTTTTTTAATTAAAAATTTGCGAAACAAATTTTAAAGATTTGATCTAGCAGTTTCAATTTTACAAATAAAAACCACCAAAAATGGGAATCAAATATAGATCTCGTATTGTATTGCAAATTAATATAAAAATATTATTATATTTTTTATAGTAATTTGCAGAAAAAAATTACATATTTATTTAAAAAAGATCAAGTAAAAGAATTTCAAAAAAGAAAAAATAAACATTTCTAGCAAAAATGTATTTCTTCTTTTTATTTCAATTATATAAAATACAAAACTACAAACCTTTTTTTTGCTCAATGGAGAGTTTTAGGCAATCTAAGCAACATGAGAGATTATTTTTAGTAGCATGTTGGTATGGGTTGATATAGTTATCTGAAAGCCTATTTCAGTATTCTGTGTTGTTGGAATAAACTGAAGCAGGCAATCAGTTAACAGAAAATCTAGCAACAAATTAATGTAAGTACTCAAAGAAAATCTAACTATTATTAAACCATTTTAATAAAATAAAAGTAAAACAGTAATGGTGCAAACAAGACTCTTAACCATAACAAAAATTAAGTTTTTATACTTAAACCGTAAAAAAACTGGCCTCTTAATTTTTTACGGAAAATGCAACAAATCAGGCCGTGTAATTTAAGTAGGCCATGGGTGTATTAAGCTTAGCAAGTACAACCATAAACTATATGCTTAATATTAATGAAGGACTATGATGATTACTATCTCCAGAAAGGATAAAAGAAAGTTGTCTCATCTTCCCCGTTGTCGCATATTGCCCCGAATTACCCTAGTTCAAAGGGAAACATTAAATCTGTTCGAGCAGTTTTTAAAAATTCTAGACCCGATTACGGCATTTCCAATGTGATATAAATGTTATCAAATTGATATTAAACGAAAATATTATTAATAATAACATGTTTAATAATAAATATTAAATACAAATGTTAATAAATGTTATTAAAAATCTCAGAGTTTCTTCTATTTTAAATTACAACTATATTTCCGTTTGAGATCGCATCGGTCAGTAAAATTTAGATTGCACTTTGAAGGATTGGATTTAGTGTTTTCCTTGTTCAAAACTTTACGAATATAAAAAAGAAGCCTAGCATAGCCTAAACATATTCCATAAAAAAGAAGCCAGCTTGAGCATAGATTTTAAGGCTTGAATTAGGGTTTTTTATTCTGTTGCTAAGGCGTTGCTATGGTCAAAATTTTCAATTACTTTAGAAAAATGCATTTTTAAAGTGTTTTATGTAAGTAAACAATATAAGATGGTTATATCAAATGAAAAAGGATAAAATTTGGAAAAAACGAGTTCAAAAACTTAATTTTGAAATTTTACTCCAAAATCACTGTTTTTTTAGTGGTGTACCACCTTAACATTGTTTTAAAACTATCATTTTAATTGCATTAAAATGGTATGACTATTGTTTTTTGGCATCTTTTTATTTACGTCAATGTTATATTATGAGCGGCCGTGGCACAGTGGTTAGAGCGCTTTCTTTAGAAGCGAGAGATTAAGGGTTTAAAGCAAGTTCTATTTTGCGGCATGTTTCGCGCCGTCGGAGGCGAAGATTGCGGGAATTTTCTAGTTAAATGTGCACCTATTTAAAAGAGATTTCGAATTGTATTTTTTTTAGCGGTTTTTGATCATTCGATCCTTTTTGAATCTCTGCGTTTTTTTTTAATTCTTAAAGCGTTATAAATGTTAACGCTTTAAGAATTAAAAATTAATTTTTCATTATTATGGTGGTACCCGAAGAAATATATTAAATCTAATTGGAACTATAGCACACTTTCATTTTTACAACATAACTACATAATTTTAAATAATATTCAAAATTGCTATCAATCTTGGAATTCTATTTCTTGAAATTCTTTTCCTCGATTACCCTAAAAAATTGAAAATAACCGAATTCTTGTGAAGCAATTACTCAAAGTATATTTTATATTTATTATAAAATATAAATTTAATAGAGTGCTTCAAAATTGTCCATGGTTTCATACAAGTTAAATGATGTATATCTACATTAAAAATGATAGTAAAACCTGATGAGTTAATGGAACAATCTGCATACAGAAGAAATCCCATTCGATTCAAAAAAGAATTAATAAAGGAATGTTGTCCATTAAGAGAGAATTTTATTCTTAATAGAATAGCCACTGTATGGAATTGTCTTCCTCCGTCTATCGTGCTATCTACAAAGTCACCGGCTAATATAGAGTGTGCTTATTACACGCTCTCGTTTAACATTATGAACATTTAAATCATTGTTATTTTGTTAAATTTCAGCAATAAATATTTTAATAATATTTATTTCAATAATAAATATTATTAAAATCTACTAGTCATTTTAGCATGAAATTTGGAATATTTTTTAATCATGGTAACATAATTCATTTGAGAGAAAATAAATGAAAACAAATGAAAACAAATGAATATTTTAGGAATTATGCATGACACACTAAAAAGTAAGTAAGCTAAATAACACTAATATAACAAAATTTCAAGATCTAAAATTCATTGAAAAACATCTTTTCTCAAATGAATTTTGATAACATGAAGAACAATCTGTGAAAATTTCACAACTTTTACATAATTACTTGAAAAGTTATGATTTCCAAAACTTTGAAAACTAGTAAAAAAGTATATTTTGAGATTTTGCGATATAAAAGTTAAAATTACTCAAAAAGCATAAAAAATATATAATTTCTGGAATAAATATAATAAATTAAAAACCTCCAGGATCATATGATATTTTTTCAGTTTTTTTAACTTTATTTTAGTATCTTTTTTTTACTTTTTAACTGTTTACTTTTATTCCTTAGGGGATTGATTTTTTTATTGACAATCGTAGATGAGTAGAACTTTTTTGCTTTGCTATGGTTGACGTTGCATAACTAAAAAGACTAAACTCTGATAATACAGACAAAAAACCACTCGGACCATCATTAAAATTTAATATAGCAGAATTTACTCCAATTTCCAGTGTTGATCGGCTCACAAAAATTACTTTGGGACAGCGTTTCCAGATTATGGAATTGAGCGCCTCATTTGCATTCTAAGTTTGACAATAAAGACATTTTGAATGCAATTCATCTGCTGATAAATCCTGAAAAATTGGTTTTTATTAATTTAAAATTCCTATTGATAATGGTATATGTTCTTTGTATGTGGTTGTACTATAAATCTTATCGCAGTGATATTTGTACCAACTATTTTCATCTCGCGAGCACATTCTTGTTGGTATTCTTGAAATTTAGTGCAGTGAAAAAGTACTACCCAAACTGCTTTCTTCATTTTATATAAACTATCAACATTGTTTCTAATTGCTAAACCATAATATTTTTGAAGAAAGTTTATTACTGATTCTGTAAGTTTACCTTTACCCTGCAGACAGGTCTGTGTCTTTTTATTTATTTTCATTAAGAGACGAATACCCGCACTTTTTCCACGTGCAATCAATTGTAATAGCCCGTTTTCACCCCCCTGCCCAAATGTGAGGGCACTGATGTAGTAAAATTTTCAGCCTCCTCAAAATGAGGGGGTGTAAATTCTGCATGGTCACAACTTTTGTAATTTACAATACTTTTCTATGAAATTTACAATACTTTTCTATGAAATATCAGTACCTTCACGTTTGGGCAGGGGGGTAAAAACGGGCATTTTCGTTCCCAGGCCTCCGCCGTCCCAAATTTTTTCAAGTTCCTCATTCGGCATAGATATGAACATACTTAAGTTTAGAGTTTGCACAATGTGTGGAAGTATCCTATCTGAAATATCAAAAAATGCTGGGTACGCGACTAGAGCATTCACATAAACGTATACTAGATTATTTTTTTTGTTTAAATTATCAAAATCATTTTCAAAAATATAAGTATTCATACTCATTGCAAAAGTTTCAATAGCCTGAAAACCTAACCCAACCTCGCGGAATACAACAACTGAACGTATATTCACTTCATATGGTTCTCTGCCTAAATTATTTACAGTAGAAATAGTTTTTGACTTAAAAAACTAGTTAGTTTTTTTACAGTTTTTATAATATAAATCAATGCAATGTGAAAACCCCATTCTTATATCTTATATATCAGTTATTTTCAATGATGAGTTGCATAATTTACATATAACAATTTCAAATATTTTTTTTCAAAATAGTCATATCAATTAAAATGAAGTAGCTTTCAGTATCTTCAAGATTATTTTTTTTTTTAAAAAATTGTTGTTGGAGGGTATTCTGTTTTTGTGGTTGTTGATATTGTGTTGAATGAAAGTTTGTTTGCTGATCATTTTTACAACGATTAAGAAGGTGAACATTAGTTCTTTTCTTTTTTTAAACAAAATTCTGGTTGTTACCTTTAGGCATTATGCTTTATAATAGTACAAACAGTAAATAGGTAAAACTTATAAAATTTCAAAATACTAGAAGTGCTGCTTGAAACAACCTTAGTAACAACTTGAATATATATTAAGAATTTGAATTATCATTCAACTTATGACCAAAAAATAAACAAGGTAGGTTATAATACTCAAATATTTTTTAATACTTAAAATATATAGTTTTTTGCAGTTATACATTGGAAATATTTTTGTTTATTTATTGGTTGCTATGGCGTTGTTATGGACATTACAAACTACTTGGTTGATATAAACCCAAATTATTATTACTCAAAATTAAAATTTTTGTATTCTGTGAACAAAAGATTAATGAACTAAATTTTAAATTTTTTTTTTTTAAATTGACTTTTATTTCTTGGGGTACCGAACTCTAACTATTTTTAGGGTACCTATTTCTTGGGATACCTATTTCTTGGGGTACCTAACTATTTTTGCAGTACCTATTTCTTGGGTTTCTAAGATGGTAACCTTACAAGAATTAAAAACTGCAGTTTTTATTTCTTAAAAAAATTAAAAACTGTAATTTTCAAAAAATGGAACTACTTTTTTTTAATTTTTTCATTGGTATTGTAAAAATCACCTATATAGGTATTTAAACAAATTTAAAAAATTTAAATTCAACTGAAGATGACTAGTGATAGTCGAAACATGTATTAATTAAAATTAATAAAATGGTTTTATTATTTAAAAAGTTTGTCTTGTTAATTAAAATATTTACATTTTTTGTGCTTAAAAGAAATTTTGGATTTATATATATATATATATATATATATATATATATATATATATATATATATATATATATATATATATATATATATATATATATATATATATAAATATATATATATATATATATATATATATATATATATATATATATATATATATATATATATATATATATATATATATATTTATATATACATATATATATACATATATATATATATATATATACATATATATATATACATATATATATATATATATATATATATATATATATATATATATATATATATATATATATATATATATATATATATATATATATATATATATATATATATATATATATATATATATATATATATATATATATATATATATAAAAGAGCAACGCTTAAAAAGAAGTTTTTTTTATCACTACCATATGCAGAGTAAAATAATTCAATATAAAACAAAGAACTTTTGAATTGTTTATTCAATTTAATTATAAAAAAAGAAATTTAACAAATACTATCAACATAAAAATTTAGGTTTTTAAAAAAATTCTACAAAATTAATTAATATATAATAGTATTCATAAAGAATTTTTCAAGGATTTAATTATTGTGCTGGTACAATGAATTGCTATAAACTCCTTTGGCAAATGTAATTGAATATTTTGAAAAACAAACGTTCATCTTTTTTTAAAATATATTTTAATATTGTAAATATAAAACGTACAAGCATATTAATGTATAAATATATAAAATAAATACTTATGACTTTTCTCGATTCTAAAAAAGTACTTTGTTTTTCCTAACAATGATTGCCGAAATTGCCATGATTTTAGTTGTTACACAAGGTAATTGATAAAAAAATTATTACATACACACGCATGTATATATATATATATATATATATATATATATATATATATATATATATATATATATATATATATATATATATATATATATATATATATATATATATATATATATATATATATATATATATATATATATATATATATATACATATATATTATCAATTTTTTTTTTATATTATTATATATATTATTGATTTTTTTTTAGCAAATTATTTTGTGCAAGGAAACACTTGCCTTGCTGATATACATATAGGATGGAAAAACACCCCACCATACATCTACCATACCGGAAACTACAATGTAACTGGTATATTACTACATTCTATTCAAAAAGCCTTCAAAAAATGCTGTAATAACAAACCTAACTTGATTTTAAAGCAAACGTCAAAAAGCATTTACACTCAGCAAACAAACGAAAACTTTGACATGTTTATACCTCTTGTTATTACAGAAAAAGAAAAGCGTTTTGCTGATTTTTTTGTTTACGTAGGTATAAGCAGTTTTATATTTTTTATAAGCAAATTAATTCCTTTAAGTTGATAGTATTTCTTACATTTTGCTTTTGGTTATACAATAAATAATCTCCATAGTTGAAGTTGCCTTAACTACACTCTCGGTGTAGTTAAGGCAATTTTTAAATATCATACCGTCTGTATGATATTTTGTTGACTACGACATATTTCCGTTAAATGATCAGGACTGTGAATTATACAAATTATAATGTGAATTATAAAACTGTGAATTATAAAAAAAAATAAAAATGATAAATTTTGCGGTATAAACGTTTGTCGCAAAAAAATCCAGACCGAAGATTCTTTTTTTTTTAAAAAATCTTCTTAAAATAACAATCGCTTGTCCGAACTTTAATTTGATTTTAAATAAATACGTTTTTTAGGTGAAATAAACATCATAATTTAATAATATGATCTGCTCTGATTGTTTATTGGCCGTTTTTCTTATTAAGAATAGGTTCTTTCTTGGTCGGAATTCTAGCATTTTTTGTCAAAATTGATAGAAATATTGTGTTTTGACAGCTATTTATAGTTAATATACGTCAGAACCAATTAGAACTAGAATCTATAGTGGGCACTTTTTCAAAAGATTTTAACAAAGTTCATGTTAACTCCGATGAGCGAAAGTGATCTCAAGACTTCAAAATGGTGTTCTTTAGATTCACTATTAGGGTAGTAAAAAGGTTTTGAAAATTTTACAAAAATAAGAAAAATATCTTTAAATATTAAAAAAACCTAAAGCAAAAAAAGTTATAACATCTAAAGCTCTTGTTTAGACATACGTTTTTAAAATCATGCTAATTCCTAATAAAAGAATTCGAATAATTTGTAAATCGCCATAACTACACCAAGAAGTAAGAATTATTTATCTTAAGTTAAGTTATCCTACAGTTAAGTAAAATAAGTTAAGATTATCTAACTGTAAATATGCATACATGCAAAAAAGCATACATGCAAAAGTCATAAGTACAAACAAAAGTACATGTGCAAGCACAAAAAAATTGCTGAAATTTGCCAAAGCCCAATATGCATGTGTAATTTTATATAAGCACAAAAAATTATTATATCACCATTCGTGTAAGTACCAACTTAGTTAAGTGCCTATATTTGCGCTCAGGCTAATGTTTGTAAATTTCTTTTATAATTTAAATATTGTATAATTGTTTATAATACTTTATAACTTTTACTTTAATTTTGTTTTATTATCATAAATTTGTTTTTCTGTCACTCTACATGTATTATTTATAACCATAAATATAGCAAACTACATCTTCTATACTTGAAATATAATCAGTTATCTCCTCAATACCAAGCAAACATTCGTGGAACTTTAGTAGACCCATTTAGTCATCTAGAGCGGTTCACTGTAGTTTTGCTCATCGGTTTCTTTGCGAATCATTAGTGGCAACCGCATATAGTGGCTGAGCGATGAATAGTCACTATATCACGTGTTATCGGCTGGCTAGTTATAACGGATGCCACTGATGGTCCACTTAGTAATTAATGAGCAAAACTCCAATGAACTGCTAAAAATATGCCTTTATGGGCTCATTGCAAACCCACTAAAACAATGTTTCTGGGTTAAAGTATTCCATTATTATACTTATTGAATTTTTCAGAATTTTTATATTGTAGCATGAAAAATTCATTTTTTTAAATTTAATTTACAAAAATTTATTTAATTATATGAAACAAAAAGTTTTTTTCTTTTATATTATTTATACTATAAACTTAATTTGAAGAAAAAAAAAATATTTTTTGCTAAAAATGTGGATGGAGTATTAAAACCCCGACTACCCCACCTCTTTGTCTGTTACATATGGTCAATAATAAAAATATACATAACTCAGTATATATAATTAAAATTTTAATGTTATAATTATATTTAAAGTGTTATATATGTCTTTCAACAATCTTTATGTTTTTTTAGTTGATTCTCCTGGATCAGTGTTAATTAATTTTCAACAAAACAAATCAAGAAATGTAATTTCATATGCATTAAAACAAACTTTGCCAGTACTTTTTTTTATTGCATTGCTTATTTGTGAAATTGGTGTGGTGTACTGGATGGTGCTAATAAACCCAAAAAAAAAAGATGTTGAAAGGTCGTTTCATAATATTTTAGTTGAGGTAATTGATGGTGTGTGGTGGGCTTTTCTAACATTTACAACAATTAGGTAGGCTAGTCTTTTTTTCTGTCTAATTGTAGTTTACAAAACTATTCTTTTGTCTGATTATAGTTTACAAAAAATACAAGTTTAACTCATCTTGAATCTAACAAAGTTGTTTAACAATAAATCTTGTTATGGTTTAGGTCTAATATGACACCAACTCGTCTTGTTGATAAAATCCTGTCTAGATTGTTATTGGTTACTCGAATTGTTCTAACAATCTTTTTTGTTGGTCTTATGACAAATTCAATTGTCGAGACGTTTACAAATAAAAAGCTTGATATTTTTGGAAAAAAGGTAAAAAATTAGAATAATTAAAAATACATTTCTCATATATAATGTGTTTCAGGCGCGATTTAACTGTTGTTCATAAAAACGTGTTTATTAAATAAATATAATATTTAATAAACACGTTTTTATAACAGGAAAAAAAAAACAAAAAAAAAACAAAACAAAGCAAATATAATACTTGTTATAAAATAAAACTTATTCATATTCGAAAAAAATATTAGTTGTTCGAAAGTATTTCAATTGTTCAAAATGATATTTTTTACATAAATATAGTGTTAATTACATGCTTATAACTCATAGTTGTAATTTATAATATAATATATTTGGAATTAGTGTTGTAGCTAATGGGTTGGCAGCCCCCCCCCCCCCAAACCCTGTTATCAGGGCTCTAAAACGTTAAAAATTTTCCACCAAGTATGAATAATAATAAAAATAAGTCCTCCAATTTGTAAAAGGGCTTCTAAATTTGCTGCCCTTCCCCCCCCCCCCCTCCACCCCATTGGGTTGGGTGGGGTAACTTAACCACCGATCTGTTTGTAATATACAATTTTTTGTTTATAAACAAAAAAATATAAATAAATATTGGATTTTGTAGATAATGCAATATTTATTTATATTCAAAAATAATGTTAATAAAGCTTTGCATAAACATCCATTTATAATTTAATCTTCATATATATGGTATATTGCATATATTATAGCATTATTGAAAATAAATAATATAAAATGTATTCCATATAAAATTTATTTACAAGTAATTTTTAATATTAAATCTTTCTTGAACTACAAAAATAAATTTTCAAGTTTTTTGACACCTTTTTTTAAACACATCATTATTAAAAAACATCATCAATTATAAACACATTAAGGCGAGTTTCCACTCATCCGTTTTTTCACGGGAACGGGAAAGGGACGGGAAAAATAATCACGTGGACATGCGTAGTATAAGTTTTAATATGTCCAAGCATGCTCACGTGATTATTTTCCCCTTTCTTATCCCGTTCCCGTGGAAAACGGACGAGTGGAAACTCACCTTTATAAATAAAATGTGTTCTTAGTTTTGAATAAATCTTCATTCTATTGAATAAGCGCATAAATCATTATAAGCATATTGTACAAAATAATATAATTTTAGATCTAGAACGCATCGGGTAGATACTATAAAGGATAGTTTATCAGACAGGTTTTGTCTGATCAATACTAAATTAGTGGTACTAAATAAACGTTTGAACTTAATTTTTTCGTTTTTCAGTATTATTTTGTTTCATATAGATAGCAGTTATTGATGGCTCATTAGAACAAAAGTACGTTGTAAATAATGGCGGTTATGCAATAGGTAACTTAGATACACAATTTTTTTCAGTATTTATTATCAACAATCTACTAATACAATCATTCAAATATACACATGGTTTTAAAGAAACATGATATTAGCATGAGGAGGAGGGGGGCGTTAATAGGAGTTTAGGATGCGATCAACCCCCCACCACTCCCACCTTTTTTTTTTTCAAATTAAATTCTATTGTTTCATGCAAGTTTTCTTATAAAAATTGAGCAAGATTTTTGTTTGTTATTCTAAACTTCCTTTTTTTCCCTATTAATTCCCCTTTTTTTTTGACTACCCTAAAAATTTTCACGCTACGGGCCTGAAAGGCCAAATGAAAACTTGTTTTTTTATAGTGCTTTTATAGTATTTAAAAAAAGATATTTGTCAAACACATGGACCTTAATACAGTTTTTTTTATGGCCGCACGGTCGCCGTGTTCCTATTTTAAAAAGGCTATTCGCACGGCCGCAAAACCAAATCTTGCAATCAATTTTTGAGTCACTTCCTGATGATAGATTTCTTCAAATTTTGCATACATACTCTTGCTTGATGACAATACAATATTCAATAATTAGTTATGCAATAAGTTAACTAATTTTGTTAATTTTAATTAAATTTATTTTTTATTTATAAATAAGTATACTAATCATAGCGTTCTCTATTACAGGCCTATTCATCGCGCAACCGGGTTTTTTTGTGGAGGCCTACTTTTTTACGGCAAAAAAGATAATAACTTCGTAATTTTAAAACTAAAAAGTAATTTTAATTCTCCGTATAGCCTAATAATTTTTTTTTGATGAAAAAAGAAAATTAATATTAAGCAATAAACAATTGAAGTAAAAGGTAAAGTAGTTTTTTCTAACTTCAAATTTTACACATTTTTAGTTAAGTTAGTTAAAGTTAAATTACACGGAGCGGGCGTGTTCCGTAAGCCCATCAACAGCTAGCCGTGCTAGCTCGTGCGAAATTGCACGGAAGATGATGCGCTGTAGTAATTATTAAAGCTGATCGAATTTTGCTTTGAAGCGATCGACACTGGTAGCACCGACTACTACGTTAGGTAATGCGTTCCATGGGTGAGCGACGCGGTTGTTGAAGGAATTATAGCAAACGAGGCAGTTGTTGTCCATTTCACGATGAAAACGCTTGCGATGACTGTAGCTAGGTGGGATGTTAGGTGGATCTATATGCCAGCTAATTGAGTTGATACTGTTTTCGAATTTATATTTTTGAATGAGGTCGCCGCGTAAACGTCTATTTAATAGAGGTGAGACCGAGTTTGATGCATCTTGTCTCGTAATCGAAGCGCTTTATTTCGTGCGGTACTTTGGTAACCCGGTGCTGAACACGTTCTATGACATTTATGTCTTTTTCAAGATGCGGGCACCAGGCAGTAACTGCAAACTCAAGATGTGGGCGTATATAAGTGGTGTAAAGTTTTTTCCATATTTTGGTATCTCTGCTTATAAACGTGTTTTTCAATGTCCCGAGGACTTTATTAGCCTTGGCAGCGGCTATTTGTGCTTGCCTCTCGTATTTTAAGTTGTTGGAAATTTGAACGCCTAGATCTTTTTCGGATGTTGATGACTCGATTACTGTTCTAGTGACGCTACCGTTAGCGTCGTACTCGTTCATTAAATAAATGTGTGGGGAAACATTGTACTTACTGAAATGCATGACTTTGCATTTCTTGATGTTGAGTTCCATTAACCAGGTTCGAGTCCAGGTAACAACGCTATCTATATCGGATTGCAGACGAGCTTTGTCTTCAGTGGTTTTTACGACACTCAGGATTTTAGTATCGTCTGCATACATTTTACATAAGTTTTCGCTATTGATGTGTTCGGGTAAGTCATTAATAAATATTATGAACAGCGTAGGACCTAGCACTGAACCTTGCGGAACGCCACTGGTAACCTTTACCCAGGTGGATGACGTATTACCTAATATGACACGCTGTGATCTATTTGAAAGGAAAGCTTTTATCCAGTTAAGAACGTTACCTTCGATTTCGTAGGGCTCAAGTTTTTGAAGTAATCTTCTGTGAGGGACTTTATCGAAGGCTTTGGCAAAGTCAAGAAAAAGAACATCTACAGGAAGCTTGCAAGAAAAGTTGTAGGTCAGAAAGTCCATGGCCTCAAGCAGATTCGTGACGCAGGTTTTTTTATTGACGAAGCCGTGCTGGCATTCGGCAATAAGTTTATGAGCTACAAGGTGCTGCATGATCTTTTCTTTAACAATTTTTTCCATTATTTTGCATGGTACTGAGGTGATGGAGATACGCATATAGTTTTCTGGGTCGAGTCTGGAGCCTTTTTTTAACAGTGGCGTCACGTTTGCCGAGAGCCACGCTTTTGGGACTACACCTTGATCCATCGATTTCTGAAAAATGATGGCAAGCGGGGTAGCCGCCGCATCAGCGCATGCTTTAAACACAAATGGACTGATACCGTCACCTTCAGTTGATTTATTGGCGTTGAGAGCAGATAGGTGTTTGTGAACGGAATCATAGCTGAAGATGACGGAGGAGATTAAGGCGGTTGTACGTTTAACAAAGGGAGGTAGTTGTTGATCTAATGGTTCGATTGTGAATACTGACTGGAACTGGCTGTTAAGTATATTGGCTATGGATGCGTGGTCGCTACTTATTTCCCCAGCGGGTGAGCACATAGAAGTTATCTGGTTACTGACGGCGCGTTTGTTGTTGACATAAGCGTATAGACGCTTAGGGTTTCATTTGTTGCTAGCTAATTTGTGTTCAAATGTTCTAATTGCAGTGCAGGAAGTTTTTTTGACAAGGTTTCGAGTTTGGTTATACTCTTTGACAAGAGGAATGATTCGCCATTTGCTGTTGCGGTTGAGGTACTAAAGTTTTTTCTTACGTTGACTTAGTAAAAAAAGTTCGCTGATTAGCCAAGGCTGCCTGTGTTTGGCCGGTTTAGAGGTGACACGCGGAATAAATTTGTCACATAATTTGATATAGTTGTCGCAGAATATTTGATAACATTCGTCGGCATATCGGTCTTTAAATAAACTAACCCAATCAACTTGGGAGAGTTTCTCGTTTAGATTCGCGTAATTACCTCTCCTGTATATAAATTTTGAGATGTTAAAACGGGGAGAGTTGCAGACGTTTTTGGCTAGCTGGTGTTGCCATGTCATAGTGCAGTGACCTTGCGAGGCGCTACCAAGAGGAGGACCGATAGTAATATGGGTTAATCGTTCGGTTGTTTCGGTAATTACAAGGTCTAGTGTATTTTTGAACAGACCGTTGGCTTGGATGAAGGTGGGATTGATAACGTGCTGGTGTAGATGTAGGTAAAAAATGGTTTTGGCAAATTTAGTGCCAAAACTAGTTTCAGCGCCGGTGGTATTGGTCCAGTCGTCGTGCCATATGACGTCGGGAAAGTTGAAGTCACCGGTGATTATTAGACCATTAAACTTTTTGTTTTCTACGGCTGATTTCGCGTAGGAGATAGCTTTTACTATTTCGTTAAAGGCCAAAACATTATTGGTAGGTGGGCGATAGATGCAGCCGATTAGGAGAGATTCTTGTGGGAGTTTAAGTTCGAGCCAGATCTGTTCTGAGAAATTGCATTGGAAACCGATGTGAAGTTGAGAGTAGTCAATTTCGTTGGCAATAATGCTGTTCTTGACATATATGGCTACTCCTCCTCCACGACTAGAGCGATCTTTTCTAAAGAGATTGTAGTTGGGAATAGCTGGTGCTGAGGATTCGTCAAACCATGTTTCAGTGATAAAAATGGTGTCATAATCATAGAGGGACGTTGCTAATTCAAGTTCGGTGAGTTTATTAGGATTTAGAGATGTGGCGTTTGCATAGAAGCAGTTTAGTAAAAATTTAGAAGCATTGCTTTGTGAAGTGGGAGAAGACAAATTTTTAATTATATGAAAACGGTCATGAGTTGAATGTTGCGACTTCTCATTGGTTGGTTTGGGCCACCGCGAGCGCTCCTTTCCAGTTGATATTTACATAATTATATTATTTCACCTTTAGATTTGGCTTTAACAGCTAAATACAAAATTGATATTTTCTTATATTGAGTAGAAATGTTATTAAACCAAACAAAAAATATTAGATAAATTTTGATTAAAATTGTTAACAAAATCTGAAAAAAAAACAACTAATGTATGAAACTTTTATAAATCTTTTATAAAAAAGTATACTAAATATATTATAAATAGTAGACAACTAAGTAGACTTTTAAGAGATTTTTAATAATTTTAGTACAAGTTCTTTGCCAGATCTTGAAGTGACAGTGGTACATAAATTTTTTTTAAAAAAATGTTGCTCAATATTACACAATGATGTTCTTCCATATCCAATAAATACTAGTCTGATATAATTATAAAAATACAACTTAAAGATTTTCTGCATACATGATCTTTAACGATTTGAAAAACTACAAAACGAAAAAATGTTCATTAGCATGAATTATCAGTTGGAATTTTTAATCTTAGTTTTTGGTCTTAGTTCTTAATGATATGATGTTTTCGCCACATAAAATCAGATACATCATTTAACTTGTAAAAATCATAAGTGCGGACAGGCGCGGACTATAAACCATATTTATATTGTATTGTCATCAAGCAAGAGTATGTATGCAAAATTTGAAGAAAATCTATTATTAAGAAGCGACTCAAAAATTGATTGCATGAAAACAAACAAACAAAAGAGTTAATAAAATGCATTGATGAAAATATTATCAAATTAAAAAAATAAACTTTTTTTTTTTTAAAAGAAGCTTTTTATTCTTCACCTTAGAAGCATTTTTTTATTTTTGTCCACCCCTACCCCACCATGGTGCCATGGTGGGTAACTTTTTTTCAAAAAGGGAAATTAAGGCAACATTAAAGCTTTATTTATCGATATTAGGGCGTTGTTTTATGACACTACCTTTTATTATGGCTTTTTTTAGATCTGTTAGTAAGATTGGGTTCTATTTAATAACTTCTATTTATTAAAAGTTTCTAAAATAATTCAGAATGTTATTTAAATTGGATAAGTTACACAACCACCAGACAAAAACTTTAATCGCAATTTCGCTGAATCGTGTCTTGACAGTTTTGTATGATGGTAAGTTTTTCCATGTAAAATGCACAAAAATATCAAACTTTCTGAATAGTTTTTAAAATTTTCAAGTTGTTTGCTGAAATGACAGTCTTACTTTATTACAAAAGGTGTCAGCACGTTTCTTAGCAGTGATTGCACCTTTAAATTGTAATTGCTAGACATTACTTTACAGAAGTTACAACGTATCCTAATACGTTAACTGGTATTGAAGCGCGATCTCTAAGCCATTCCTTGTACTTAATAGCGTCACGTTCAACATGTTTTTATCTATAACAACTTTACTTATGCAGAGTAGTGTTTGGAGAACAAAATTTAAAAAATATAGAAAAAAAAGAGCTTTTTTTCAAACGCTTACAAACGCCAAACTTTGCCAAAGTTTAGAAAATCTAAAAAAGTGCACAAAATTTAAAGTCTTTGAATCACGATTACTTGTTTAAATTTTTCTATAAGATAAACCTTTTTTTTTTTTTTTTTTTGTACAACTCTTATGTAGTATAACTAATGGAATTTAAATTGAAAAAAATTAAAATTGAACAAATTTTTTCTAATAAAAATTTCAATTTTAAACTTTAGCTTTTTGCTAATTGCCTGATCAACAACTTTTTTTTTGTAAAAAAGGTCTTTCTTATGGTTTTACATTTTTTAAATATTTTGTAAGGTTCTGAAAACTATAAATGTTAGCAAGTTATATGTCATGCATAGTGATCCTCAAGGGAATTCTGGAAACGGTAATTCCCGGGAATCTCGTTGGTCAACTCCCGTTCCCGTTCCCGTTTTTTTTTTTGAGAAATTCCCGGGAATTTTTTTTAAATACAAATTTGTAGATTATCATTTCTTAAAGGTATATTTAAAGTTTATAGTTGTAATTGCAGGTATAATTAAAGTTTAAAACTTTTTTATACCTGGAAATACACTTTACAGGTGTTAAAAAAATTTTAATCTTTAAATATACCCGCAATTGTATGTATCAAAATGAATCTGATGTGATGAACGATGATGTCTTTTTCATTGAGTATGGAAATGAAGATGAATCTGATGAAGATGTACCTGATGCCGGCGAGGACACAGAGTCAAACGATGAAGAGGAGGCCGATTCACTTCAAATGGTTTTCGCTTATCAATCAACGATCACCAAAGTGATAAAAATCGTGAGCCTCTTCCATCGATTATCGGTCAAAAATGAAATTCTTCAAAAATTTGTTAAGATAATGAACAACGGGAGAGAACTTAAGGTGAAATTAGATTCAAAGAATCGTTGGTGCAGCCTTCATGATGCTTGCAAAAGGTTATTGAAGTTACTTGGACCTGTAAAGAAAGCTCTGAACCACAGGGAGATTGATAAAACTTACTTATGGACAGATATTGACTCAAAAAGATTGAAGGACCTGGTAAAAGTTTTAAGCCTAGCGAAGTTGGCAATTCAATTCTTGTCAAAGAAATCAGTAAATCTCATTGATTGCAACACAACTATCAAGTTTCTCTTGGACAATTTAGAAATGTATGATCTTCAGCTCTCGCAAGATATCTTCTTGGCTATATCTTCAAAGAGAAACTCAACAAACGCAGACATAATGTTCTTCAATCACTCATCCTTTACTTGCACGACATCAACAACATCAATGGGCCGAATTACTTTGCTATATCGACTGTTGCAGCTATGAGCAAACTTGCAGTGAAACTGATGGAAAGACTCTTCAGTACTAGAAATGATGATTGTGTGGAACAACCTGAACAGCAAGAAGAACCATCAGCAGCAACATCACAGCAGGTTCAAAGAAGTTTTGCTGAGCAACTGACACTTGCCTTAAAAGCTTCAAGAGAGGTCACCAACAAACAGGCGGGCAAATGTATTGACTACAAAAAGTAAACGCAAATGTATGCGAAGACAAAAGTACGCTCACCAACTCTGGGTAGACTTTTCGAGGGACTGAATACAATACAAGCAACATCAATAGCTGCAGAACGTCGTTTTTCGGAAGCAAATATTCTTGTGAGCAAAGTTCGCAACCATCTTTGTGATGAGAACATCTATGCTATTTCTTTTCTTAAATGTTATTTCCGAAATAAGTTAATAAAGATGATTTTTACATAAATTTTGAGTTCTTTGTATTGTTTTTTATACTTTTTGATTAAAAATTTTCAGGTTTTAGAAAAAAAATATATATATATATATTGGAAAGCTCGTTTGTTTATTTAACTTTAAGTTTGGTTTGACCAGACAATTGCAACTTTTACTGTTACCTATTTTAAATTTATTCAACTTTTTGAATTATTAATTGACATTATTCATAAATCTCTTTTTATATAGATAAAAGTTTGATTAAATTTATTTCAAGAAGAACTGGTATCAACTCATGCAAACACTTCTTTACATACTAGACATGAAGAGTTATTATGATATTCGAGATTTTATGGCTTTTGGCAAAATAGCAAAGCTGACATTTAAAAACACAGGTGGAAAAAAGTATGCTGGCATTCTTTTAAATAAAAAAATTTTGGTTGACAGATTTTTGCTTACAATACAATTTACATACAATTTACGCTAACTTTTCCAGTTATTTAGGTGTTCCCATAGATCCTAACGTTCTTATCACAAAGAGCCGGTTCGAAGAGCCGGCTTCGAACCACGGACCTCTAATTCTAAAGCCAGAGCTCTAACCACTACATCAATAAAACATGATATTTTTATTTCTATAATTCATTTAGTTCTGAAATTTTCACATTACGTTCCAAAAGGTATGAAAAGGTTATGAACCAGAATCATGCATTGAAGTTGCATAGAAAATTTTAAACACATTTTTTATAGATTTATAAAACTTTTTAACAAAAAAGGTAAGAAAAAAAGATATTAAACATATTTTGACACCATATTTATTTGTATTTTTGGTTTATTACCCAAGTCAATTAATAACAAAGCACCCTAAAAATTTCAAAGCAGAAAACGGTCTCAAACTGGAAATAGCATGATTTAAAATTTACATATTCAATAAAATAAACGTTCTGAGTAAAATACAAAAAAAAAACAATTAAAAATTGTATTGCAAAATTGCATAAGTGGTAAAAATCTCCACCTTTATATTTAATATCTAAATAATATTTCTGATATAATAATTGTTCTAAGCTATTTTCTTCTTACCTTACCAATAACCTTTGTTATTCATTTTTCAATTCTGTTGCAGTCCAATTTATGAAGTTCTCCCTGCATTTATATACTTGGTTCAATACCTCCAGAACATAAGACAATTTCAACTGCTGTGCTTCCATCTTTAAAAATCAAATAACAGTTTATGGTCTATACTAATCTAAAGAGCTTTTTTCTGAACAAAAATCTTTAATTTCTTTTATTTTTTTTTTTTTTTTTTTTTTTTAATGTTGATTTAGGTGCCCCAAGAAGTCCTTACGGTCTTATCACAGAGCACCGCGAAATGTTAAGCCATTCAGATTTTCATTATTATTTTTCAAGCAAACATATTGACAAAGTTTTTTTTTTTTTTAATTTTTAAAATTTTTTTTAAAAAATCAATTTTTTAAAAAATTGATTGTTACTAAAATTTTCTAATTTAATGGGATTGTACCGCCTTGCGTTTACAAAATAATCGACATAAACAAAAAAAAAGTATATAAACATAAAATAATGAAAAATTTACAGTGTTTTAGTCACTTGTATAGGTTCCTCAAACTTTTAGAACAATCTCTATTCTTTGCAACATTTGGGCATAAATTAATTCCCAATATTTGGACGTTATTTTATGACACCACGCTTCATGATGACTTTTCTAAGATCTGCTAGGTTAAAAAAATAATTTATATAAGACTGTCGCATTGGTTAATAAAAATATAAGAAATTGAATTTAATTTTAAAAAAGTATATTAATTTATAAATATCATCTATTTAAAAATAGGTTTTTTTAAGTTTTTGTTTAAAAAGTCATAACTAATTTCTTGAGAAAAGTCAAAAAAAAAAATTAAGACAGTGTTGTTCTATAAAAAAACTCATCGATATGAAATTCAAAATTTTCATTGAAAAAAAAAAGTTTTTAGTTTCATTGGTTTTGTTAAAATATATTTAAAAGATTTAATTTTTTCATTCAGGTTTCATTGGTATTGACCATTTTTTAAACTATATGGATGGAAGTTTTGATATTGATGGAGGATTGTTTGATCTGTATTCCGTTAGTTACTATGGCGACAAATTAAGAAACTATCACCGCAAATATTTGATTGACGAAGAAAATAAAAGTTATGGAGTTTATTTATACCCCAGCATTTTTGCTTATAAATTGTGTCTAACAAAATATTTCTTAGAAAATGTTGATGAAACACAGATTGCTTTAAAAAATCAGCTTAAAGCTATAAAGGTATTTAAAACAAAAACATTTTTTGAACAATTGCTAAGACTAAAATTTTAACAATTTTATAAATATTAGTAATATAACGACAGAATTTATTTGTCAACAAATTTTGAAAGTTTTTTAAGTTTAATATACTTATAAATATATAAGATTTTTATAGTTTTAACTGCAATTTAAAAAAATATGAAAACCAGAAAATAAAATTTGACCCAAACCGTTATAAAAAAATTTAAATTAACTGAATGTAATGTCTGGATTTAATTCATATTTAAATTGTGCATTTGGCAAGCTTTTAATTTTACATTTATATTATATTTAGAACTTTAAATTCTACAGTCCAGAAACAATGTCAAAAAGAGTTTTAGATGATTTAATTACAACAAAAATGACAGTATCGTTGAGCGTTATTGTTATTATCGTTTTCGTTTGTGGTTGTTTGAGAAAGTATATTATTTTAATGAAGAACAAGAGAAATTATGTAGGAGCTGCTTATGGTATGTATAGTATGTCTAATTTAGATATTTTAAATTAATTTAGTTATTCCGTGTTTTTGGTCTGTTTTTACTTTCTAATACATAACTTTTTTTACATAAACAAATAAAATTTAAAACGTATTTGTCATGCTATTAAAATCTAGAGATTTTTATTTTATTGTTTAAAGCTATTGCTTTTAGACAATAATATTTTATTTAATCAAAGTTTTTGAGCAAATAATATTATAATGTTGAAGTTATAGAAAAATCAAAAAAATATATATCAATTTAAAAAATGTTTTGCTCGTGATATTTGGTTTCACTATTTGTCATTTATTTTCAATTTCTTCTGATAATACAAATAAAGTCGCGAGAATCAATTTGAATGCAATCAAACGGTTGAGTTCAAAACTCAAGTTAAATTGGACGAATTTAAATAACAAACTGAAACTTAAATAACAAAAAAAAAAAAAAATAGAGACGTTGCTCTGATCATCCAGAATATGAACTTTAGAATACAGTTCTTGACTACAACAGCGTGCACCTAGCAACAAACAAACTAAAATTAAACAAAGAAATAAAACAAACAAAACTGACCAAACTATTTTACAGACTGATCTATATCTAAAAACTTTATTAGCTAATAATAGGAATAGCGTAAGATTTTAATTGCTAATATTAAATAACAAATAACAATGTATCTTTTTACTCTAAAATGTTAATTTAATTTTAAATTTGTTTTTTCAGATTCAATTAACAACTTTGTCATGTTGCACACTGTAAAAACCGACCACCAATATGTATTAAAGGAAAACATGAAAAAAATGCAAAACGACCTCCAAGTTTTACAAGCGTATTTTGAACATGTCACAGAAAGTCTTCAAAGCAAACTACACATTACAGATAATTTATTTCGTGCAAATATCCCAATCCCTTATGAAAGATTAAATGATATTGATGAAGAATAATTAACTTCAAAAGAAAATGGCAACAGCTATGATCATAATTATTTTTTATACATGATTTTATTCAATAATTTTTATAGAAGATAAATATTTGTCTTTTTTTTTTCTTTTTTTTTTTCTTTTCAATTTTTAATTTTTTGAATAATTCTTCCTCTTCCTTACATCTATCTAGCTTTTAACACTCTCTTATAAGTAGTTTTTTTTATAAGTAGTTGATATTAGAATTTTTTTAACTTTTACCCAATCCTAATTTGTTTTAAATAACTCTACACGTGTAAAACAAAACCCAAGTAGATTTTGTTCTCGCGTTGTTATTAACTAAAAAAACTTTTTATATATTTATAACTTGACTTTTTATTTTATTAAAAAAAAAATTATATTTTTTCTAAACAATAAACTTTTTTTTTAAAAAAAAAAGGTGTTTGTTTTCTTTGTTTTTTTTTTTGGTTTCCTAAAATTATTTGTTAATATTTAGTAAATATATTGTAGTTTACACAAACATGTTAATTGTTATAACAAAGAATGAATGGTATAATTGTATAATGTTTTAAATAAATAATACTTCCTCAAACCATCAGAGATATACATTTTGAACCCCAATAAATGCTTAAATGTACATTGTTTTAATTTCTGGTTGTAAAAACTTTATGACACTGTTAACTAGTTTTCGTGCTGTTTTTTTTTCATTGCATCTCAATGTGCAATGCCAATAGACAATGGTTTTGTTTAATTGGTAAGCCGCAGCCGGTGATTTTTAAAATAATGGTTGCTGAGTAATTTTTTTAATTTAATTAAAACACGCTATAATACGAAAAAATCAAAGAGTTTGTATCTACTTTACACTTGGTTTCATTTTTTTAAATTTTATGTTTACGTCTACCCAGGAAAAAAAGTTCTATAGAATTTCTATAAACTTTTGAAACATATAGTCTATAGATATTCTATAGAATTCTATAAAATTTCAATAGACACCTTTTCGTTGTTTTTAAACACGTGCACATGCGCAAGTCTTTGGCAATCAGAACAAACAATTTTAGCGTTTTTAATCGAATTAAGAAAAAGTAAACATTTGGTATTTTTTTATTATCTTCTATACATCTAAAATATAGAAAGTTGGAAAGAATCAAGTTATTTTAAAACATTAGATGAAACCGACAAGTTTAAGTATAAAAAAAAAAATTATTCATTTTCTTAAAATATTGTCGAGTTTAGCATTACTAGTTTACATAAACTCAAAGCAATTGCCCCAGAAGCAGCTTTTTTTACAAGTGTAGTTGGTCTAGCACCAATATTGGATCATAGTTTTAGTCACAACACTGCAACTGCTGATAAAAACGATATGCAAATAATCTTGCAAATAATCTTGACAAATAATCTTGACAAATCTTTATGCAAATATGCAAATCTTTATGCAAATATGCTAATATGCAAATAATCTTGACAAATCTTTGCTTGGAGAATTTTGCTTATCGAAATTTAATGAATACAATAACAGAATAATCAAGAAGAATATTCTCAATGCAACTTTAACTTATTGGCAGAAGTGAGTAAAACTCAAAACCTGTCGCATACATGGAAATTACATCGAAATAGTAGAATTACAGCATCCAATTTCCATGAAGTTATAAATAAAGTATTGCAAAATTCAAAAAATAATGAACTAAGTAACTTCACCAAATGTAGCAATTATTATTTATGGAAGAGAAATGGAAGACAAAGCACGTTGTTTTTATATTAAGTTATTAAAAAAAAAATCACAACAATTTCAAATTAGAAACAACTGGTATTCATATCCAAGCTAATTATCCATATTTAGGAACATCGCCAGATGAAACTATAAAATGTACATGTCACAATAGGTTTAGTAGAAATCAAGTGTCCCTACAAATATCGCGAAGGTTTAAGTTGTTGGAAAGAGAATAATGATTTTCCTGTAAGTTAAAATGGTGGTTTAAAAAACAAGCTATAAGTATTTTACTCAAATACAAGGACAAATGATGATTTTAGAAGTAGAATTCTGTGACTTTTTTATTTGGACACCCTTAGAAAGTGAAGGAAATTACCTATTAGTTAGAGTTTATCGAGATAAAAATGTATTAATGAGATAAAGCAGGCATTACACAAATATTATTTTACATACATTTTACCAGAGAATGTAACAAGAGAAAATGATATTTATTATACCAATAAGCAGAAAAACTATTGCATTTGTAAACGCCCATGCTTTAAACTAATGATTGCATGTAATAAAGCTAGTTGTGAAATTGAATGGTTTCACTACTCATGCGTAAATTTAACTCGTGCTCCTAAAGGAATTTGGATTTGTCCAAATTGTTTAAAATAATATTTTGTACTGTTTAGTTTGAAAATAAAAATTTATTATTAGACATTTAAAATATTTCTGTACTACACTTTTATTTAAATTTATAAGTCCAGCTACTGAAATCATTATACTGTCAAGTAAATCAACCTGGCTTACAGGTATAGTTGATGTTAATAGTTGATATTTTTTAAACCCCTAATAACTCTTTCTATATAAATTCTCACACGAGCAATTTGACGAGATAAATCGATGTCTTTTACAGCCATTTGGTTTTTACTTTTTGTAAATGCTAGTATTATTAAAACAGCTCCTCTTTTGCTGATTCTTCTTCCACTAAAAATCCTCTATCAGCTAAAATACAATCTCCGTAATAATATCTAAAAAACCTGACTCAATTGTGATCAGTTTGTCTGATGCTCAACCACCCCATCCAAATAACAAAAAACTTACAGCACCAGCTGGTGTTATTCCAATTAAATATTTAATGATATTACGTGATTTATAGATAGAGTAGGTTTAATCCCTAGCTGTTAAGTTATGTGGCCTTTCTATAAATATTTCAGTGCAGTCTATTATACATACACAATTTTAAAAGTTTGTATAACAACATGGCAAGTTTGCTCTTATAGCAGCTCGTTTAGGCCACACGATTAAATTGCACAATGCATTGGCTAATTATCCATAAGCGAAATATTTTTGATATGACTCCTTCACTAATGTTAAATCTCAAAGCTAAATCTTTATTTTTATGTCCAAGTCTTAAATTCATTAACATATAGTTTTCTAAGGACATTGTTTTAACAATAGGTTTAACGCAAGATTTAACTTCTTGCAAAATCTATTCAAACAAAGCTGATTTGCTAACTCCAGTTAAAAAGTTTAATGCTTTTTCTTTAATATTAATATAGTCAATATTCTTTTCCTTTGTAAACTTTAATTGTCTTTGACATTTTAGTAACTTTTGTTTCAACTTTTGTATTTCAAATATCTTTTTTCTCAAAGTTTTGTATTTCAAATATCTTTTTTCTCAAAGTTCAAATAATACTTTATGCTTATACTTTACAATACTAATAATACTTTAATAGTACTACTAATAAATTCTTTTAATTTTTTTTTTTTGAAAAAAACAGTTAGTTTAAAAGTTAATCAACACATAAATTATATATCAGTGACACCCTCTGATCATTTTTTGGAAAAGGATATTGACAGAACTGGACAAACAGTTAGGTTGAGGCAAAATTCTTTGCCAAAAAGATTTAAAAATTTTCCAGACCACTTAAAAAAGGTATATGATCAACCATGGTTTTATTTATATTCTAAAGGCTATTTCTATATGTACCTATGTTCTATATGTACCTTTTAGTTCTTAATTACCCTATGCAGTGTGCTAGAGGGTTTATAACACAACTGTAAGGTAAGCAGCTAAAACACTGTACTTGTCATAACTTACTTTGATGAGTACATGCTATCATTTTATAAATGCTGCATAAACTATTAGCTAAGCTCTGTGAGTAAACACAACTTAGAGGTTCCTTCTAGTAGTACAATAAAAAAAATAAAACGAATATATATATATATATATATATATATATATATATATATATATATATATATATATATATATATATATATATATATATATATATATGTATACATATCTTATGTATTTTTTAGACAACGAAAGAGAGAAAAAGTCCTACTGAAAGATGTATTTCTAATTCTGAGATAAGTGATTCTGAAACTAGTATTTTACCTATCTGCATGAAATTTAGCTCTCCTATAAAAACATGTAATTCCATTTTAACACCAGAAAAACTGTTAACAAATCGAAGAATCAAGATCATTCAGTCTTTAAAAAAAAAGGTAAAAGCAGAGCAGCAAAAATCTAGAAGAATGAAAAAATGTATAACGTCTCTTAAATCAGTCATAAAAATACATCAAAAACACAAAATATCATCAAATTGTGAAGAAATGCTATCATAAACAGTCCCCCTTGCTGTAGCCAGAAGAATGATAAAAGGAAAAAATAACAATAAGGGATGTCAATATTCAGAAAAAATTAAATCGTTTGCACTTACCCTACAGTTTTATTCAAGTAAAGCTTACGAATATGTGCGAAAAACATTTAATTTTAATTTACCACATCAATCACAAATCAGAAAATGGTATGGCAAGGTCTCAGCAGAACCAGGTTTTACAAAACCAGCATTTGCAGCACTTAAAAATAAGGTTATCGAAGCTGAAAAGTTAGGGTCTAAAGTCATTTGCTCGCTTATGCTAGATGAAATGGCTATTAAAAAACACATCATGGGATGGGAAAATATTTAAGGGGTATGTTGATCTTGGAAATGGTATACAAGATGATTCATCTCCTGTTGCAAAAGACGCTCTAGTTTTCATGGTGGTTAGTATAAACAGTTCATGGAAAGTTCCATGCGGATATTTTTTTATAGATGGTTTAAACGGTGCTGAACGAGCAAACATTGTAAATATATGTATAAAACGATTGACAGATGTTGGTGTTGAAGTTATATCCCTAACATGTGATGGACCCTCGTGTCACATTTCTATGTTATCAAACCTTGGTATTTCAATTAATGCTTTAGAAATGAGTTCATCTTTCACTCATCCTCTTAGCTCAAATAAAAAAATTTATACTCTGCTCGATATTTGCCATATGCTAAAACTTATTAGAAATTGCTTGGCAGAGAGTGATTTTTTGGTTGATAATGCAAACAATATAATATCATGGAAATATATAGTGTATCTTCAAAAGCTGCAAGAAAATGAAGGATTACGACTCGGAAACAAATTAAGACTGGCACATGTCAATTGGAGGCAACAGAAAATGAAAGTGAATCTTGCTGCTCAAGCAATTAGTTCAAGTGTAGCAAATGCAATAGAGTTTTGCTGCAAAGATCTTAAATTGATACAGTTTCAAGGAAGTGAAGCAACTGTCAATTTTATTAGAATATTTGATAGATTATTTGACATTTTGAACTCACGAAACCCATTTGCCAAAGGTTATAAATCACCATTAAAAATGAGTAATAAGCATTTGTGGGATAAATTTCTTGATGAAGCATATGAATACATTTCAAATTTAAAAGACTCGTCTAAAAAACTATTGCATACAATCAGAAGAAAAACTGGATTCATCGGATTTTTAATGGCAATTAAAAGTGTTAAACAGGTTTTTAAAATATTATAAAATTATAAATAATAAAAATGACTTATATATTTATATATATGAATATATATATATATATATATATATATATATATATATATATATATATATATATATATATATATATATATATATATATATATATCTGTGTTTGTGTATTTAGATATTTTATAACCTTGTTGAAATTCCTGAAGCACCTTTAAAGTATCTTCTAACATACAAGTTAAGTCAAGACCACCTTGAGTTGTTTTTTGGCTCCATCCGAGGATCAGGAGGATTTAACAATAATCCAACAGCACAACAATTCACTGCTGCATATAAGCGACTTTTACTTCGAAGCCATATTGAAGGAGCTCAGGGAATTGTGAAAAACTAAACACTGCACAAATTTTAAACATCTTAGACGATTCTGTTACAGTAAGCAATGAGAGTATAGATATAACCTCAATTAGCATAATGAGAAAATACGACCTTTCCGAAAGACCAGCTAAGCTAATTGATCACGATTATTCTTTTATTTGTAATATTTCATTGCTAACTGAGTATAAAAAGGCAGCTATTTCTTATATATCAGGTTTCGTTGTTGGAATGGTAAAAAAAAAAAATATTTTGTATGTTATGCTGTAATGCACTTGGTTCTAAAAACCATGTTCCAGAATCTAATTTTCTTAAAGTAAAAGATAGTGGTGGCCTTATAAAACCAAAAAAAGATGTTATTGTTGTTTGTGAAGAAACTGAAAAAAAAATTGTGAGAATGCTAGCAACAATACCTTTGAAAACTACCACATTCCAAGAACATCCCAGAAGCTATATCTATTTCAGTTTTAGAAGACTTAGGTTCTGATATATTTAAAGATTTGGATGAACACATGTTTGATACTGGGATTAATGAAAATCACGTGTTTAAGTTAATTAAAATAATTTCTCACTGTTATTGCAAAGTGAGACTATATGATCTTGGAAAACAAGCCACTGAGAAAGTGGCAGGAAAAAATATTCGAAAAAAATTTAGTAAATTAGTAATATTTAATCACCAATAAAGACAAGTTTTACATGTTTTATTGTAAGCATATATATATATATATATATATATATATATATATATATATATATATATGATATATATATATATATATATATATATATATATATATATATATATATATATATATATATATATATATATATATATATATATAGGTACGCCGATATCCGCGTTTTACGGAACCAATAAATGTGCTAAAATTCTGTGCCACGCTTTTTGAAGTTCACATTTGGAGAGGTAGGTTGTGCAGTGTTTTGTTGCCTTGTTTTTTAGAATTTCATATTAACATAAATATTTTTTAAAAACTAGAATGATTATACTTTATTAATATGTGTCTTTTGATTACTATTACGTACTTTGTAAGTTGATTTATTGACATACAAAACTTTGTTGTACTTTGTGCATCCAGCAAATATTGAAGATATGGACAGCAATTAACTATCTTTTGCAGCCATTTAAGTTTACACATTTTTTATTTGTCTGCCAAATTTCGTTGAAAAAAAATGGGGCGCAGGCAGTCTATTTTGGGGCGCACTTTTGGTACCTATTTTCCTTAATCTGAAATCATTTGCGGGCAAAGGGGGGGGGTGCAACACAATTAAAATTCTTTTAAGTTTAACAAAATAAAACTTTGTAAACTTTTTATTAATGTTATATATTACTTTTTTTTTAGATAAAATGAGTGAAGATATTAATTAAAAATTAATCTCTTCACTCATCTTATCTACAAAAAATACTATTTGCATAAAAGATAACTAATAAACAAATTGAAAATGAAAATAAAAATATTTTATAATCATACAATGAAATTGTATGTGTATTGTAGTAAATGGTAGTATTTATGTGAAAAGCTATTTACAGGTACTATCTACACTGAAAGCTATTTACAGGTACTATCTACACTAATTATAGACATTGTAATGTTTTTTTTTTTTTTTTAAATAAACATTTATTTGAAAAATATTTTTGTTTTATGTTTGCTTCAATAGCTTTTTACAACAAAATTGATTAAATTTTTTTAATTTACTTACCCGTTTAGTAGTTTTTATAATACTTTTAATTGTTGTTGGTTTCAAAATACTAATACTAACGCAAGAAAAGTGTAATTTTAATACAATTAATTTTTGCTTAATTTTCAAATAGTCTATTGGGCTACATGTTTACTTTTTGGTCATAACTATGTTGTATGTATATTGATACAACTTTTGGTTTAGTTACATATATTAATACCATAGTTACATATATTAATTTATTATATTTATTGATATTGTCTAAAATAAATATACAATTATTTTTTCTTTAGATTTTTTAAATATTAAACTAATATATCTCATGGTTATTACTTAATATGGAAATATTTTGACTTGCAAAATTCGTACCAGTTATTCTGAGTGGCAAACAGGTACTGTTATTGTAAGTGTCAAAGTGAGTGGTAAGGATCATTTAACTTTTTTTTAGTGATATACATATTTAAGACAAATAAACTTGGAACCTATTATTTAAATATTATTTTTTTGATTTGTTTTACATTTCTAAATTTATTAAGAAACTCATCAGTTGTAACTATTTAATGCTTTAATGGTATAATGGGTCGACACATTTAAAGGAGAATTCAAAAAACATTTAATTAGTAATTTTACATTGCCATCTAACACAAATATTGGGTGCATGAATGGACACGTTCTGTTTCTTTATACTAGCAATGGTGAGTTGTTTAGCAAAACAGTTGCAAAAGTCAATGAGCATTTTAACTTGAATATTTGCTCCAGTCATATCAAAAAAGTAGTGTACATAGCCAAAAACTGGTCTAAAAATTTTTTAAGAAAATATGTAAGTTGTGTTGCATTTTGTAATGAGCCCTTTATAAACCGTGAACCACTGATTACAATTTTATTGCAGCCTATCTTAAGTAACACTAATTACACAATATCACATTCTTTTGTTTTATCATTGTCAGAACACAGCAGTGTCACATCTCTGATACGTAATGAACCTTCATGTTCTGCTGGACATGAAGCAAATTTAACTACTAGGCAGACTTCAATAGAAAAATTGAGCCCTAGGAAGAAAAAATTAACTAACCGGTTGTCTCATTTGTCTTCTAGATTAGCAGTTTCTTCAATAGAAAATCGTAAGAAGATAGCTTCAATGAAAGCAAAATTATCCAGCCTGCCATATAAATTAAAAGTTCTAAGGCAAAGTGTTAAAAGAAAAGAAGATATTATAAAAGCCTTAAGAGCTCAGGTTAGAGACTTAAAACATAAAAACCAAACATATTATTACAGCAGGCAAATTCGCAATCTTATTGCATCAAAAAAAGCAATAAAAATTAAAGAGAGAGAAAAGTTTAGAAAGTTAGCTCTCAAACATAATGCTGCGATTAGAAAAAATAAACGGATATTACTAGCTTAGAAGATAGTTTGACCCAAATGGACGAGGACAAGATAAGTATTACAAATACAACTGATTGTAAAAGCTATCCATTAAAAATGAGAATGATAATATACTGCATGTTATTGTGTAATGTCCCAACAAGTAACATTCCATTTTTAGTAAGCAAAATTGGGCAATATTTCAGTGTTATTTTTTCTCACATTCCTTGTCGTAGCACTATTGAGCAAATGGCTCGTGAGCTTGGCAGTATTGCTGATCTGCAGGCAGCTGAATGGATCATTAGTAATACTCATCTTACTCTTGGGTTTGACGCAACTACACAAGAAGGTGTTCATATCAACAGTATTCACTTAACTTCAAATGATAAATGCCAGGTAATTGCTGTTGATCAATTACCAGGTGGGACAGCTGTGGATTATGCGAACCATATATGTAACGAAGTGGATCATACAGCTTTAGTATATTCAAACTTTCACTTGAAACCCTTTGAAGAATGTCGTCGTATGGTCATATCAAATATTTCAAACACAATGTCGGACAGAGTATCTGTTAACCATCTTACAATAAGAAAAATTGGTGAAACTTGGGGTAAAAGTCTCAATGAATTAAACTGTCATTTGCACCCTCTTGACACAATCGCCACATCGTGTCGTTCAGCATTAAAGTCTCTAGAGCTTGATAGCTGCGAATTATATGGAAATGATTGTATAGCTGCAAAAATTGTTTTGGCTATGAATAAGATGAGGTTCAAAGATGGTAAAGGTGACCCAAAGGGATTTGTTAATTTTTTAGGCAATAATTAACTACCACGAGGTATCATTCCAAGGTATCGTGGAAATCGCCTTCACATTCTGTTCCACACTTGTTTTATTTTTATAAAACATTATAACAAATTTTTACATTTTTTAACTATAGGAACAGTAAAAATAAAAACTTTACAAAGGGTTCTGCGAGTAGCATTTTGTAATACAACTGCTATAAAGCAAATGTGTCTACTTGCTTTATTTGGAAAACTTCTTACAGGGCCGTGGATGACAATGTTTTATGTGTCATCTGAGAAAGCATATTTTGATCATGTTGGTGGTATCCAGATTGTTAAAAATGTTGTGCAAACAATTAAAGACTGCAAATGCGATCCAGCTGCAATATTTTGCAGAACAACAGATTTTTTTGGAAATGCTCTCAAAGCAAATGTGTTAAAACCATTAACAAAAATATGTAGAATTGATGACGAGCTCATTGCCATGATCTTGGCTTGCCTCAATGCAATAGAAGTGGTTTTAAATCGACAGTATAAGCGCTATTTTTCCATTACCATTACAGAAGCACTTGAAAAAGAAACAGCTAGTGCAAGGCTTCATAACATAGATAGTGAAGAGTTAATGGGAATGTTCAGTGCTGCAAAAGGAAGATCTCCTAATGCATCTATTGATTATATATCTTGCAAATTACGAACCAAAAAGAATGGGACAATAGATTATCTGGATAATCTTGATGACTTTTCTAAAAAAATGGTAGTTCAGTGGTCTATTCAGGCAGCACGTAAAAAACGAATAAAAACTCGACTACAACATACTGAAATTAGAGCTGAGATTTCTAAAAGACAGACTATAAAACGCCAAAAAATTGATGAAAAAGAAAAAAGAAAGTTAGAGCAACAATTAACATTATTAACTATTAGTGAAATTCTGAATTTGTTTAAAAACTTATCTACTAAGCAAATTGATGATTTAAATAATGTTATGTGTGAAAGAATTGTTGGGAGAAATCTTTGCCATGAATGGTATGATTCCGATACAGCAATGACAGTCTTGTATAATGGCAGAGTAGAAAAACTTAAAAAAGCTCAGAAAGATATTATATACACTATTTCTTATTGGACTAGAGAAGAAAATGATACTGAAGCAGTTGATTATTATATGAAAAAATTCCAGGTAGTTGCTGACATTGTATCCGGTGAGTTGATGTTTTCCTAATGTAAATATGTTGCATTTATTTTTTTTATAATTAAAAATGCATTTTTTTATCTTACTACTTTATTTTACTATTTTTTGACTTTCTATCTCTCTCTCTCTCTCTCTCTCTCTCTCTCTCTCTCTATATATATATATATATATATATATATATATATATATATATATATATATATATATATATATATATTTATATATATATATATATATATATATATCAATAATATGCAAATCTATATATATATCAATAATATGCAAATGTACAGCAAGAAGTGGTACTTGCAAAAAAAAAATATAGCAAGTAGTGGAACTTGCAAAAAAATATATAGCGAGTAGTGGAACTTGCAAAAAAAAAAAAATAGTAAGTAGTGGAACTTGCAAAAAAAAAATATAGCAAGTAGTGGAACTTGCAAAAAAAAAAATATAGCAAGTAGTGGAACTTGCAAAAAAAAATATATAGTAAGTAGTGGAACTTGCAAAAAAAAATTATAGCAAGTAGTGGAACTTGCAAAAAATTATATAGCGAGTAGTGGAACTTGCAAAAAAATATATAGCAAGTAGTGGAACTTGCAAAAAAAAAAAAAAAATTGCGAGTAGTGGAACTTGCAAAATAATATATAGCAAGTAGTGGAACTTGCAAAAAAAAAAGTATAGCAAGTAGTGGAACTTTGCATAAAATATATATAGCGAGTAGTGGAACTTGCAATTTTTTTTGATAGACGGCTCTGGCTTACGTTCACGTCGTGTCTATTGTTAACAATGATTAATATATAGTTTCATTAATGGAATTTAATATCTTAATCATTAACTAAAAGCCAAGACGCAAACTAATTAGAATAATATTATAAAACATTTTTTGTTTTTGAAATTCTTTTTTAGGTCAGAGGGGGAACCATCTATAACTATCACAAAGCATTGTGTGATGTATTTTGAGTTTTGGTAAAAGATGTTTTTAAATTAAAGTGTTTATTTTCATTGCATTTAAATATTTTTTCGAATCTCATTAAAAATAGCTTCTTTTTTTTAGGTTGTCAAAAAAAAAGGAAGAGGGGGGGCAACGACACGCCCTCTCGCCCATCTACACCCTTGAAACAAAGGGTGCGCTGCTAGTGATTTTGTAAAGTAGTAAAATATAATTTTTGATTTGAATACTAGATTTCTTTTTAATTATAAAGATAAATATTTATATAAAGAGTCATTTTTGATAATAGGGTGTATTAAACTATCACCCTTACATCCACCCAAAGGCAATGACGAGTCTTCTATATTTGATTGTGATCTGATAGCTAATTACAAAAACATCTTGCATATAAAAATTTACATTTTCATTAAAAGAAAACACTTTTTTATAAATATAGTAAGTCTTTATTGCCGGTAAGGATGGTGGTTTTGTGCCCCCTCTTACCCCCGGATGCGCCCGTTATCTAGAAACTTTTATAAATTTGTAGATGACTCTTGTATCTATCTTTTGATACCAAGATATAAACATTTGGATAAGAATTGGTTAAGTTATAATAATTTTAGTTAATAAAAACTTTATTTTGACCACAGTTTCTTCAACAAATCCTAATATCAAAATATCGGTACTTAAAACGTCATAACTTTTTGTAGGGTGGTTCAATTTTGAAAATTTTTTCACTTTTAGAATATTGACATTAAGCTCTTTTTAATGATATATAACAACCTATAATTTGATGAATATAAAATTTTCATGTGACACACCTAATATATATATATAGTTTTACATGTTTTATTGTAAGCATATATATATATATATATATATATATATATATATATATATATATATATATATATATATATATATATATATATATATATATATATATATATATATATTACCTTATAATATATAATATATAAGTTAAATATTACCAACAATAAACGGTATTTTGTTCAGCTTGTACTTTAATTTTTCCTTCTGTTTACATTTTTTAGTAATCATTACCAAGAATTTTTTAAACACATGCAATAACTTTGTATTTAAAGAAGATATAGTGACTTTATTTTCTATATATATTAAGTGTAATAGCGACTATAATAATCTTAAATAATAACTTACTTTTAGAAATATTGTAGATATCATATTACTATTATTATTATAGCTTATTACTAATATTATTAGCATACAATAAAGATTACTAACTTACTATTAAGAGTTTTATATTTCCAGCTTGTACTTCGTTATCATACTTTCTATAATATCAACATAAAAATCTAGAGAAATGATTTAAAGAATACTAATTATTCGTTAGACATTTTACAACAGATTTTTACTATTTTGCTGATGTTGCGTGTTTTTTTTATTGCTAGATTTGCTCAATCCATTTCAATTAATTTTATTCTTGCTTTTTGAAAATTTGCAGCAACTTTTACTAAAATATCAATCCACATCATTCACTTTTTTCTTGCTTTTTGAAAAAAATTGCAGTTCGTTTTCCTAATATTTTCAAAGCATCAATACTTATTTTGGGACCTCCCAATATGGCCGCCAAAAAAAAAATCGGCTTAAGTTTTGATATTAGAGATGCGCTATCCAGTTATTATATAGATCAGTGGGCAAAACATTTGCTAAGAAAGCAAAAGTTATGGTGTGAAGTTTGTGCACGTAAACTACGTGAATAGAAAAAGTCTCACAAAGTGGAACCAGCGCGTTAAAATATGTCAAAATTTGTTAACCAGTATCAAAAAATAATTTTGTTTAAATGCCAATTTTTAAAAGTAAAATAAATTCAAGATTAACAGGATATACTTCTATTAATTTATACTTCTATCAATCCAGCGAAGTTATAGAAAAAACGAGAATTCTTATCAAAATTTACATAAGTTAGCATCAAAAGCTGTTGTTTTTAAAATTATTAGTTGGTAAATTTATGAAATAGAGAACTGTAATGAAACAGACACTGCATATGAAAATAAGTTTTACTTTACTTCTAAAGATCAGGCTGAACCAATTACTGCTCATTATCAGCCATTGCTTATTAACGAAAGCCAAGATAAAATTACAAAAAAATCAAAAGTTACATTCAAATTGTTAATGAAATCTCATCAAAGTTAACTTAATGCAATAGAAAATTTGTCTAAAAAACTTAAAGGAAAAACACTTCTTGGAAAATTCAAAGGGCTGAACTTCATCTGTTTATAAAATACTGAATCTGTTTATAAAATGTGGTACATTGTAAATATTGGTAACCCCTCACAAGTCTTTATAAGTCAAATAGTGTAATATTCTAAAATTGCTTGCTATATTCCTAAAGATTATAATCTTAAAATTGAAAGAATTGCAAAATATAAACTTTTGAATCCAATGTCTCCATAACAAATAAATCTTTCCAGATTTGTCGGAGGTTTGTACATTGATGTTGATTATCCTTAGTGCAAGTCAAGATAGAATCGAAAAATGAAATTGTCATGGAATGGGTATTTTTTAAATGAAATTCTCTTTAATTATAGAAACGGCTTAGAGTTGTGGAAAGATGACCAAAATTATCCACTTAATAAAAATGATCTAATTAAAACTAATCACAAGAATTACTATCAAATATAACAGCAAACAATGGCAACGAAAACAAAATATTATCTGTTAAAGTAATGGAAAAATGGCAAATGATATACACTGTATCTAAGAAATTCTGTTATATATTTAAAAATAAACTTAAAACAGTTTTTCAAGAAATTACATTAAAAAAATTGTAACAAGAAAATTGAATCCAGATCAACTACAGCTGTTCTGCGTGTGTAAATGTTCAAAATTTCTTCTTTTGACCAAAATGTATCAATTTTTATTGTCCAATCAAATGGTATATTTTGCTTGGTCTTCAAATAAAAAATGGTTTTTCTCTACCTGCGTTTTGCAGCATAAAGGCAATATAATAAGTTTTTATGTAACACTACTAAATAAAATTTAACTTCTTTTTAAATTGGAAAACATAGTTTATGATTTGTTGACAGACCTTTGTCATAAAACATTTTATAAACGTTGAAATATTTAAATTTTTTTAAAATATTGTAGATAAAAAAATAAAAATATATAAATTTTGGTTAAGTTACATTTAAATTATTTTTTAACTTTTGCTTAAAACAGACTTATAAATAGCTAAAAAGTTTGATATTATGCAAATTTAGGGACTCGCGATAAACATGTAATTGTATTTAAATATATATATATATATATATATATATATATATATATATATATATATATATATATATATATATATATATATATATATATATATATTTAAACAATATAAAATGTATTCTACAAAAAGAGTGCTCAATGTTCTTAAAAGAACAGAGCAATTACAAATTAGTAGAAAATCGCTTAGCAAAATTTTTTCTCATTTAACACTGTGTTTCACCAATAAAGACTCATCAGAAATTTTATATATATATATATATATATATATATATATATATATATATATATATATATATATATATATATATATATATATATATATATGTATATATTTATATATATATATATATATATATATATATATATATATATATATATATATATATCTATATATATATATATATATATATATATATATATATATATATATATATATATATATATATATATATATATATATATATATATATATATATATATATATATATATATATATATATATATATATATATCAGTGGCGGATCTACAGTACTGCAGATTAAGTGGCCGCCTAAGGAGAAATATTACATTATAATTAAGGTGTATCTTACTATACATTTTTTTAAAGTAAAAATTACGAAATTTTTATTTTCGAATTTAAATTTTAAATTTTAATGAATTCATTAGGATTTTTTTCACGGTTTCGAATTTGAAGCCTCAAAAATGAGGGAGATTGTTAAATATTATGATTGGCGAAATGGCTTTTTTATGCGAAACCAATAATAAGGCGAAACCAATTTCAGTGAGAAATTAAATACTTCAGTGATTCAGAGTTTCAATACATTTTATATTGTTATTAATTATTTAGGATGTTTAAATATTGAAACATCTTTATAAATGTTGTAGTAAAATCAAATAATTATCTAATTGACACAAAAAGTGTATTGCATTCATTTGTATGTATATGTAGGGTAAAAAAATATATTTGTATGTATATGTAGGCTTAAAAACACATTTGTATTTTTCAACCTTAAAATCCAAAATTAGTGAAAATAAAGATTAAAACATTTAAACATTTTAGTAATTAAAGAGTTATGGAAAACCCTTCTGGTTGAAACAGTACAGTACAATATATTATTTATCCTATTTTTTATTTCATTAAATTAGCAGTTTACTTTTTGGGGGGATTTTTGTTTAAGAAAAAATTGTTATATTGTTAAAATTGTTATATTGTTATTATTAGTAATATTGTTCAGGAAACTCTCCTCAACAATATTACTAAGTAACTTGCACATTTTATTTATTTTTTTTCAAAATTGCAACTACGATTCCAGGCATGTGATTTAGACGCTTTGTGTAAATTTTTAAGCAATTTTTAACAACTGGAATTTTTCTTATTTTTATCCTAAAATAGTTTTTATCTTTACTCAACCACTTGGAGGACTTAATCAACATTTAAAGTTAATGCTTCCTAACCTTTGCCAACAGTATGTAATTTCAAATCACGAAATATTTTTTAAAAACTTTATAAACGTTTAAAAACAACTTTTTTTATTGTCATAATACTCTTTATCTTTTATGATTAAGTTTTCTGTTAATGAATGAAAATGTGCAAGGAAAAGCAGTTTACTAATTGATTGTGTTATTTTCTGTCATACACCTTCAGTCGTTCTGCATAAAAAATCGTACACATAAATAAGAAGGAACCTTGACGTGGTTCATGTGCTTTAAACAAATACCTTCCAGGCAGATTCATTCTCACCCGTTGTATTGTGAGGGATAAATGGTCAGAAATTTGATTTCTTTTGATTTTTTTTTCGTCTGAATTTAGTTATTACTCAATAAATCAAATTGTTTTAAATGTATTATTAAAATCCTAGTTAATCTACTACTTGTTTTCAACGGTTTGTATTCTTAAAATTAGCTAAAAAAATTAGCAAATCAATAAAAAGGGCTGGTGCTAATTGTCGATACAGATTGTGAATATTTGGTTGATTATGCCGATGCAGATTAATCTGAACATCACCAAGAATATTCAGATTAATTTTGAATTT